GAGAATGAAGAGCGCCCGATGCACTTCCTCCACATGTGCGGATCCTAGCGCGTTTTGAGGCTAGAAGCGCTCGCAGTGAGCATTTTTCTTCTACCAGGTCACGTGGCTGCACTTGTCTAGGCCTCTTGCCAAGCCAGCAAGGGCGTGGATGGGTTGCGAGCATCATTGGTCATCGGCCCTTGAGAATGAAGAGCGCCCACTGCACTTCCTCCACATGTGCGGATCCTAGCGCGTTTTGAGGCTAGAAGCGCTCGCAGTGAGCGTATATCTTTTACCAGGTCACGTAACTGTGCTTGTCTAGGCCTCTTGCCAAGCCAGCAAGGGCGTGGAAGGGTTGCGAGCATCATTGGTCATCGGCCCTTGAGAATGAAGAGTGCCTGCTGCACTTCCTCCACATGTGCGGATCCTAGCGCGTTTTGAGGCTAGAATCGCTCGCAGTGAGCGTTTTTCTTCCACCAGGTCATGTGGCTGCGCTGGTCTAGGCCTCTTGCCAAGCCAGCAAGGGCGTGGAAGGGTTGCGAGCATCATTGGTCATCGGCCCTTGAGAATGAAGAGCGCCCGCCGCACTTCCTCCACATGTGCGGATCCTAGCGCGTTTTTAGGCTAGAAGCGCTCGCAGTGAGCGTTTTTCTTCAACCAGGTCACGTGGCTGCGCTTGTCTAGGCCTCTTGCCAAGCCAGCAAGGGCGTGGAAGGGTTGCGAGCATCATTGGTCATCGGCCCTTGAGAATGAAGAGCGCCCGCTGCACTTCATGCACATGTGCGAATCCTAGCGCGTTTTGAGGCTAGAATCGCTCGCAGTGAGCGTTTTTCTTCTACCAGGTCACGTGGCTGCGCTTGTCTAGGCCTCCTGCCAAGCCAGCAAGGGCGTGGAAGGGTTGCAAGCATCACTGGTCATCGGCCCTTGAGAATGAAGAGCGCCCGCTGCACTTCCTCCACATGTGCAGATCCTAGCGCGTTTTGAGGCTAGAAGCGCTCGCAATGAGCGTTTTTCTTCTACCAGGTCACGTGGCTGCGCTTGTCTAGGCCTCTTGCCAAGCCAGGAAGGGCGTGGAAGGGTTGCGAGCATCACTGGTCATCGGCCCATGAGAATGAAGAGCGCCCGTTGCACTTCCGGCACATGTGCGGATCCTAGCGAGTTTTGAGGCTAGAAGCGCTCGCAGTTAGCGTTTTTCTTCTACCAGGTCACGTGGCTGCGCTTGACTAGGCCTCTTGCCAAGCCAGCAAGGGCGTGGAAGGGTTGCGAGCATCATTGGTCATCGGCCCTTGAGAATCAAGAGCGCCCGCTGCACTTCCTACACATGTGCGGATCCTAACGCGTTTTGAGGCTAGAAGCGCTCACAGTGAGCGTTTTTCTTCTACCAGGTTACGTGGCTGCGCTTGTCTAGGCCTCTTGCCAGGCCAGCAAGGGCGTGGATGGGTTGCGAGCATCATCGGTCATCGGCCCTTGAGAATGAAGAGCGCCCGCTGCACTTCCTCCACATGTGAAGATTCCAGCGCGTTTTGAGGCTAGAAGCGCTCGCAGTGAGCGTTTTTCTTTTACCAGGTCACGTGGCTGCGCTTGTCTAGTCCTCTTGCCAAGCCAGCAAGGGCGTGGAAGTGTTGCGAGCATCATTGGTCATCGGTCCTTGAGAATGAAGAGCGCCCGCTGCACTTCCTCAACATGTGCGGATTCTAGCGCGTTTTGAGGCTAGAAGCGCTCGCAGTGAGCGTTTTTCTTCCACCAAGTCACGTGGCTGCGCTTGTCTAGGCCTCTTGCCAAGCCATCAAGGGCGTGGAAGGGTTGCGAGCATCATTGGTCATAGGCCCTTGAGAATGAAGAGCGCCCGCTGCACTTCCTCCACATCTGCGGATCCTAGTGCGTTTTGAGGCTAGAAGCGCTCACAGTGAGCGTTTTTCTTCTACCAGGTTACGTGGCTGCGCTTGTCTAGGCCTCTTGCCAAGCCAGCAAGGGCGTGGATGGGTTGCGAGCATCATTGGTCATCGGCCCTTGAGAATGAAGAGCGCTCGCTGCACTTCCTCCACATGTGCAGATTTTCGCGCGTTTTGAGGCTAGAATCGCTCGCAGTGAGCGTTTTTCTTCCACCAGGTCACGTGGCTGCGCTTGTCTACACATCTTGCCAAGCCAGAAAGGGTGTGAAAGGGTTGTGAGCATCATTGGTCATCGGCCCTTGAGAATGAAGAGCGCCCGTTGCACTTCCTGCACATGTGCGGATCCTAGCGTGTTTTGAGGCTAGAAGCGCTCGCAGTGAGCGTTTTTCTTCCACCAGGTCACGTGGCTGCGCTTTTCTAGGCCTCTTGCCAAGCCAGCAAGGGCGTGGAAGGGTTGCGAGCATCATTGGTCATCGGCCCTTGAGAATGAAGAGCGCCCGCTGCACTTCCTGCACATGTACAGATCCTGGCCCGTTTTGAGGCTAGAAGCGCTCGCAGTGAGCGTTTTTCTTCTACCAGGTCGCGTGGCTGCGCTTGTCTAGGCCTCTTGCGAAGCCAGCAAGGGCGTGGAAGGGTTGCAAGCATCATTGGTCATCGGCCCTTGAGAATGAAGAGCACCCGCTGCACTTCCTCCACATGTGCGGATCCTAGCGCGTTTTGAGGCTAGAAGCGCTCGTAGTGAGCGTTTTTCTTCTACCAGGTCACGTGGTTGCACTTGTCTAGGCCTCTTGCCAAACCAGCAAGGGCGTGGAAGGGTTGCAAGCATCATTGGTCATCGGCCCTTGAGAATGAAGAGCGCCCGCTGCACTTCCTCCATATGTGCGGATCCTAGCGCGTTTTGAGGCTAGAAGCGCTCGTAGTGAGCGTTTTTCTTCCACCAAGTCACGTGGCTACGCTTGTCTAGGCCTCTTGCCAAGCCAGCAAGGGCGTGGAAGGGTTGCAAGCATCATTGGTCAATTTTGAGAGAAATCACTGCTCACTAACTTCCCGAAAAAAAAAAAAAAAAAAATGTTTCCGTAATCGTCGATAAGTACGGCGTATGGAACAATTGGACAATTGTTCTAGCACTAATGACGCTACCAAATAACATACGAACAAGAAGGACAACACTGGAAATATAACAGAACCACCGAAAGACACGCATATACAAATGGCCACAAAAGCAATCATGTACAAGAACCGTCGTACATGTTTTGACGGGGATACAAAAATGCATCAATGCAGCAACCGAGGTTGATATGGTACGGAAGAGGCGAGCAAAGCTGCCCCACCGACGATCACAATTCCAATTGCATACACGAGACACTCACCACCACACCCCCCAAACAAGCACATGCAATAACGCACACACTGGTACAAAAACAGATGACAACGATTGAGAGTGTTTCAAGGTGAATACTAAATGCATCAATGCTGCAACTAAGATTGATATGGTACGGAAGAGGCTAGCAAAGCTGCCCCACCGACGATCACAATCCGAGTTGCATTCACGAGGCACTTAGCACCACACCCTGAAACACACACAACACATTTGCACATGTATGCACTCACATATACAAGCTCACACATACACAAAGACACACAATGCAAAAACATATAGCTACGGTAATAATCATGCAAGCATAATGAATGAAGTTCAGCCTTGTATAAATCATCACTAGCCTGTCCCCCATTCCCCCCCCCTCCCTCCCTCCCTTCCTCCCTCCCTCCCTCCCTCCCTCCCTCCCTCCCTCCCTCCCTCCCTCCCTCCCTCCCTCCCTCCCTCCCTCCCTCCCTCCCTCCCTCCCTCTCTCCCTCCCTCATTTCCCTCATCTCCCTTCTTCCATCCCTTTTCTCCGCAAGAAACAAGGACTGCAGCTTGAACTTCCTGCACACGAAAGAAGAAACAACAAATGCAACTCACTCCCTGCACAAACACTAACGAAAACAGAGTTTACAACTTGCATGAGTTGCACAAGAAAACAAAACCAGAGAGTGCAGTTTCCTTGACGCACAAGAAACAAATTTACTCTCGCACTCGCTCTTGCCGCTACTCACCGACACTCAAATACGTTCAACAGCTCTTAGATACACTCACTGAAAACACACACAAACACTCGCACTCACCCTTGGGCTCGCGCTCACTCGAACACCCCCACACACACATGCACACACAGTCGCATACACCCTCAAACTGAAGGTGCACTCACTCACACCCGCACTCACGCTCACAGTTTCCCTTGCACTCACACCCACACTCATGCTTGCACTTGCCCTTGCACTCACAAACGCACTCACGCTCGCATTCGCCCTCGCCATCACACCCGCACTCACGTTCGCATTCGCCCTCGCACTCGCATTCACGCTCACTCACCCACTTGCTTATGCACATGACATCGCACGCACCTTGTTCTCACCCCTGCACTCGCTCTCGCACTCGCTCTTCACCTACAACTCTTCTTCAACATTCACAAAAGACACACACAAACACGTGCACTCATCGTGGTACTCAACATAGCACACAAACTCGAACGCACTTTCTCACCCCCTTTTGCACTCACCCGCACCCTTGCACTCAATCTCGCATCCACACACATACTCACTTTCGAACTCGCCGTCCTCTCCACACTCACTCTCACATTTGCTTTCACACCCACTCGCGCATTCACGCTCGCACTTGCTCTCTCAATCACGTTCGCACTCGCCCCATTCACAACCACACTCACCTTCAAGTGCATGCGCGCCTCTCACTCTCGAACTCACACCCATACTCGCACCAAGATTCACACCCGCACCCACCCTCTCGCACACTCTCGCACTCACTCCTGCCGCCACTCACACATACACACAAACGCCCTAAGCGCAAGCGCCCACCGTGCCAGCGCCCCAAGCACAAGCGGCTTAGCCGTAGACGACCATGGCGCCCGCGCCACCGGCGCAAGCGCGCACGGTGCTCTCTCTCCCGCCTCTCCCTCCCACACGCTCTTGGTGCTGTCTCGCCCCCCCTCTCTCTCCCTCTCTCAAAAATAGTACAACGCAAGGAGACCAATCGACAAACCGAAGCTACAATAAATGTAAGAAATTCGAATTTCAGAGGGGGAAAGGAGGAGAAAAAGACTGGGATATGTAAGCGCACCTCAGAAACACGGCGCCTAAGAAACCATCTCGCTCTCGCCCGCCAGCTCGAGCTCGTGCAGCTGTCATCATCAGCGACGGCGAGATGAGAGGGGGAGGTGACAGCGGTGAGAGGATAGGCGACGGCGGAATTGGAAGGGGAGGCGACGGCGCGATGTGAAGGGGAAGCGACTGCGGGATGCAAGGGGGGAGGCGACGGCGGGATGCGAGGGGGGAGGGGACGGCGGGATGCGAATGGGGAGGCGGCGGCGGGATGCGAGGGGGGAGGCGACGGCGGGATGCCAGGGGGGAGGCGACGGCGGGATGCGAAGGGGGAGGCGAGGCGGGATATGGGGGGGAAGCGACGGTGGGATGTGAGGGGGAGGCGACAGCGGGATGTGAGGGGGAGGCGACGGCGGGATGCGAGGGCGAGGAGACGGCGGGATGTGAATGAGAGGCGGTGGCGGGTGAGAGGGAGAGGTGATGAGGGGGACGGGAGGGAGGCGACCGTGGGGTGAGAGGAAGAGGCGACGGCTGGATAGGGGGGAGAGGCAATGGTGGGTAGAGAGGGAGAGCCGACGGCGGGATGGCAGGAAGAGGCGAACGGCTGGGTGAGAGGGAGAGCTGATGGCGAGGTGGGTGGGAGAGGCGACGAGAGACGAGAGGCGAGGGGCGACAAAGGGATTGGGGAAGTTTAAAAAAAGTGGGAGGGCATACGTACTGTAAAATTTGGGTTGGCGGATTGTTGTTTCTTGAGGTGGTTCGCTCCTTGGTCTGATTTGCAACTGTTCGATGAAAACAAGCGACGGGAAATCGAGGCATGAGCGTTATACATAGAAACACAGACAGATATGGGCGAACTGAAAAGGAGACGAAACCGAGGTACTAGGTTAAAAAAAAAATATATAAATAAATAAACCACACACACAAATTATTTTTGGAAGCTAGTGTCACGTGAGTCGCACGCGTAATGACGTGACAGATCCAACGATGTGCGTCAACTTCAAAATAACACATCATAGTAACATACACTAGCAACAACCTGACACTACCATATGGCCCCGGATATAGGCGCCGTCCGATTAAAGCCAGCAGCTAAAATAGTGACCCCCCCCTTCTAGTTGGGTCCACTTGAAGTCTCAACCCTTTGGAAAGTTGGAAGTGTTGTTCTGTTTTATTTTTTTTCCTCAGATGCGTTTGATACATTTCGAGTCTTGGCAAATTTCCATCGAACAGGAGTTTGTCGCAAGCAGGTGCACAAGTGTCACAAGTTTGCGACACGCCCATTCACATGCAGTGCCAATTTCACAAATTGTGGCACGAGCAATTCACCCACAGTGAACGCCTCAGACATGAATCTGCAATGGCGGCAAGAATAGCACAGGACATACAAAAGGAGGGGAAAGAAAGAGAGCTTCAAGGTGGCGTGAGACGAGAGAGATAGGGCGACGGAAACGATTGCAAGATAAAAGAGATGAATGAGCAGAAATCGCGGAAAGAGAATGACGGGAGGGGAATTGGGAATGATGACGTGAGATGAAGCGCACGGGCGATGATATGGGTGATGGGAGGGGAGGGAGGAAGTGTCAGAATGAAGAATGGATGGTGCATTGATGTTGGTTGGGGTACATATAGCTAACCCTAAGTTTTGTACCCCCTAAGACAAACCTCACTATAGGCTACAACATTTGACACACCCCCATAGCCTAAGTGAGGGGTGTCTAGCAGAACCAAACGAGTACGGTCACAAGACCAGTCCAAGAAACAAAGCTCAGGGTGGATCACAACGTCACCACACAGTCTGAGCACAAACAACAGTGGCCACAAGGCCAGTCCAAGAAGTAACAGAGATATATAGAAAGCAAAGTAAACAGTACACTCAAGTCTAAGCAACACGAGAACCAGTGTCAACAAGGCCTAACTGCACACAGCACCTCTGGTGGTCACAAGGCGGAAGCGCCTTGGTGAAGATGTCTGCAGTGTTGGCCTCGGACTCCACAAACTCAAAGCGAGCCTGTCCACGCCTCTGCAACTCTCGCAGAAGAAAGTACCTGACGTGAATGTGCTTCACTCTGCTCTCCAGTCGTGGCTCTCGACAAAGGAGAATAGACGCCTTGTTGTCAGTGAACAAGGTCGGTGCAGAGCTCGGCCGCTCACCAAGGTCGGTGAGCAAGAAGGTCAACCAACGCAGCTCCTGTGCCGCCATGGCACCAGCGTAGATCTCAGCCTCAGCTGTAGAGGTCGAGACCGAAGAGGAGCGTGTGGACCGCCAGGAAACAGCTCCAGAACCCAGGCTGAAACAGTACCCCTGAGTAGACCTGTGAGTCTCAGCGTCGTCAGCGTAAGAGGAGTCACAGTGACCAGTAAGTACGACAGACTGCTGCCCTCCAAGAACTAGCCCCACGCCTGACGTCGTCGCTAGGTACTTCGCCACCCTCACAGCTGCTGTCCAGTGAACAGGACGGTGTCTCCCTGGCGCAACAAAGCGCGCAAGAACGCTGAGAGGGAAGGCGAGGTCCGGGCGAGTACAAGTCATCAGGTACATGAGGCAACCCACAAGCTCTGCGTAGGGACCACTAGGCTCGAACGGCTCGTCAGGAAAGGGTCCAGTGAGTCTGTGGTCAACAGCAAGAGGTGTGCGCTGTACTGTGGAGTGCTGAAGCCCGAACCGCTGAAGGACCTGCTGCACCATGTGCGACTGTGAAAGTGTAATGGTGCGAGCAGCTCTGTCCCTGGTGATCTGCAGGCCAAGGTAGTGGCGCAGCTCACCAAGATCAGTGCAGGTGTGTCTCTTCTGCAGTTCGGACTTCACGTGTGCCAAAGCAACCCTGTCAGGGGTGGCGAAAACAAGGTCGTCAACGTAGACCAGAACAAAGAAAGGTGTGGTGCCACGACGAACGAACAGCGACGGGTCAGCAGAAGACGGCTGGAACCCAAGGTCAGACAGGGTAGAACGCAGGGTGTCGTGCCACTCACGAGGAGCCTGACGAAGACCGTAAACCGGTCGCCTCAGCCTCCACTGGGTCCCAGGAGGGAAAGAGCCAGTGAAGGCAGAGGGACGACGCAACCAGACCTCCTCGTGAAGACTGCCCTGAAGGAAAGCAGTAGAGAAGTCGAGAGAGTGTAACTCGTAGTCTCTCTGTGCTGCTACGTGTAGTAACACCCGAAGAGTGGTCATCTTCGGGGTGGGCGCGAAGGTCTGAAAGAAGTCGACTCCCTCGCGCTGACTGAAACCTCTAGCCACGTAGCGCGCCTTGAAGACCGGAGGAGATCCCGGTGGCCGCTTCACCCTGTAGATCCACATGCCGTCGACTACGTTCGCCCCCGGAGGGGGAACCTCATCGACGTAGGTGCCTGTGGATCTGTAGGAGGCCATCTCTGCGTCCATGGCAGCTCTCCACTGAGAGGCCCAAGGCCCTGACACTGCCTCAGCGTAAGTGCGAGGAGTCGGAATGTCAAGGGCGTCGGGGTCACCCTCAGGGGCGAGGAGCATGGCACAGAGATGAGGGGAAGCGGCCGCCAGGAACTCTAGCTCAAACTGCCTGTCCTCTAGGGCGTCACAGCCAAGGGCAGACACACCCCCGACGGCCAGAGGACTGGAAGGAGGAGCAGCCACAAGAGCGGTGGCGAAGTCAAGGCGGCGGGTAGAGGCAAACTCAGTGACTGCGGCAGTAAGAGCGGACACAGAGGACACAGAGGCACGAGGGTGAGTAACAAGTGAGGCGAGAACACGAGAGAGAAGAGGACGGTACGTGCGGTAGTAGTCAGTGACAGGAGTAGGGAGCGACGCAGTGAGAGCCGACTCAGGAGGAGACGGAAGCACAGACGGAGACGGACGAGGTGGACTAGAACGAAGTAAGGCAGTACGAAGGTCAGTGAAGGGAACAGGAGACGAGGGACGAGCACGAGGGGAGCGACGAGAGGCCCAAGTCTGAGAAGGAGGAGGGGACAACGAAGACTGAGAACGAGGGAAAACAGCGGGAGAGGGGTCAGGAGGAGGAAGCGGAGGACCAGAGACGGGAGGAGAGGGGGAGGAGGAAGGAGAGGGAGAGGGGAGACCAAGGGTCCGAAGACCCGAGACAGGAGGAGGAGACGGCAGCTGCTGCTGCTGCGGCTGCTGCGGCTGCTGCTGCTCCAGCGGCTGCTGCCCCTGCTGCTGCTCCTGCTGCTGCTCCTGCTGCTGTCGCTCCTGCTCCTCGAGCCGCTGCAACTCTCTCTCCTCTCTCTCCAACTCCAGCTGCTCCTCACGAGCACGACGAACACGAGCCTGGAACCTGGTCGGGTAGGGGTGGGGGGAAGGAGTAGTGTCCGGGGCAGCGGCAGCCCCAGAGTCGACCTCCGAAGCACCAAGCACACCACCCCCAGAGGCAGCACCAACACCAGCTCCAGACCCAGGCTCTCCAGAAACCGAAGGAACACCCTCACCCCCAGACGCAGCACCAGCACCCCCAGACTCCGCACGACCAGTACCAGCCCCCGGAGGAGAAGAGTCCTCTGCAACCCGCGGCTCAGCTCCAACTCCAGCACCCCCAGAACCAGAGACCTGTACAGGGACAGTCGTAGGACCAACCTCCCGAGAGGGAGCACCTACAGGAGGCGGTGAGGAAGACTGTGGGGAGGGAGGCTGTACAGGGGGGGCTACCGAAGGGGGAGGGCTAGCCTGAGACACACCAGACGGGGCTGGACCAGGGGGGGGAGGCTGTACCGGGGGAGCAGGCGGGGGAGCGGCTGTCAGGAAGAGGGGGGGAGGAGGAACCGGGAGACCTCGACTGGGGTACCTGACGTAGTACGGGGTGGACTCCTCGAAACGGACGTCACGGGAGTCAAAGAACCGGTGAGAGGGAGGGTGGTAAAAGGTGAAGTCAGAGGAGTCCTCAGGGAAACCAAGGAAGACACAAGGAACGGCGCGAGGCGAGAGCTTGTCCGCGGAGGTGTCGCGGACAAGAGCCAAGCACCCCCAGACACGAAACCTCGACGCGACACCAGGGGACCCTGTCCAAAGACTGGTCGGTGAAGCCTCCGGCCGAGAGACGCGTGGCCAGAGGTTCAGCTGGTGCGCGGCGTACCTGACCGCGTATGGCCACAGGAAATGGGGGGCACGGGCGTGAGTCAAGGAGGTGCGGGCAATCTCCATGACCAGGCCTATGCGACGCTCAGCAACCCCATTCTGCTGTGGGGACTCCGGAAGCGTCCAGGACTGACGAATGCCCTGTTCGCGACAGAATCCAGCGAGAATGCCGGAGCGAAACTCGCCCCCGCGGTCGGAGTGGAGACAGCTGACACGACGACCACGAGTGTCCTGGGTGGTAAGCAACCACCTGATCAGCGTAGAAGTCACCTCAGACTTCCTCGCCAGGGGGAACACTGTGGTGTAGCGGGAGTAGTCGTCAACGACCACCAGAAAGAAACGCTCACGCTCAGGGCCAGGGCGAGGAGAGGGGCCCCAGACGTCCAAGTGCAGCGTCTCAAAAGGCTCGGTGGCCGGACGAAGGGAGGAGGAGTGAGGGGTGGCACGCAGCCTACCCTCGACGCAAGGACCGCACGGTGGTGCAAGAGACGGCGGCAGCGACGGCAAGACACGCGGGAGACCTAAGACCAGACGCTGACTAGACATAGCACGCAGACGTGGAAGAGAAGGGTGTCCCATCCGGTGGTGCCACAGAACGGTGGGGTGGGCAAGCGACCGACAGGAGCAAGACGCAGCGACTGGACTGGACGCGACAACCTGAGGGGACGGAACCACCTGGTGAGACGCAGGGAGGAGACTAGGGGGAGGGACAGGAACTGGGAGGAGTGGCCGCTGCGACGGCGGCCGCTGTGGCTGCGGCTGCGGCTGCTGCCGCTGCTGCTGCTGCGGCTGCTGCTGCTGCTGCTGCTGCTGCTGCGGCTGCTGCTGCTGCTGCAGTCGCTGCTGAGCGCGCGGGCCAGTGTGAAGAGTGTAGAGACCGGAGCCCGGCTCAGCAGCAAAAGTGGCGAGGGGCTGGTAAGAGTCCCCGTCAACACACACCGCAGTCTCTCCAGAAGGCTCAAACCACACACCCACGTGCTGACTCACGAGGGGTCGCACGCCCACCAAGTTCCGGGAGAACGAGGGGACGTGAAACCCAGTGAGAGACCCAGAAGGAGCAGCCGGACACGGCAAGGTGGTAGTGTGACGCGCAGTGACTGGTCCCGAAGTGGGATCAGCCAGCGCCACAGAAACAGGCGCAGGAAGAGGCGTAAGTGTCGTGCTGTCACGAAAGAAGCAGTGAGAGGCTCCAGAGTCCAGCGTGAACGACAGCGAACCGTCCTCTGAGGTAGCCGCTGGACTAGAGTCTACACAAGAACCTACACTAGCAACAGGCAACTGAGCAAGGCTAGCACCTAAGCTAACAACACCAGAGTAAGCAGAGTCAGAAACACTAGAGTCAACAACAGCATACATAGCATGGGGAGTACCAATCAGATCAACTAACTGCTCAGCAGACATGCCCCACAGAGCGGAGCCGTAGCGCTGAACAAGAGGCAGCCAGTCAGGGGCAGGAGCACCAACCCCGTAGACCAAACGAACCGTGTCAGTGAGCTGAGCAAAGCACTGACCAGGGGGGTGAAACCGGCCACAAGGGTGGCCACGACGAGTGCCTGTCAGAACCTGGTAGGTGCAGGGAGTGTAAGCAGCACCGCGCTGGGTCTGACGCAGCCCCGACCCTGGAGCCAGCTGCTGCCGCTGCTGCTGCTGAGGCTGCTGGGAGGAGAGGGGCTGCTGGTGCTGCAGAAGCTGCTGCTGACGCTGAGCCTGGTACCACGCCGCTGCTCCACCAACCGGGGCAGGAAGTACAGGAGGCGACTGACGAACTCGGGCGTCGCCACCACTAGCAGGCGCAGTGGAGTCACCAGTCACTGCACGAGGCGCCTCTCCAGGCCCTGAACCTCCACCGCCGCCAGGCGCAACGCCACCTCCACTACCTCCGCCTCCACCTCCACTACCACCACCAGAACCGCCTTTCTTGCCACTCCTACCGCGGGACCGCGACGCAGTCGTAACAGCAGCTGCAGTCGCGTCAGTAGCGGCAGTGGCAAGTGAGGCAGTAAAGGTGGGTAACTGCGGGACTGTGCACCCGTGGAAGAGTGGGGGGGGCACAGCACCAGAGGCAGCGGCTACCGAGCGAAGGTTGCTCTCGACGTCCTTGAGTGCAGACTCAAGGACATCGACGGTGAGCTCACTAGGGTGCTTCAGCAGAAGCGCGTCGCGAACGGAGGCAAGGCGGTCAGGGAGGCTAGTGGCGATGAAATAGATAGTAATCGCCATAGGGGGAGGAAGCAGTGCAAGCTGTGCCTCAGTGCAAGCAGCGCGGTAACTAGCGTCGAGCGAGCGGAGGTGAGCGATCAAGTCAGCAGAGCGCTCAAACGAGGCGAGATCAGGAAACAGGAACGGGAGGAAAAGACGGCCAAGAGAGACAGTAGCGGGAGTAGAGTAGCGGGCCTTAATCGCAGTGAGGTACGCAGCAGCGGTGCGAACCTGAGTGAAGTGGACCTCCTCTGACTCAGGGAGGAGGCTGCTGAGTGCGATGCAGGCCGCAGCGTCACGCGACGTCCAAGCCGTCCTGTCAGCGCGCTGACGGGCAAAGCGAGCCGTAGCAGCATCGTCAGGGGCAGGACCTAAAGCGGCAGGCTCGGGGGGCTCGGGGAGGTCACCAGTAGCGTGCGACCAGAGGGTCTCGCCCCCCTGGACTTGACTCTCTAACAGACGGCGAGCGCGAAGAAGCCAGACGGAAAAATCAATAGGTCTACCGTCAGCGTCGAAACGAAGAACTCGCGGAGTCGCCATAGCGAGAACGAACGCGAACGAGCAGGCGAGTAACAGCAGGAGGTAAGAGGCAAATTAGGGTTCAGGTGGGGGGACTTAGTCGCAGCGGAAGAACGGGCCAGGGCGTAGGGTCGACGGGACGGGGGAAAGGGCGGGCGCGATGCGACGGGGCAGGGCGACGCGACGGGGCAGGGCGACGCGACGGAGCAGAGGCGACGGGACGGGGAAGGGCGACGCGACGGGGCAGGGCGACGCGACGGGGCAGGGCGACGGGACGGGGAAGGGCGACGGGACGGGGCAGGGCGACGGGACGGGGCAGGGCGACGCGATGGGGCAGGGCGACGGGACGGGGAAGGGCGACGGGACGGGGCAGGGCGACGGGACGGGGCAGGGCGACGCGACGGGGCAGGGCGACGGGACGGGGAAGGGCGACGGGACGGGGCAGGGCGACGGGACGGGGCAGGGCGACGGGACGGGGCAGGGCGACGGGACGGGGCAGGGCGACGGGACGGGGGGAAAGGGCGCGACGCGACGGGGGGAAAGGGCGCGACGCGACGGGGGGAAAGAGCGCGACGCGACGGGGGGAAAAGGGCGCGACTCGACTGGGGGGAAAGGGCGCGACGCGACGGGGGGAAAGGGACGCGACGAGGGGGAAAGGGCGGGCAGGACGCGACGCTAGGAGTGGCGCTAGGCGCGGCACTACGCGCGGTAACAACGGAACCGGAACGAATGAGAGCTAGGATCAGGCTCGGGAGGCTCGAACGGAGAACGGAGGAACGGGATCCCACAGGATCCTAACCTAACTGATACCATGTCAGAATGAAGAATGGATGGTGCATTGATGTTGGTTGGGGTACATATAGCTAACCCTAAGTTTTGTACCCCCTAAGACAAACCTCACTATAGGCTACAACATTTGACAGGAAGGGTGCAGAGAGGCATTGCAGAGCAAGAGCGATGAGGGACGGGAAGGCATTTTGTGGCGAGTGGGAAGACGATGGGGTGGGTGATGGGGGGTGTGTGAAGAAGGGCGACAACTGCATCGAGGGCGACAGGAAGGGAGCGGAGAGACAAAGGGCGACGGGAAGGGAGCGGAGAGTGAGAGGGCGACGGGAAGGGAGCGGGGTTGGGGAGAGCGACGGGAAGGGAGGGGGTAGATAGCGTGTCGTCGGGAACGGGAGGGAGAGATAGCGAGGCGACGGATGGGAGGGAGAGATAGCAAGGCGACGGAATGGGAGGGAGAGATAGCGAAGGCGACGGAATGGGAGGGAGAGATAGCGAGGTGACGGATGGGAGGGAAAGATAGCGAGGGGACGGAATGGGAGGGAGAGATAGCGAGGCGACGGAATGGGAGGGAGAGGTAACGAGGCGACGGGATGGGAAGGGAGAGAGAGCGAGGCGACGGGATGGGAAGGGAGAGATTGCGAGGCGACGGGATGGGAAGGGAGAGAGAGCGAGGCGACGGGATGGGAAGGGGGAGATAACGAGGCGACGGGATGGGAAGGGAGAGAGAGCGAGGCGACGGGATGGGAAGGGAGAGATTGCGAGGCGACGGGATGGGAAGGGAGAGAGAGCGAGGCGACGGGATGGGAAGGGAGAGATTGCGAGGCGACGGGATGGGAAAGGAGAGAGAGCGAGGCGACGGGATGGGAAGGGGGAGATAGCGAGGCGACGGGATGGGAAGGGAGAGAGAGCGAGGCGACGGGATGGGAAGGGAGAGATTGCAAGGCGACGGGATGGGAAGGGAGCGAGAGCGAAGCGACGGGATGGGAAGGGAGAGATTGCGAGGCGACGGGATGGGAAGGGAGAGAGAGCAAGGCGACGGGATGGGAAGGGAGAGGTTGCGAGGCGACGGGATGGGAAGGGAGAGACTGCGAGGCGACGGGAAGCACGGAGAGATATCGAGGGGACGGTACGGACGACTGGATCGCGACGCGACGGTCGTCGGGACGGCGTCAGGACGGCGTCAGGACGGACGGCGCGATGACGATCGGAACGGGAGGGCGAGCAAGATACGCTGGAAAGGCGGCGAGAGGTCATTCGAAACGGCACACAGTAGTGTACAACCATGCCAACTTCTCTACGCATCTAAGTTGAAACAATAACGGCCTAAGTTGACGTTTCTATGGCTAGACATGCTACGTATAACTAAGAAGCCTAAGAAAGTGATCGGAAGAACAAGTGGTACTTCACCCAAGCCCAGCTTGAACCCAAGGTCGGCCCAAAATCGCAAAGACGTGCGTGAACGATCGCAGTGCTTGTGCTGTGGAGCTGTGCGACGCCTGACGTGTTGTGCTGTTTTTTCTTTGGTTTTGGCGGGAACCAATCAGAAGTGTTAGATCTGCGTGAAAGCTCTCAATGAAACAGTGCAAACGTTGTCGGTTCGGTCTGAAAATTGTTTCGCCTGACAAGCCCTCTTTCAAGCTGGCCCCGGGTTCACTATTTTGCATTTCGGTTTTAAAGGCGCCGGCGCCTCTATCTGGAGCATGGCGCCTATGGCCGGAACTCGATTATAAGCGCCCCCCCCCCCTGTAAAACCCTGATTTATTATAAGTGCATGCATAATTTTACTTTTCAATCCTGATTAAAACGGTAGCGAATTTCAGACTTCAAGCGAGTCAGCACCCATTTTCCACTTTGTTTGACTTTCGGGGTCCTGACTGGTTTCGCGTCCAGTCAGGATGAGATGGTATACGGACAAATTGACGTGCCAAAAGCAATGTGCAGCGTCAGAGAATCGCCCTCACGCGATTCTGATTCAGGACGCTACAAATTTCGACTCGATCAAAATTACAAGACTGAAATGTACAATTTGATGCGTTTGAGTTCTATTTATGTATTTGTCATTATATTGGCGCCGGCACTTATGGCCGTGATTCACAAGCATCACCCCCAATAAAAACCGATTTTATTATAAGCGCAGATGCGCCTATATCCGGGGTAATTAGGTATATTATACTAATAGGCTGCCTATAGACAGCATTGCTAGAAACAGCAATTATACGCAAAATGACTATTACTATGAACTTAGCTATCTAAGCAACCCTTCCGACGATATCGTCGAGTCTTGTTTTTGTGATTCCAATGAAGGACAAAACTTTGCAAACATGTCACACTATGCCTTTTCTATGGAGAGGAGCACGAAGCACGCAGTTTTCCCCAGATCGCATTTCTCCATTATTTTCTAGTGTGGATTTCTACCCATGAAGCGTTTCTTCCAGCTCCCTTGCCCTCACCACGTCGCCTTTGCTTCGTCCACTTCAGTTACTTTCTGATCCATTCCGTTGATACCTCGCTCACAAATCGGAACGGCCTCGCCGAGCACCTCAGAAATCTTCGCCGTGGTCCAAACTTGCGCGCCTTCCGCAATGTTCAAGAAGTCGAGCAAGCCGAAGAACGTGCGGAAGCGGCAACTGCTGAGCGAGGACCAGGACCGGGACAGCAGCAGCAGCGGCGGGGGCGACGAGGACGCGTCAGCTGGCGGGGGTGTTGCGCCGAAGTCGAAGAGTGCGCGCCGAGCCGAGGGCAAGCTCGCCTTCACCTCCGCCTCCTCGCAGCAGCGCGCAGCGCGCGCCGCAGCGGCGGAAGCGGGCGCGGACGGCGCCGCGGAGGGTCCCGCGAGGCCAGCAGTCAGCTTCGCGTACGAGTCGGACCGACGCGTGCAGGTAAAGGGCGTGCCTCGGGCGCGCTTGCTTTGTAGTCCGCACACGTCCAAAAATTGTACCTTTGGCATCGTCGACCTGAGTGACCTTCCACCTTCCCCTCCCTCGCCTGCAGATGGCTTCGGACAGCCGCGCGACGGCAACGCTAGAGACGGAGACGGAGTTTGACCGTGATTCACGCGCCATCCGCGAGAAGGTGCTGAAGCAGGCGGAGGAGGCGCTCAAGGGGCGCGCGCGCGAGGGGGGCTCCGCTGCTGCTGGCCCCGCAGGCCCGCCGGGGAGCAAGAAGGAGGAGGTTTACAAGGGCATGGCGGGGTGAGTTTGTGTTTTCAGACGGGGTGAGCTGGTGGGCCTTGGGATGGGATGATGTGGGATAGCACTCTGGTTTTCTGCATACAGTTGGTGGCATGAGCGTGATGTTCCATACGTGCAGTCCTTGTCATGTCGCCTAACCATCGGTTTGCCACTCCAACCCCTCTTCTCCATCCATTCGCTCCTCCCACCCCCACTCACACGAACCCGCCAGCTACGCAGACCACACAGCCGGCTTCAGGCGAGAGCACACGGTGGCGAGCGAGAAGGCAACGGGTGCACACGGGCCTCTGCGCGCCTCCACACACATCCGATGGTCCGTGCGCTTTGACTACCAGCCGGACCTCTGTAAAGACTATAAAGAGACTGGCTATTGCGGGTACGGGGACTCGTGCAAGTTTCTGCACGATCGCGGGGATTACAAGGCGGGGTGGCAGATTGAGCGAGAGTGGCAGGAGAAGGAGAAGAGGAGGAAAGAGGCGGCTGCACTGGGGATGTTGGAGGAGGGGGAGGGGGGAGAGGGGGAGGAGGAGGAGAGTGATGATGACGATCTGCCGTTTGCGTGCTTCATCTGTCGGCAGTCGTTTGTGGATCCAGTCGTTACCAAGTGCCGGCACTACTTCTGCGAGCACTGCGCACTCAAGGTGAGATAATGCGAGATTTAATTTGCTTAGTAAGCAACGACTTGTTTTTCGTACAGACTCTTTGCAGCCGACTCATCATGATCATTTTTCCGCTTGCCTTTCCCCACGCCCACATGGATCTGTTGGCAGCACCATTCGCGCAACAAGAACTGCTTTGTGTGCGAGCAGCCGACACAGGGAGTGTTCAACACGGCACATGACATCATCAAGCGAGTGAAAGAGCGAGCCGCCAAGGAGGCCAAGGACAAGGAGGAGACTGCCAAGGGAGCAGGGAGCTCCAGACCAGAAGCTGCTGGTGGTGATGGTGGGGATAGTGAATGATAGTTGACAAAGATGTGAAAGGTGTTTGCTTGCACAAGAGATGAAAGTCGTTGAAAGAAATTGCAGGCTGAAAAGTTTGTAGACACAGGGAGGTAATTGCTTTAGCGTATAGAGTGTACTTCCACATTGTACCTGTGAAGTGATGAATCGTAGAGAAGCTCTTACAGGAAACACCTCTATGTCAGGAATTAGAGCCAAGCCACATCGCTGGTAGCCGACCTTCTCGCCACGCGCACGACCATCCTATCAGTAGCAGGTCAGGCAACACCTTGATTGTAGGAGTCTTTCACCGTAGACCAGCCGTCATACACGGTCACTTCCATGGAGGTTCTCCGCGTCGCTCGTCCTCCCGCCAGCCTGATCGGCCCGTCCCTACATTCGTCGACTGCTCAACCGACGCGCTCTCGACCCTCTCGCGACTTCTCTCTCCCACGCGCTCTCCCGAGAACGTTACCGCGAGTCACATGTGGCGTACGGGAACCAGGGGTAGTGAAACATGCAGCTTCCGCAGATTCAGGCGGATTTTCTGCAGCCGACGAGATCGCAAGTGTAGATGCCGGTGTTACGCCGAGCAGGCTTGATAGACGAGCGTTCGTGGCAACTTCGCTCCTTTTTTCTCTGTCCGTGAATGTCCAGAACGCCCTTTCAGGTATTGTTTCAGTGCCAACAATTATGGTTTTCGTGCTGACCGTTGCAGCATAGAAGCACACGCGAGGCTTGTCACAGCGTTTGGCACAAGACACGCTGATACTCGCCGCAAACTACCTTCCCTTACCCATTGTCACCTTATCCCATGTCTACGCCGCCCCCATACTCAGAGAACCCGCAAGCAGAGGAACCCCAAGCGGACAGTCTCCGGCCGTACGAGGACCCGACGAGGCGCTTCGCCATCCGGGTGCCGGCGGCGTGGGAGCAGCGCGACAAGGCGGGCGCGACGGCGTTCTTCGCGAGCCCCGAGCGGCGCGGCGACACGCTGGGCGTGGTGGTGAACCCCGTGCGCGTGCGATCCCTGCGCGACTTTGGCGACATTGACCTTGTAGCGACCCGACTGCTGGACGCAGAGCGACGCAAGGTGAGGCTTGAGGTTTGAATTGGTGATGTGCAGAGCCTGAAATGAGCTCATTACAGCCGTTGGCGACATTGACTACGTGGCGACCCGACTGCTGGACGTGGAGAGACGTAAGGTGAGGCGTCTGGCTTGATGCTTGAGAATCAGATTGTGGGCTCTCGAATGAGCTCAATACGGGCTTTGGTGACATTGATCTGCTAGACCGCAGCACATTAAACCTACTGCATCACCCTCATTCCCTTAGGGCGATGTCAGGTTATACATTTCTCATGGGTTTACAGTACTTGAATTGTGGTTCAACATGTTCCAACACGGTAGAAAGCGGTTCGCTACGTTTACCGCTCTGCACCGTGTTGAAACAAAGTTAACCGCAGTGGCCGTACAAAATGTTGTACAACCTGACATCGCCCTTACCTTTCCATATGTTCTCCTGCCCTTCCTCCATACATTCCTACCACGTGGTAACCACATGCAGGAGAGCACCAAGAGTGCGGAGATCTTGTCGCAGAGAGTGAAAGAGCTGGCAGGGGGTATCCCGCTGTACCAAATAGAGTACGCACTCGCCAGCACCAGAGGCAGCAAGCGGATATTAACAGCAGTGACTGTAGCGGATAGGAAGCTGTACATTGTGAACATTGCAGTGGCGGATTCAGAGAGTGAGCCTGTGGATCTCACCACCCTGGGATTGCTCTGCAGAGCCCTGGACTCGTTTGCCCTGCTGGGCTGAGGGAATTGGTGATGCTGTATTACCAGTATGTCTTGTGCTCTTGTGGCCCTGACTGTAACTGAAAGATGGCATGCGGGAGAATTCCTGCATGCTGCCAACTAATACTATTCTGCTTGCACAATGCGATGCCAAGCCATCTCCTGAATCAGAGAGAGGGTATCCATGAGTGGGATGGCAAGGCCCTAGCCTGGGACGTTTAGCTTCTCAGGCAATCTGGAGTGATGTGATGGTATGGCTGGCACATTATGGTGCCGTAGCAAGAGAACCCCACAACACATGCTCAGGTTGTGCTGCCTGCAGTTTTCGTCAAGGATTCCCTGTCGTGTTGCAGGCAGCAGGATACAGGGCAAAACGCCATTCACTAAGCCGCGGGAGATTTGTCAGGGTTGAGGCCACAGCATGTTTCAGCTATTGCAGCATGAACAGTACAGAACCGTCATTCAAGGCAAGCGCATCCAGACATTATCATTCCAATGACAAATTTAAGGTGAACATGGTAATCCCAGAGGTGGAGGCAGGTTGAGCATCAGTGAGCCGCACGAAACAGGTCCCTGTCATCGTCTTCAGCTGCACCTGAACCATCTCTGCTTTCTTGGCCAGCAGAAGCACCACCACCAGCACCACCAGCGGCACCACCAGTGCCAGCGCCCGAATTAAGGTTAGTGGCACCATTATCACGAGCCTCAGCCCAGGACTCGGACCTCTTTACAAGCACGTTCTCGTCCCCCAGGCCCCCATAGAGGCCCTGCTGTTTAGGGGACTTCACTCGCTCCATGTACCACTTCATTCTGTCTGCCACACTCACCTTGCCGCTTGGTGATGCCGCCGCGGATGGCGACAGGAGGGCGGAGGGGGTTGGAGATGATACAGCCTGCAGTGCTGGTGATGGTGATGCTGCTACAGACAAGCCTGATTGGCTAGACTGTGCTGCTGCTGATGTGGACGCTGACGTGGATCCTGGAGAGCCACCACCCGCAGCAGTGTTCTTGGTGCGCACGCGTGGAATCACCACGGTCCGCACGAGAGAGTCAAAGCGTCCCATGAGGCTACCCCCCTCCTTCACCCCCACAGGCCCCGGCTCTGCCCCCACGTGGGCGCCGTCTGAGAACCCCACCACCTCCACCAGCAGCCCGCCCTGCTCGTCTCGGAACTTCACCCGTGCTCTCCTCGCTCTAGACGCCGCCTCACTTGTTGACAAAGCGGCGTGAGGCTTGCTTGAGCCGCCCACTGCTTCTGTTGAAGGCGCTCCTGCTTTGTGCTTCTTTCCAGTTGGCTCCTCATCGCCTGCCTTCCCATTCCTCCCTTCACCTGCTTTATCGGCCCTTCGCTCATCCCCGCCCTTCCTTCCTTCTGCTGCTGCTTCCGCCTCTCCTCCCTCCTCCCCCCCTCCTTCTTCCCTCTTCCTCTTCCTCTCCCTCTCCACGGCTCGTCTGGAGGGACCAGCGCCGGTATTCCCGAGGTTAAATTCCCCGGCGGGCAGCCCAAGCAGATTCAGCACCATGTTGTACTGTGCAACTGCCTCTGGGTCGTCCTTATCCGGGGGAGGTGGCAACTGCTGCTGCTCCTGCTGATGTTCTCTCGCTCCCGGCCAGGCTGTAGTAGCAGCTGTAGCAGCAAAAGGCGCTTCTTCTGAAGTGGCAAGATCAGTAGCTGCTGCAGCAGGAGGCAAAGGTGATGGCGGTGGGGGCTGCGGGATTGCCTTACGCAGCACGTACGTGCGTGTGGAGGCAGCAAAGCGCAGGGATTGGCCGGGCTCTATCTCAACAGGAATATCCTTTAAGAGCCGCTCGTTAGAGACATAAGTGCCATGGACCGAGCTGCGAACAGGGAAAAAGCAAGAGTGTTAAAGCATGTTAAAGGTGTTCAGAACGGTGCAGTACAATACGCACCCCAGGTCAATGACAAAGACGCTGCCGTTCTTCCGGTGCACCACTGCGGCGTGCTGGCGGGAGAGAGAGGGGTGCTCCAGCACATAGTCACATGTGGTGGTTTGCCGCCCAAACAGAGACCGTTTCTTGTCCAATGGTATGCTGCCAGCTGAGACTCCATCCTGCCGCATCACATCACGAACACATCCCACGCAAGATAAACAGCATTCTGAGTTTCACACTCCGAATCGCAACTACACGCTTCCCTGGATGCAGCCTCTGTCGCTGAACCTCTTGCTGCTCCTCACGCGAACTCCGCTGTCAATGCGTGAGGGAGAATAATCACCTTAAGAACTTCCAGCGAGTACACGCCTGGTTTTGGAACCACAGACCACTCCGGAGGCTGCCACGTGGACGATCCTCCGCCAATGGTGATCGCAACTACTTGCTCCTGCTCCTGCTGCTGTTGCGGTTGCTGCTGCTGTTGCGGTTGCTGCCGCTGCTGTTGAGTCGCATGCGTCTGTGCGGCATGTTCCTGCGATTTAGTAAAAGGCGATCGGACGGGCTGAGCTGACGTGGCATAGATGACGGTACCTGTCGCACGGCCTGCTGCGACAACCGTCGCCTGCGACGCAGCGGACGACTTTTCGAGAGCGGCTGCGCGAGTCTCCCCAATACCGAAAGGGTCTGACGACTGCGCTTTCTTAAACCGGTCGAGATTATATCGGTTGAACATGTCCGCTGATTGGATCGTGGCGCGCGGTTTGGGGCACTGGACAGAAAATAGCAACGGATAAAAGCACAAAGTAGGGAGAAGTATACTGCAAGCTTCAGGTTCAGGGATATCTATGGTCGTAACGATACTTGCTGGAAACATAAGCATGGTTCGAAGAAACAATTCTCGAAGACCTCTGTACGCGTTAAGAAATAGGCCAGGAATTATCTTATGTTATCAAACAAATGTAATCATCAACCTTCACACAACAGTGTACTCCAATCGCTACGATCAAGGTTTGTGGGGATGCCTTGGGTTCATCTCCCCTCTCCTGGGAAAGCCGAGCTTGGCGAACTATGATCCCAGAATGTCATTCTCGCTGCATTCCATGATCGCCTGACAGCCTCTTCGTATCGCCTCGCCGTCACCTCGCCGTCGCCTCGTCACCTTGATGTGGACGGGGCCTGCAGCCAGCAGCTGCGTCGCGGTAGCGCGATTCAGCGTCCCGCTTACCCCGCTCCGTTCGCTTAGCTCTCTTCGATCGCTTAGTCAACTTAGGTCCCGCTGTGTCGTGGCGGCCATACCGTCACCTCGCGCGTTCGACGGCGGTGCGTGCCTCGATAACCGTCCCTCGTCCGTGGCGAATTCGCCCGCATTAGCGCGGACGGTTCCAATGGCTGTCCACGTCAGCGCGCATCGTCCGTTGGTCGGCGTCAGCAGCGGCCTCAACGCTCATCGGCGCGCTTTCAACGCGCGAATCCCCGTTAGTAGCTCTTCCTCATCTGCCTTTATCGGGAAAGGCGGGATTTTGCGGGGTGTGGCCGGCAATGGTCGCGAAATGGTCGACGGAAACGGCGGATTTCGACGCGCGATGCTGATCGCGGCGTCATTGATGGGAGGCGGAGCTGCTGCTGCTGGCGCTGCTGCTACCTCCACTGGGGCCATGGCGGAAGGTGAGCCATCAGACAGAACGGTTATCCCACGGCATTGTGAGCATCTCATTCAACCATACACGCGTGCAAGTGAGCACAGTTGCCATGTCGTTTTCCGCCCACTCCATTTCCCACCCCCAACCCCCTCCTCTTCAACCCGCTTCCCCTTACCCTGCATCACCCCAATCAGTGAGGGGCGAGTGCATCACCCCAATCAGTGAGGGGCGAGTGCATCACCCCAATCAGTGAGGGGCGAGTGCATCACCCCAATCAGTGAGGGGCGAGCGAGCGCATCACCCCAATCAGTGAGGGGCGAGTGCATCACCCCAATCAGTGAGGGGCGAGTGCATCACCCCAATCAGTGAGGGGCGAGCGCATCACCGTCCCCACTCCCCTTCCATGCCCTTCCACTGCTCATTTCCCATCCGCCTCCAGATCTTACCGCTTCAGCTGGACCCACCTTGGCGTCTGCAACCGAATCTGACTCAGAATCAGATCTCAACTCGGGATACGCTCTGCCGCCAGCGGAGATCCTGTCCATCGTGGATGCGCCGCCCAATCCCGCGCTGTCGTTTAGCCCGAAGCGGGAGAGGGTACTGTTCATGCACCGACCCTCCCTGCCGCCCATTTCCGAGCTGGCTCGGCCGGAGCTGAAGCTGGCTGGGGTGAGGATCGACCCCGAAGCTCACAGCCGCAGCAGAATGTGAGTCACGGCCAGCAGCGTGTGAGTCATGGCGGCAGCAGCGTATGAGTCACAGCGGCAGCAGTATATGAGATACATAGGCCTCAGACTGGTGTGGTGCTTTCCCCCATCTCACCTTCTTGCCCCCTCTGCACGCTCTCTCTGCACCAGGTCGTTCTACACGGGAGTGACGATCCACAGGGTGAATGGCGACGACACACTGGGGGACGCGGTGGACATCACAGGCCTGCCGCCTCACAGCAAGATCAACTTCCTCTCCTGGTCAGGGCAGGGGGGTTTGTCAGGGGTATTTTTGAATTGATTACCATGAAGGGTGGAGTTATGGTTCTAGGAAACTTACCTTCTTCTTACTTGCATGGTTAAGGCAGACTGGAGATGGGGCATTTATTTAGCCTCTTTGCTGCGCCCTCACTATATGCATGCATACGCGGCATGGCAGTCAACGAATACCATTGCCCAAACAGCTTGTCAGTCGCCACATCATCATCTGCCTCCCCTTGTGCTCCATGTGCGTGGCAGGTCACCAGACGGGCAGCACTTGGCGTTCACTGTGCGCGGCGACGGCGAGGAGGTGAGACAATCACAGTGCCCCACGGGTGTGTCATGTTTTCTGTCGGATAACAATGGCTGGAGAGAAGGTGAGGCACTGACAGTGCCCCACTGGTGCATGTCTCTCTGCGCCTTATCCGCTTCTCCGGTATTCCACCTGCTGCCCACTGTCCTGTCTGTACCTCTCTCTCCTCAACCCGCATCCCCTCACCCTTGTCCCCTGCAACCTTCGTCCTCCACCCTTCTCCCCACATCCTTCCGGCCCTACCCTTCTTTCCCCCGTCCTCCCCTGACCCTTCTCCCTCCAGGGCGACAATGGTGAGAAGCAGGCAGGCCGCCAGCTGTCACTCTGGGTGGCTGACGTGGCGACAGGCAAGGCAAGGCAGCTGCTGGGGCCGCCGCACGCAGCCATCAACGCCGTCTTCGACTCGTGAGAATCTTCCCTCCGCCCTGCCTCCCTCAGTTCCTCCCTCAGTTCCTCCCTCAGTTCCTCCCTCAGTTCCTCCCTCAGTTCCTCCCTCAGTTCCTCCCTCAGTTCCTCCCTCAGTTCCTCCCTCAGTTCCTCCCTCAGTTCCTCCCTCAGTTCCTCCCTCAGTTCCTCCCTCAGTTCCTCCCTCAGTTCCTCCCTCAGTTCCTCCCTCAGTTCCTCCCTCAGTTCCTCCCTCAGTTCCTCCCTCAGTTCCTCCCTCAGTTCCTCCCTCAGTTCCTCCCTCAGTTCCTCCCTCAGTTCCTCCCTCAGTTCCTCCCTCAGTTCCTCCCTCAGTTCCTCCCTCAGTTCCTCCCTCAGTTCCTCCCTCAGTTCCTCCCTCAGTTCCTCCCTCAGTTCCTCCCTCAGTTCCTCCCTCAGTTCCTCCCTCAGTTCCTCCCTCAGTTCCTCCCTCAGTTCCTCCCTCAGTTCCTCCCTCAGTTCCTCCCTCAGTTCCTCCCTCAGTTCCTCCCTCAGTTCCTCCCTCAGTTCCTCCCTCAGTTCCTCCCTCAGTTCCTCCCTCAGTTCCTCCCTCAGTTCCTCCCTCAGTTCCTCCCTCAGTTCCTCCCTCAGTTCCTCCCTCAGTTCCTCCCTCAGTTCCTCCCTCAGTTCCTCCCTCAGTTCCTCCCTCAGTTCCTCCCTCAGTTCCATCCTCCTTCAGTTCCTCCCTCAGTTCCTCCCTCAGTTCCTCCCTCAGTCCCTCCCTCAGTCCCTCCCTCAGTTCCTCCCTCAGTTCCTCCCTCAGTTCCTCCCTCAGTTCCTCCCTCAGTTCCTCCCTCAGTTCCTCCCTCAGTTCCTCCCTCAGTTCCTCCCTCAGTTCCTCCCTCAGTTCCTCCCTCAGTTCCTCCCTCAGTTCCTCCCTCAGTTCCTCCCTCAGTTCCTCCCTCAGTTCCTCCCTCAGTTCCTCCCTCAGTTCCTCCCTCAGTTCCTCCCTCAGTTCCTCCCTCAGTTCCTCCCTCAGTTCCTCCCTCAGTTCCTCCCTCAGTTCCTCCCTCAGTTCCTCCCTCAGTTCCATCCTCCTTCAGTTCCTCCCTCAGTTCCTCCCTCAGTCCCTCCCTCAGTTCCTCCCTCAGTTCCTCCCTCAGTTCCTCCCTCAGTTCCTCCCTCAGTTCCTCCCTCAGTTCCTCCCTCAGTTCCTCCCTCAGTTCCTCCCTCAGTTCCTCCCTCAGTTCCTCCCTCAGTTCCTTCCTCCCTCAGTTCCTCCCTCAGTTCCTCCCTCAGTTCCTCCCTCAGTTCCTCCCTCAGTTCCTTCCTCCCTCAGTTCCTCCCTCAGTTCCTCCCTCAGTTCCTCCCTCAGTTCCTCCCTCAGTTCCTCCCTTTAGACATGATCAGTCGAGGCGAGTTCTGCATCGACTCGCCGCCTCGACTCGATTTCTTAGCGAGTCGAGTAAATGCTTTCGAAGATTTGACTCGTGACGGGTCGAGTCGAGTCGCGCTCGTTTAGGGTTGCCGATGCATCGTTGACTCGGGCCTGATTTAGCCGAGTCAGCTTTGACTCGACTCGATTTTGACTCGTACGAGTCTTTGTGCGGAGACGAGTCGAGTGACTCGGTGCCACTCGGATGAGTGCTGTACCTGTCGCTACTTCGACCCTAGGGTTTCACACTTGCAGATACAGCACATGTGTAAGCTGACTTGACTATTGTGCCAACGTGTTCTGTCCCAGGTGGATTTGCCGAACATTCACGATACACGCCAACGTATCAGGAAAATCACTACATCACTTGGCTGGCCGCACAATTCAGCTTGCTCCTGCTGCATAGGGTTTGACACGTGGCGTGGATGGTGTCTTGATATCCACGAAAATTCCAAACTTGGGTTTTAGGGTTACATGGAATTCCACATTGATTCGTGCCCCAATAGATCCAGCTCACGAACTCCACTCCAATGGCGTTTCGCGCCTAATGAGTCTGACAAGGAGAATCGAACGTACACGAAGTACTGATTGGGCAGTGACTATGTAGCTAAGTCCTGATTGGGCGGTGACTTTTTAGCGATTGAAGATGTTTCGCAACGGATTCAGCACGCGAATTCGGGTCACCTTAACATTTCGCCGCTAGGAGTCTGACAGAGGGGGATCTGATCGTTCACGAAAAGTCCTGATTGGGCGGTCATTTTGAACGTTGAGGATTGGTTCGCCACGGATCCAGCACAAAGCGCGTCAGGTTGAAATTTCGCGGCACAGGCTCTGACAGATGGATGTTGTAACATTCACGAATATCGCCACTCTTTTCACACACTTCAGGCAGGTGTTCTTGAATTCGTGCTGTCGTGCTGGATCAAGACACTTCGAAGCATTACTCGCCGCGCTAGAGTTGTCAACACAGGCCCGATTCGGGATTTTGATGTCGGCGATTCGAGGTAGTCGTTTCCAACGAATATCACAGTCCAGTCTCTTAGTATTCATCTCCCGCTACACAGTTGGGACGATTATTTATTGCACAGGTGAATGCTTAATTGTGCTGTAGTAGAAGACCTCACTAGATCTGACATTCTTATCATTAAGATTCAGGCCACCATTCTGTCCACCATAGTCTAGGACAGTAGCGACCATGGCACGGGGCAAGGGCGGTCGTCGGCGTGGGAAGACCCGTGGTGGCCATAGTACCGTCACGGAGGGAGCTCGGGGAGGCGGGCGTGACGCTCCCGTGTTAGGAGCTGAGAGGCGACTGCTCCAACGCCTTGCAGCTAGTGGGGACGGAGGATCCTCTCTTCGAAATGCGCCCCTGTCAACTCCTGCAGGTATTGTGCGTGCGGAGGGCGGAGAAAACGAGATAGATGGCGGGGAAATGGTGGGTTCTTGTAAAGGGAGGACCCTACGCGAGATAGACGGGTTTGAAGAGGGAGATGCTGATGAGGATCTTGAGGGGGGTGAGGATCTTGAGGGGGGTGAGGATAATGCAGGCAAGGAGAATGACATTGATGACGGCGGGGATGGGGGTGATGTTGACGGTGGTGGGGATGGCATGGAAGGTGATGGTGAGAATGGTGACGGTGTTGAATCCATTAATCAAGTTGCCAATGGAGGAAAGCGTAGGAAGACGGCAGGGGGGACGGGAGCAGCAGCAGCAAAAGGGGAGGTGGTGGGGAGATCGGATAGTAAACCTGGAAAGGTGGTGCGGTGTTATTCAGAGACTAAGCGAGGGGATCATCGGCAGTGTCGCGTCTGTGGTGACTGGCTCTCGTTCGCGGGAAGCAACACCAACACCGGCAAAAACCACATGATTCGCGCCCATGGGTCTCATTGGGCTATTTGGGATCGCCTATTTGAGACAGGGCAACTCGACCCGAACGAGCGCATTCCCAAGCGAGGTTACAAGGGTGTACCAAATGGCCCTGGTGTGTGGGTGGGCTGCGCCACATGGCCAGACCCTCCCCCAGGGGGTGCTGAGCCTAGCGGGGAAGCGCAGCAGTCTATGAGGTCCTACGTTTCGCGCAAGCTCAACGTTCCCTACTTCCGACAACTGTTGGCCGAGTACCTCGTGGACGCCGACAACGCCTTCCGCACCGTGGAGCGCCCCACGGTAATAGCCAACCAAACGCTTTTCAATGTTGGCTAAATGTGTTAACTTAAAAGGGTTTCAGTTTGAGTGTTTACTTATGAGCACCTGTGCTCGGTTTTGTGCAGTTTCGGCGCTTGATCATCGAGCTGAATGGTCAGGCCCCCAAGCCTAACGTCATCCCATCTCGCCATACCCTTTCGAGAGATGTCATGATGTATGCTGCGCGAGCACGAGCGCATTTGAAGGCGGCTCTGAAGGCGGCCGGTCTTTCAGCAGTGTCCATCACAACCGACATATGGACAGGAGATAACAAGCGAGGTTACATGGCCGTCACCGTTCATTATGTTGACGCGAACTTTGTCCTAAGGCAGGGGCTTCTGGACTTTGTGGAGTTGGGTCCTGATCACACTGCCGATGTGATTGCTGCGACGTTCGAGAAGGTGGTGGAGGAATGGGGGCTGGCGGGGAGGGTGTTTGCCGTGACGACGGACAATGCGGAATCGAACGTCAAGGCTTTTCGAGAGCTGGCTAGCAGGGGCGGCACAAGCGGCAACGGCATCTCTCTGCTTGGCGCTGAAATGCATTTCCGGTATGCTTGGCAGCATAAGTCCCTCGCCCGTGCAAAGTCAAACTCGCTCCTAGCTCAACCTCTGCTCATAACCTATCTCCCTTGTTACCTGACCGTTTGCCTTCCTGTCACTTTGGTCGTCACACAGATGCATGGCACATGTGCTCAACATTGCTGTCCAGAAAGTGCTGAGTATAGACATTGTCAAAGCGGCCGTGCAGAAGCTGCGTGACATAGCTTCTTACTTCGGGAACTCGTCCAAGCGTTGGGCAAACTTCGCAGCAGACCAGCGGACCGTGTTTCCAGGCAAGCCAATTCTGAAATTGAAGGGAGACAATGATGTGCGCTGGAACTCGTGCTATGCCATGGTGAAGCGGGGGCTTCACCTGCGACGACCCTTGGAGATCCATTTCTCGGGCAGTCAGGTAATGATCCACACAACCCCTCCATGGTTGTAGTGCAGCAACCATTGCCCGAACCTAACTACGTCTGTCCCCATACCCCCAAATCAGGGCGCGACTGAAGCCGAGAGGAAGCGGTTCAAGGACCTCCGCCTCTCTGATGAGGACTGGGCAGCGCTAGAGGAACTTTTGAAGTTTCTTGAGCCCTTCGACACGATCACGCAGGCCGTGGAGGGGTCACTCTATGTGACCGTCAGCAGCGTGGTGCCCCATTACAACGACATCCTCGATGTCTTAGAGGGGATGTACCACAACTTGGCTGCGCAGCCAAGTAACCTGCTGAAGGCATGCATTGATGCTGCCCTCCCCAAGCTCAAGCAGTACTACTATGGTAGCTCTGATGAGCTGGTTGTGGCCACCTTTCTGGACCCACAATACAAGCTCAGCTATTTTGAGCTACCGTCATGGGAGTCAGAGCACCCGGAGTTGGCTGCAGTGGTGGGTGAGCAAGCGAGGGAGGTCGGTTCTGTTGCCCCTGCAGAGGTCGTGCGCTTGGTGAAGGCTCGTTGGCAGCCTTACTGGAACCGCTACCAGGCTTCTTTGGGGGTGGTGGCTTCGAGCAGCAATGGAGAGGGAGGGCAGCCAGGGTCGTCGGGTGGGGGGGCTGGCAGTGGTGGTCATGTGACACGCAAGAGGGGACATCTGCGTGCTCGGATGGAAGCTCTGTTGGCAAACACGCACACAACCACGCGTGACGAAGTGGACCGCTACCTTGAAGAGCCGGTGCAGCTGGACGTCAGCCCCTTGGCTTATTGGCGAGCCAAGACTGATCTCCCGGCCATGCGCGAGATGGCCAAGGATTACTTGGCCATCCCAGCCACGTCGGCGGCTAGTGAGAGGATCTTCTCGCAGAGCCGCAACCTCATCTCACGTCATCGTCACCGTCTTAGCGCGGACCGCATCCGAGCCACCATGACTTTGAAGCTGTGGATTGCCGCCCATGGTGGGGAGGAGCTTCTGGAGGCCCCTACTAAGAATCCTACTGAGGCTCCTACTGAGGCACCGACTGAGACCTCTACTGATGGGGCTGTTGAGAGTGACGATGACGAGTGACAATGCAACGCTTAGTTCTTGATCAAAGCCAGCATAAACTTTTGTTAAGGTCCAGATCTGTCAGAACAAAGTCTTCAGCTCTAAGTACTTCAATTACTAGTATAGTTGAGTCCATGTCTTATGCATCCCATCCATCCCCTAGTATTCGTTGAATGAGCCAGGTTCAAAACCAATAACAGTTGTGTCTTGTCCCTAGTCTCGCTGGTTTTTATCCATGGTGTGTGTTCCATTTGTTTGCATGCCAAGTATGTGCTTCCCAAATACCCCTTGTGTTATTTTTATGATGCTACTAGTTGTTGAGTGTGTGCTAGTAATTCTCTTGTGCAAGGGATGTCATGTCCATATTCCGTCACCTGCAGCGAGCATCGTGACTAGCGAGCATCGTGACCAGCGAGCATTGTGATTAGCGAGTATCGTGATCAGCGAGCATCGTGACCAGCGAGCATCGTGACTAGCGAGCATCGTGACCAGCGAGCATCGTGATTACTGAGCATCGTGACTAGCGAGCATTGTGACCAGCGAGCATCGTGACTAGCGAGCATCGTGAGTAGCATCGTGAGCATCGTGATTGACATCGTGAGAATATAAAACCGTTAAGAGGTATCTGTAAATTTCAAATAAATTCCTTTTTCAATCCGTTAAATGATTGAAACCAATTATTCTAAAAATAGATTGTTCAATGAGATCATAGAAAAACATATTAATACTAAGAGAAGCTAATCTAAAGATGAAAAAAAATAAATTGATAACCTAGTAGATTTTGTCAGAATCCCAGTCACTAACCACTGGGATAAAAGAGCCTTTTTGTATAGCGGGTGAGTGCGCCCATAACCCCCCAGACCAACGTGCCTGTAACCCTTCCCTAGGATCAATCGGGGATCACCAGTGGACCTCTGACAGATTTAGCTAGCTTATGGATGTAATAAATCGCTACAACGCAATGGCGCAACGATCGAGCGGCGTAATGATTGAGCGACGCAGCGACGCAACGACGCAACGAGGCAACAACACAACGGCGCAACGATCCGACGGTGCAATGATGACATACGATGTAATAAATCGCAACAGCGCAACGACTCAATGGCGGATCTGCATTTACTAGAAATACTACATATAATAATGTATGTTCCATTTTAGACTAGCTAGTATATGTGGCACATTGTAGTAATATTGGAACATTGTAATATCGTGACAAACGAGCATCGTGACTAGCGAGCATCGTGACCAGCAAGCATCGTGACTAGCGAGCATCGTGACTACCGAGCATCGTGACCAGCGAGCATCGTGACTAGCGAGCATCGTGACCAGCGAGCATCGTGACTAGCGAGCATCGTGACCAGCGAGCATCGTGACTAGCGAGCATCGTGACCAGCGAGCATCGTGACTAGCGAGCATCGTGACTAGCGAGCATCGTGACCAGCGAGCATCGTGACTAGTCAGCATCGTGACCAGCGAGCATCGTGACTAGCGAGCATCGTGACTAGCGAGCATCGTGACTAGCGAGCATCGTGACTAGCGAGCATCATGACCAGCGAGCATCGTGATTAGCGAGCATCGTGATCAGCGAGCATCGTGACCAGCGAGCATCGTGACTAGCGAGCATCGTGACCAGCGAGCATCGTGACTACTGAGCATCGTGACTAGCGAGCATCGTGACCAGCGAGCATCGTGACTAGCGAGCATCGTGAGTAGCATCGTGAGCATCGTGATTGACATCGTGAGAATATAAAACCGTTAAGAGGTATCTGTAAATTTCAAATAAATTCCTTTTTCAATCCGTTAAATGATTGAAACCAATTATTCTAAAAATAGATTGTTCAATGAGATCATAGAAAAACATATTAATACTAAGAGAAGCTAATCTAAAGATGAAAAAAATAAATTGATAACCTAGTAGATTTAGCTAGCTTATGGATGTAATAAATCGCTACAACGCAATGGCGCAACGATCGCCAAAGAACAAAGGGTACGTGCTTGCTGCCAAAGTAAGCTCATTATCAAGCTCTTAGGACAAGCGGGTGTGCTTTACGATCACCCTAAATGTAAGTTTGTTCAGAGGCAGTCTGATCTGTATCTCAATCACAGCAAGGCATAACAGCCACATGTCTAATTCCTATCACATCCCCCAGGGAACCCTTGGAAGAAGTAAATGTTGTGCAGTCACCTTTCGCACCTGCCCACACATTTGGAGGTCGTGGGTGGCTGGCAGGCATGAGGGGGGAATGTAAGATATGGCGTGTATAGTGTGATTCATTGATTAACAGCTCAATATGACGGAGCAGCGGCGGGAGAGAGGAAGGGAGGGTAGACATTACAAGGGGGCTAGCAGAAGTGGGAGGCCGAGGCAGGATAAGTGGCAGCATGGGTGGCCGACGGACGTCTTATCTGTGGAAAAAGGTTGTGGGGTGGGGGAGAGGTGGCATGGCAACTGATTGGGTTGAAAGTATGACAGTTCAGGTTTGCAACTGCTTAAGGCAGAGGTACAGCGGAAACTGTGCTGCCGTACACCCCCAAAACTCCCCCTAACATAAATGTTTCCTTGAAAAACAGAAACACAGGTCGAGTCAAGCCTCCCTGGCGAGTAGCTTGACTCGCCCTCGAGTCAGACTTGACTCGACCCCTAAAACGAGTCTCAAGTCAGCATTCTCCCAAAACCGACTCGAGGTTGACTCGACTCGACTCGACTCGACCATAATCCTGACTCGACCACGGATCGAAGAGACTCGGCTCGACTCGACTCGTGATCATGTCTACCTCCCTCAGTCCCTCCCTCAGTTCCTCCCTCAGTTCCTCCCTCAGTTCCTCCCTCAGTTCCTCCCTCAGTCCCTCCCTCAGTTCCTCCCTTAGTTCCTCCCTCAGTTCCATCCTCCTTCAGTTCCTCCCTCAGTTCCTCCCTCAGTCCCTCCCTCAGTTCCTCCCTCAGTTCCTCCCTCAGTTCCTCCCTCAGTTCCTCCCTCAGTCCCTCCCTCAGTTCCTCCCTCAGTTCCTCCCTCAGTTCCTCCCTCAGTTCCTCCCTCAGTCCCTCCCTCAGTCCCTCCCTCAGTTCCTCCCTCAGTTCCTCCCTCAGTTCCTTCCTCCCTCAGTTCCTCCCTCAGTTCCTCCCTCAGTTCCTCCCTCAGTCCCTCCCTCAGTTCCTCCCTCAGTTCCTCCCTCAGTTCCTCCCTCAGTTCCTCTCTCAGTTCTATCCTCCCTCAGTTCCTCCCTCAGTTCCTCCCTCAGTTCCTCTCTCAGTTCTATCCTCCCTCAGTTTCTCCCTCAGTTCCATCCTCCCTCAGTTCGTCCCTCAGTTTCAGTTCCTCCCTCAGTTCCTCCCTCAGTTCCTCCCTCAGTTCCTCCCTCAGTTCCTCCCTCAGTTCCACGTGCCCACGCGCCCTGCTATCCCCCCCGGTCCCAAGATCTCGTGTTCCACGCGCTCCTCCCCCACCCCTGCCCAACTCGCCGCACCCCTCCGCAACCCATCCCACCCTCCCAACCCCTTTCAACCCCACAGCTACGCGTGGCTGGACGGCAGCACGCTCATTGCGAGCATCATCCCGCCCGGCCACCCGCCTCTGCCCACGCGCCCTGCCGTGCCCCCCGGCCCCAAGATCTCGGACAACCAGGGGGGCGTGGCGGCACAGTCACGCACGTTCACGGATCTGCTCAAGGACGAGTTTGATGCCCGCCTGCTTGAGCACTTTGCGATGTCGCAGATCGTCAGGATTGATATCAATGATCCCGAGGGCACTATGATGCCCGTTGGCCCGCCGGACATGTACATGTCGGTATGTGCTGGGGGGGAGTGGGGGAGAGAGGGGAGGGAGGGGCGGGAGGGGAGGGAGAGTGGGAGAGGGAGGGAAGGGGCCTCGCAACAGCAGGTACGTGCTGGTTGATGGCATGTTGCGGCCCTGCGTCCTCAATGCTGCCCAATTCTTCCCCACCTACAGCAACCAGTCTCACTCCCCACCGCACCCCACCCCACACAGGTGGAGCCATCTCACGACGGCAGGTACCTGCTGGTGGAGCGCATGTGCCGCCCCTTCTCCTTTGAGGTGCCCTTTGCCCTCTACATGGGAAGGCCTTTTCTCAGCAGCAACCTGTATCTCTTCTCTTTCCACCCCGCTCTTCCACCCCACACAGGTGGAGCCATCGCACGACGGCAGGTACTTGCTGGTGGAGTGAATGTGCCGCCCCTTCTCCTTCGAGGTGCCCTGTGCGCCCATGCCGCCCCTATTCTTCCTCCGCATGCCATCTGCCGTGCACGAGCTGTATCCTCCCTCGTGACATCAACATGTCTCTCTTCGCTCCCTTGCCCTTCCGCCCCTCCCCTCCCCTCCCCCCACACAGGTGGAGCCATCACACGATGGCAAGTACCTGCTGGTGGAGCGCATGTGCCGCCCCTTCTCCTTTGAGGTGCCCTGTGGCCGCTTCCCCCGCCGCGTGGAGGTGTGGCGCAGCGACACGGGCGACCTGCTGCAGGTGAGGAGGAGGGTTTGGTGTGAAAATGAGTAGGGGGAAAAGGGTGGTCCTATTGGTGGTGGGGGGCGGAATGGGTGCAAGTGGCCCAATTCTCTCTCAAGTGACTTTCTATTCCGTGAAAGCAGGCCATGGGAGGATTAGTCCCCTGTTCCTCTCCCACTGCCCCTCTCTTGGATGCCTTTGCCCCTGTCCCTCTCGTGCGTGGATCATACAGCTGGTGGCGGACCTACCGCTGGCGGACAACATCCCAGTGACCTTCAACTCCGTCAGGACGGGCCGCCGCAGCATCAACTGGCGCCCTGACGTGCCCAACTGCCTCTACTGGTAGGTGGGAATCTACTACTACGTCCTCACATTGTACTGAATGCTACCGTGTCGTTTGGCTCTTTCAGGTCGACATCTTGTAAAAGGTTTGCTGCTTTGGAAAAACTAGAGTGCCCTGTGCTCCCCCATTTGACATCCTTCCCATGCCTGCTGCATGCTGCCTCGCCCCTGCTGCCTCGCCCCTGCTGCCTCGGCCCTGCTGTGCGTCCCCCCCGGCCTTTCATGATTCACCCCTGCCAGGGTGGAGACGCAGGACGGGGGGAACGCCAAGGTGGACGCCTCTCCGCGTGACGTCGTGTACACCCTGCCGGCTGACTCTACGCCCTGCTGTGCCTCCTGCCTCGTCTCTGCTGCTTTCCCACCCCACCTTCCTCCCGCACATCCATGGGCAGGGTGGAGACGCAGGATGGGGGAGACGCCAAGGTGGACGCCTCTCCACGTGACATCGTGTACACACTGCCGGCTGACCCCAAGCCCGCCCAGCAGCCTCAGCAGCTCTGCCGCCTCGACCTGCGCTATGGGTGCGTGCGTGCGTGCGTGCGTGCGTGCGTGCGTGCGTGCGTGCGTGCGTGCGTGCGTGCGTGCGTGCGTGTGTGTGTGTGTGTGCGTGCGTGCGTGCGTGTGTGTGTGTGTGGGTGTGGGTGCATGCAAACCACCGCAAAAACAGGCTTCTGGGGAGTGTTTCCCATTTACTTGTTGGTTCTGTAACGCATCCTATGTTGGTCCCATTCATTCTTCTTGTTCTTCCACTCATGTCTCCGTGCATGCACGCCCTCCATCACCCTCCATATCCCATAACGGGGTGAGGGTTTCTACGGTGACACCTCCAGATCCCTCCCACCACCCTTTCCCCGTCCATCAGAGGTATCACGTGGGGTGACGAGGGTCTGGCGCTGGTCTACGAGAGCTGGTTCAAGACCCGCCGAACCCGAACCTGGGCCATAGCCCCGGGCGGCGCTTCCGGACCTCTTCCCCCAGACCAGCGCCCCCCGCCGAAGCTCATCTTCGACCGGTCCTATGAGGACCGGTATTCCGACCCTGGCGGGCCCCTCCTGCGCCGAACCAGTATGGGAACCTACGTGCTGGCGCAGGTTCGGATGCCAGATGGCGCGCTGCGATTGCTCCTCGCCGGTGACGGGGCGAGCCCGGAGGGCAACGTGCCGTTCCTTGACCTGTTTGACAGGCAGACGGGGGAGAAGGAGCGCGTGTGGCGCAGCGATACAGACAAGTACTTTGAAACCATGTACTCGCTGCTGGGCGACCAGGAGGAGGGACCCATTGACCTCAAGGACCTCAAGCTCATCTTATCGCGCGAGTCGAAAGACGACCCGCCCCAGTCGTTCGTCAAGAGGTGCGGAACTGGTTCCATCTGACTGCACATAAACGGGTTGCTTCTGCTTCACGAATGTCAACTGCTGCCATCTCTGGCTTCAGCCTCCACCCCACCCACCTTCCTGCCTTTCCCCCTCTCTCTCTCTACCGCCCTCTCTCCCTCCACTTCGCCAAACCCCTCCCCTCACCGCACACCAGGTGGGCGGACGGGTCGGAGGTGCAGCTGACTCACTTCCCGCACCCCTACCCGTCGCTGCGCGGGCTGTCCAAGGAGATCATCCGCTACTCGCGATCCGACGGTGTGCAGCTCACGGCCAAGCTCTTCCTGCCGCCCGGCTACAGCCCCGCTACAGACGGGCCGTTACCCATGGTGCTGTGGGCGTACCCCCGCGAGTACAAGAGCAAGGAGGCAGCTGGGCAGGTGCAGGGCTCGCCCAATCAGTTCCCTGGGATCGGGGCGTCTTCACCGTTGCTCTTCCTGGCTAGAGGGTAAGGCTCTTTCTCTTTGCTACAGACGGCCCGTTGCCCACGGTGCTGTGGGCGTACCCCTGCGAGTACAAGAGCAACGAGGCCGCCGGGCAGGTGCAGGGCTCGCCCAACCAGTTCCCTGGGATCGGGGCGTCTTCACCTCTGCTCTTCCTCGCTAGAGGGTAAGGCCTCAGCTTTGTTCCAAGTGCCCACTGCGTGCACATGGGATCTGTGTTGATTCAGGGCTGGGTCGGCTCTAGCAAGGCAAGTATCCCTTACAGCAACCTCTTTTTCTCTGCACTTCCCGTGCCATCTTTTTTGTGGTGCCTAACAGATGCGTTGTCTTCTTTGCACGCCTCATGCCCCTCTACCACCCTTCATCAATCCCTGTGCAGCTACGCGGTGCAGAGTGGACCCTCAATGCCCATAATAGGGCAGGGCGAGGAGGAAGCACATGACCGGTTTGTGGAGCAGCTAGTCTCTAGCGCAGAGGCGGCAGTGGATAAGGTGGTGCGGCGCAGCATAACCTCCCACCCCCTTCTCCCCCCATCTTTTGAGGCGTCTCAAAAGGCGGCATCACCTCCCACCCCCTTCTCCCCCCATCTTTTGAGGCGTCTCAAAAGGCGGCATCACCTCCCACCCCCTTCCCCCCCCGTCTCTCCCTGCGCAGTTACGCGGTGCTGAGTGGACCCTCAATGCCCATAATAGGGCAGGGCGAGGAGGAGGCAAACGACCGGTTCGTGGAGCAGCTGGTCTCCAGTGCAGAGGTGGATGTGGTGGTGGGGCGCGGCGTGACCTCTCCCCCTTGTTTTCCCCCATCTCTCCCTGTCCAGCTACGCGGTGCTGAGCGGCCCCTCAATGCCCATCATAGGGCAGGGCGAGGAGGAGGCGAATGATCGATTCGTGGAGCAGCTAGTCTCTAGCGCAGAGGCAGCGGTGGATGAGGTGGTGCGACGCGGCGTGGCGCAGCGGGATAAGATTGCGATTGGCGGGCACTCGTACGGGGCGTTCATGGCGGCTAACCTGCTCGCCCACGCGCCGCACCTGTTTGCTTGCGCGATTGCGCAGAGCGGTGCTTACAACCGCACGCTCACGCCGTTCTCCTTCCAGGTGTGCATTCTGTGTGCGAGGCATGCTGTGCAGCGTGCAATTCATGAGTATGAGTCGCTTCCATGCCCTTTTTCCCAAATTTCCCGCCATGTTCTCTGCTCTCTCTCTCTCCCCACTCACCCCTCGGAGCAGTCGGAGGAGCGCACGCTGTGGCAGGTGCCGGAGGTGTACATGACCATGAGCCCCTTCCTGGCAGCAGACCGCATCAAGTCGCCCATTCTGCTCGTGCACGGCCAGGACGACAACAACACCGGCACCTTCCCCATGCAGGTCAGGCCTGCATGGCATGAGCATGCTTTGAGGGCGTGTATGGTGCTGGCAGAGTGTACCGGGATGCAGCTAGTGTGTGCATGAGCTCTGGCAGCATCATGCCTTTGAGGTGCTGCTGACTGCGTGGCATGGTGCTGCTGCACCGTGGCATGGACCCTCAGCATGCACGTGTTTGTGGCACCGAGGCTTTCTCTGCCTTTCACTTCAACCTCCGTGCTTTCTGACTCCAACTATTCCAATGTTTCCCTCGTCCCTGTTGCCCTCACCCACTATACCCACTACGCAATCAGACGGAGCGTTTCTTTGCAGCACTCAAGGGGCATGGTGTAACCACCCGCATGGTGCTGTTACCACACGAGGGGCATGGTTACCGCGCCCGTGAGTCGCTGTTACACGTGCTTGCAGAGCAGTCCAACTGGCTTGACAGATATTGCAAGAATCGACCTGCACCGGCAGCAGCACCAGGTGACAAGGAGAGTGAAGCAGGAGGCAGTGCTGAGGTGAAGACAAACGAGCCAGTGGGAGCTGCAGTGGAGGAGGGTGCTAAGGAAGAGAACGGCCATGAGCTTGATGGGTCATGGTTGAGGGCATCCCTGTGAGATGGAAGCATGGGAAAACCACCTGATACCGTGTATCGTTGGAAGAATGTAGCTGTTGCACAAGTTGCAGTTGCATGTTCATATTTTTCTCCTTTTTTTCAAGGCACCCTTAGGTGGAACAGCAGCTGTGATTTCGATGATGTGCGTCAGTCAAAAGATGTAGTATTAAAATATTTGTGATTAGCTTCCACGGATCTGCGGCGCAATGGTAGCGGTCTGATTACAGATCAGAAGGTTGCGTGTTCGTTTCACGTCAGGTTCAACGCCTGGTTTTTCTCACCCTGAACCCTGTTTTTCCCTGCTAGCCGCAGTCGATCTCCACTATTGCCAATATCGGTCCTACGTTCATGCATAGTCGTGTGCGGCTCTCGTTTCATCTAACGTGTAGATGTCAAGGCTTATGGCTGGAACCAGCTCAGCCTCCAAGATTCTTCTGGTCCAGGGACCTGGACCAATGCAAGCCACGGAATTTACCATCTCGTTACAAGAACCTGGGCTCACATTCAGTGCCTCCACAATGACAGGAGGTGGGGAATCCACCAGCCTCTTCGTGCGACGTTTCCCAAGTGACAAACGGATATGCGAACGTAAGTCGCCATACCTCGCGTTCGCCCAATGACATTGCATTGCGCCTCCTATTGGCTGCAAATTTTGTCGCCTCGCCACCACCACCGCATCAATTCTTGGCTCGTGTCGTGCGTGCCCCTCTGGGCGTGCTTCGAGTCTGGATTTCAAGCAGACCTCCAAGTGGCAATCTCTCTCCGCTTCCCCACCCCACTCCCCTCCCTCCGACTCCCCGCGCGTCCCGTTTTGCAGCTGCGCTGCAACCTTTTCTCGCTTTTCCGCCCTCCCTCATGCGCATCTGCATTCCTCTCCTCTCCCCTCCCATTCTCGCTCAAACAACTGCCTTCCCCGTTGTTTTAGCTGTTTTATATTTTAGCTTAGACAGTTGTTGCTGGTGAGGCTAGTAGCTTGCTCTTGCACTCCATAACCCACGATTACTCCGCCCGTCGCACAGCCCAAGAGTCAGTGCGGTCGACTCTCATCGCCTTGGCTCAGCTGACATCAGCCATGGCGGCGTCGTGCGCCCTGCCTGCCGCAACAGGCGCTACCCTAGGAGCGTTCACCTCTTCTCGTGCCGGCGGGCCACAGCGTTCCTCTCCGCGTGTCGGCTTCCCATTGCGGCGCCGCACTGCAACTATCGCGCTGCGCTGTTCTGCATCTTCGTTCCGTCGCGTCTCATCTGCCTCATCTTTCTCCGCCTCCCCCTTCCGCCGTATCTCCTCCGCCTCCTCGCTATGCGCGTCGCCCTCGTCCTCCTCCCTCTCCGCTTTCACAGCTTTAAACGTTGCTCCTCTCTCTTATGCCCGCTCCCACAGACCCTTCCTCGCCTCTCCTCGCCGGAAACTCCAGGGAGCGCGTTTCTTGACCGTACGCGCTGCGGCCAAATCCGGGGTGTCTAATACCGGCGGTGCGACGGAGCAATCGCCCAAGGCGCTCCAACGGCAGGGGTCGCTGGGCGTGTGCGACGAGAAACCGTCGCCGCAGTCGTCGCTGACCATCGAACGGCAAGGATCGCTCCAGGTCCCCACAAATGAAACCGACACTCTTCCCCCGCCCTCCGTTGCGCTCATCTCCGTGCCCGAGCCGCTTGACGAGGGCCTCATCGAGCCGTCGAGCCCTCGCGCCTCGGAGACTGGCGTGGACCGCATCGAGTCGCAGGCGCGAACGACGCTCTCGAAGCTTAAGCACATTCTTTATAAGATCAAGACACGTGCCGCCGACGTTCAAACGTCTGTAACGGTCTATCCTCCTTCAGCGGGAGATGCGGCGGGTATTCCCGGTGTTGTTGCCGGGAGTACGGATAGCGTATCAGACACTAGAGAGAACGATTTACAATTTGATGGCGATGCGAATGGAGGTAAGGTGGAGGAGGAACAGCAAGTCTTCGTTTCGCAGCAGATCAAACTCGACCTTGGGAGCATCCCGTCCGTTGATCTAGACGTTCCGATTGACATCGACGCATCATCGCCGTCGGATGTCTCGTCGGTTCCTCTTTCTCCCTCGTCCTTCTCAGCCCAGAGCCTTTCCACCCTTTTCTCGGGTTTCTCTCCTTCCGAAAGTCCCGCCGCAATTCCCGCGAGCGAGCAGCAGCTTGACGTGCAGCAGATGGATTCGCTGACGTGTACTCGCGCCTCGATTCGATTCGACGAGGAAACGCAAACGGCGATTGTGACTGTAACGGCGTCTGTCCGAGCCGCGGACCTGGTGGACCGTGCCGCGTACACCGAGCGCACTATGGCCATGGCGACGCGTGCTATAGCGCGTACGTGTCTCGTGCTGGACCAAAAGGCGCAGCGCAAAGCAGCAGAAGCCGTCTCGTCAGCATCCCAACCGCCACTGTCGCCGGCGGCAGCTGCAACCTCCGTAGCGCAGCCGCCGATTGACACCTCCCTGCTACCACCGCAAATTGCGCCGGAAAAGGCGGACGATCAGGTGCTGACGCAGGAGCAGAGGGAGCAGGAGAGGGAGCTAGTGGAGCTGCTATCGACGGGCAGGATCGTCAGCTGGAGGATGGCGGGTCGCGAGCTCGGATCCACGCCGTTCCGTCCGCTCTACGTCGTCAATCTGGCGGCGGCCGACGGCGCTGACGGCGAGAAGACGGTGCAGGCGCTGTACCGGCCCGTGGTTGGCGGCGACGCCAGGCTGCGATTCCAGCGCGCCCCGGCGGAATGGGTCGCGTACAAGGTGAGATTGGCCGACGTGCTTAATTTTTTTCTTGTCGTTCTTTATTTCACTTTCGTTTCTTTTCTTTTCTTTTTCCTTTTTTCTTGTCGCCGCGCTCCTTCCAGAGGCTTGCTCCCCATCGTTACCTTCAACTCCTCCCCGCGTCCCTTTCCCCGCCTCTCCCTTCTTTCCTCCCCTCCCCCCCCCAACGTGCAGCTCTCGCGCGTGTTGGGGTTGGACGTGGTACCGCCAGTGGCGGTGAGGCAGGGCGTGCAGCTGGGGTCGCGGCGGTTCGCGCAGGGCACCATGACGCTGCTGCCGCACCTGCTGCACCCGCTCGCCTCCGTGCACCCCTCCGTGAGTCCCTCTTCTCCGTCGCTTCCCCCTTGCGCTGCTTGCGAGTTTCCTTTCTTGGATACTGTTGAGATACTGCCCTGCGTTTCCCCAACCAAGCGCAGCAGCACAAACGGATTCCCCTTTCTCATCTCATAAACTATCCCGTTTTCCTGTCCCTGTCCGCTTTCCCCCTTCCCCCTTCCGCCCTCCCCCCAGCGCCTGCGCGCGCCCGCCCAGGCGCACACGGTGATCAGCAGCATCCGCATTCTCGACGCCCTCATGGGCTCCTCCCTGCGCCGCCCCGCCGGCTTCTTCGCCGCGCAGCACTGGTCGGGGGACGGCAAGCTCTCGCCCGTAGTGCTCTCGCACCCCATTGGCCCGTCCCTCGGCGCCGGCCTGCACGCCATGTGGTCCAAGCGCGGCACGGGAGCGGGCGGCAGACTGAAGACGGTGGCGGGGTTTGTCCTGACTCGCCTGAGGAGAATGAACCGCGCGCAGCTGCTGGAGGAGATGGGCGGCGCACTGACGGCGGGGGAGATGGAGAGGGTGTTGGACAAGCGCGACCAGATGGTGGGGTACTTTGATGCCCTCGCTGCTAAGATGGGCCACCAGGCTGTCGTCAGGTGACAGGAGCACGTGATGGTGACTCCATGCCTCTCAAAGCAGCTGCTCTCGTGCATGTTCTACCATGCCCGTTCCACCATGCCCGTTCCACCATGCCCGTTCAACCATGCCCGTTCAACCATGCCCGGTCCACCATGCCCGTTCCACCATCCCACCATGTCCCACCATGCCCGTTCCACCATGCCTTGCCACGCCATCCCCCTTACGCAAGCAGGGATCTTGTGGGATCTTGGGAGTGAAGCATCCCTTGTGTATTCCGTGTGTTGGGCTGCTGTTCTCAACACTGTCTTTAGGGGGTCATGCAGGAGTACCTATGTTGGTAATTGGTATTGCATGTGAGAGTGAGGATATTGGCATCTGGGATACTAATCTGGCGTGATTTGTTAGATTATGCGTAGTCGCTCAGGGGGTACTGGGTGATAAAAGTTAGCGGGCTTTGCTTTTACCAGTGTTGCCGCTGGTGCTGCAGATGTGATATGGTTCTATGCAGAACTGTAAATGTAATTCACAATGAGATTGGTGTACTCTCATGTCATTCCATAGGTACATTAGTAGGCGCATTTGTCGTGCTTGACTGTACAATCTTCAATGCTGCCCCCATTGAGCAGTCAGCACGGTTGCAAGGGATAAGGTGGCAGCGATTGGTTGAAATGTCGCGAAGCAGCCAGCGATGCATGTGGGCGGCGTCGCAGAGTACTATCGTGCGACCCTCGACGACTGACGACTGTACAGCCTGCTGCTCCCTCACCCTCGTCGTCGTCCTCGTCTGTCCGTGTTTCCTTCAGGCTAGAAGCTTTCATTTTCCAGAACGCGTTCCAGAGAATTGTGGGTCAGCCATGACTACGTGCATCAGAGCATTGTGCTCGACTATTCTTATGGTGGAGAGCATGTAGCATTGGTGTAGAGCCTTCAATTCATTCCATAAAATCGTGGTGTGCGTGCACACTGTTCTCTCCTTCGCGTCTCCGCCGTCTTCACCATCTTTTCATCGTCATCGTCTTCTCTCTCTCTCTAGCTCCCACTCCCGTTCCTCCACATTTTACTGCACAACTTGGCACTTCTTTACCCCTAATTCCAGAGATAGTACATCCCTTCTTGAAGCTAGATCTTGTATCATCACGAGCATTTTTCGCTTCTCCGAGGATCGCTCGTCGATCCTCGCTCTACGTTAAAGCCTCGGTGACACTGTTCCCGATATTGCCGAATGGACCCATCTGGCATGGGTCCTCCACCTGCGACGGGCCCACCTGGACTATCTGAACCACCTGACGGACCACCTGGAGCGAGCGGCACGGCGTCACCCGGACCACCGAGGCCACGTGGACCGCAAGAGCACATGTCACCTGGGCCCGGACCACGTGGACCACCTTCCGGGCAGGGCTCTCTCGGGTTTGCGCCACGTGGACCTCCTGGCCACGTGCCACCTGGCATGCCGTTTCCACGTGGGATGGGCTCGCCTGGGCCGCGTTTCCCCGGTCCGTCGCATCCCCCCCGTCCGCCACATTCTCCTTTTTCCCCGCAACAACCCGCTCATGGCGCGTATGCAAGACCCCCTCCGCCCTACGGGGGAGGCCCGCCGCAGAACCCGCACGGGGGCTTTCCGCCAGGCCCGCCCGAAGGAGTTCCGCCAGGTGGAGGGGCTCCGCTTTGGGGAGTTCACGCGGCAGGGCATGCGCAGGGCGGCTTTCAGGGGGCGCCGCACCAACAACCTCCGCCGCCGCCGCACCACGCGCAGCAGTATCAGCACCAACAGCAGTACCAGCCGCAGTCGCCCCCGCCGCAGCAGCAGCAGTATCCGCCGCAGTATCAGCAGCATCAGCCGCCGAACCAGCCGCATCAGCCTCCATATCAGCAGCAGGGGCCGCCAAATCAGCACCAGGGGCCGCCTTATCAGCAGCAAGGGCCGCATTACCCGCAGCATTTCCAGCAGCCGCCCCCGCGTGCCCCGCAGCCGCCGCCGCAGCAGCAACAGTCGCCGCAGCAGCCAGCGCGCGCGCTGCCGGGCGTGTGGCATGTGACGGCAGTGACGGACGGCGCGCCGCCCCCCGCGGCAGCGATGCAACCGCAGGGGCCGGGGATGCCGCCGGGGCCTCATCACCCGCCGTTCCCCGCGCAGGGCATGGCGCACGGCCCAGCAGCGCCCCATGCGCCGCAGTACCCCGCGCTTCCGGGGTCCGCCCCTCCCCACCCCCTGCCTCACGCTCCCCCATCTCCTTTTGCGCCTCCTCCGGCTTTTGCGCCTCCCGTTCCCCTCGGCGCTCCCCCCACTCCAGTTTCCGCCCAGCAGGGATTTCACCCTAATGGAGCGCCGCCGCTCACTCCCGGCCCCCCTCCTCCGCCATTACCCGCCGCAGCAGCAGCGGCGGGAGGAGTAGCCGGGGAAGTGCCAAGCAATGTGCCGCCAGCAGCAGCGGCAGCAGCAGCAGAGGCGCAACCGCTAACCACCGCGGCGACTGGAGCTCCTGCCCCCGCTGCTGCTGCGCCGGATGCCTCTGCTGCCGCCCCTCCCGCCGTTCCCGGCGCACCTGCCGCTTCCCCTGCCACTCCTGCCGCCCCTGACGCTCCTGCGGCAGCTGCCGCTGCTGCTGCTACAGCCGCTGCGGCTGGCGCTTCTCCCACTGCGCCTGCGCCTCCCCCGGCTGCTGCAGCTCCCCCCACCCCTCCCGCCGCCATCACCTTAAAGCCCAACCCCCCGCTCGCGCCGCAGCCTCCCCTCCCCCCCGCGTGGCTGCAGGCGGCCGCCGCCATGGCGGCTGTGATCTCCGGCGGCGGTCCCCCGCTCCCCGCGGGGGAGGAGCTTCCATGGGAGAAGGGCGGAAAGAAGGGCGCGGGGAAGGGCGCAGGCGGAGGGGGGAAGAGGGGGAAGAAGTCGAGGTGGGACCGGGAGGCGCAGGGGAAAGGGGAGGAGAAGGCGGAGGAAAAGGAGGAGGAGAAGGAGAAAGGGAAGGGAGGAGAGGCGGCGGAAGGAGACGGTGGACAGGAGGGGGAGGAGAAGGGGGAAGCGGAGAAGCAGGGCGAGGGCGATGAGGCAGGCACCAAGGGGAAAGAGGTAGAGGGGAAAGAAGGGAAGAAGGGGGAAGAAGCCAAGGAGGGGAAGGAGGAGGAGGCGGAGGAGGGAGTGGAGGCGTGGACGGCGCACAAGACGGAGGAGGGCACGGTGTATTACTACAACACGGTCACTGGCCGCTCCACCTACCACAAACCCAAAGGCTTCAAGCTGCAGGTGCCCCGCCGCCCCCTCCCCGCGCTCTCCGCCCTCTCCCCGCCCGCCTGCCTTGCCGCTCTCTGCTCCTCCGCACATTTGTTCGTGTCTGCCTCTCCGCCCTTGTGTGAACATGTGTGTCTCCCCTTGGGTGCGTGCGTACGTGTGCGTGCAGGAGGACAAGGTGGAGAAGCAACCGACTCCCGTCGCATGGTGAGCCGCATGGCATGGCATGGCATGGCATGGCATGGCATGGCATGGCATGGCATGGTGCGGATGGCATGGCATGGCATGGCATGGCATGGCATGGTGCGCATGGCATGGCATGGCATGGCATGGCATGGCATGGCATGGCATGGTGCGCATGGCATGGCATGGCGAGGTGGCATGGAGAGCACGGCATGTAGACGGGCAGTCGCTTTCAGTCAGGAGGAGCGTGGACTCCCCATAATTCGCTGCCCTTCGCGCTGCCTCACCCGCCAGCATGTGCCGCGCATCACCGTGCTCTCTCTGTGCCCGTGCTCTTGTACGCTCGTTCGCGAGTTCATGTGAGTGTTTGAATATCGTGTCCGTCCGTGTTCCCTGTGTGTGCTTGTGTGCGTGTGTGTGTACATGTGCGTGCCTGTGTGTGTGCGTGCATGGGAGTGGCAGGGAGCGAGTGCAGGGCACGGACTGGGCGTTGGTGTCGACGAGTGATGGCAAGAAGTACTATTACAACACTGTCACACAGGTAAGACCCTGCCTTGTGTAACGCACTCACACTATCGGCTCTCTTCTCTGCCTCGTCTTACCACCATCCTACTGCACCTTCACGTTTGCCATCGTTTCCTCTCCTCGTTGCTCCCCTCCCCCTCCCCCCTTCCATGTCCCTTCCGCCCCCTGTTCCCCCATCCCGTGCGCGCCATCAGGACACGAGCTGGCAGGTCCCGGGGGAGGTGCAGGAGGTGCGGAAGAGGCAGGAGGCGGAGGAGGAGGAGCGGGCGCGCGCCGCCAGCAAGCTCTCCTTCTCTCTGGCGGGGCGGGGGGGCGCGGGGGCGGCGGGCAAGGCGGGCGCAGCAGCAGGGGGGAAGGCGACCGCGCTGGAGGTGGTCAAGAAGAAGCTGCAGGTGAGGTGGAGAAGGGGGGGGGAGAGGGGGGAAGGGGGGGGGTTGCGGAGGGCTCGAGAAGGTGGTATGTTAGGATTGAAAGGGGGAGAAGGGGGAGTGGGGTGGGATTTTGCAGGGTTGGAAGCTAGTTCGAGCAGGGAATGATTCGTCCATCCATTCATGTTGCTTGCTGCTGTCCTGTGCCTCGTTCGCTCTTCCCTTCGCCACCCCTGCTTGCGCTCCCATCTCCAGTCTCATGCACCTTGTGTCAGTGCCCTCGCCTCTACCTCCTAGGTTCCCCCGAAAGTTAGACAACAACAGAGAAACAGAGAAGTCCAAAAAACTTTCCCTATCCCCTCCTTCTCCCTTCAGGACGCCGACAAGGAGGCTAAGGCGGGCGTAGCAGTATTAGCTGGTGCCAGCGCGGCTGCTCCCACTGCTGCTGAGACGATAAAGGCCGACAAGGGCGGTGCAGGGGCGCAGGGGGGGGAAGGAAAGCAGGTTAATGGAATTAGTGGGGGGAAGGAGGGGGAGGCGGGCAAGGATGCAGGGGAGGAAGGGGGAGGGGAGAGGGAGGGCGGTGATGATGCGGCACAGGGCAAGGAAGGGGAGGGCAAGGAGGGTGGGGAGAAGGAGGGTGAGGAGAAGGGGAGTGCGGAGGTTCCATTGGAAGAGCTGAGTCTGGAGGAGAGGGCAATGAAGTTCCGTGTACGTGCTGCCATGGTGTGGTGTGGCATGGTGAAGCATGGTGTGGTGTGGCACAACATCGTCTGGAATTGTCTGCTGCAGGATGACATGACATCTCATTTGCCTCATTCGTCACATTCATATTTTTGGAACCTGTCACCATGATTACAGCTTTCCACTCGCGTTAGTTTGTTTTCTCTCCTCACTCCCCTCTTTTCAATTTCATCTCTCATTTCGTTTAATTCCCCATCCTCCTCGTCTCGGGTTACTCTCGTCACCCCATGGACACAACAGGAGATGCTGAAGGAGAAGGGAGTGGCGCCATTCTCCAAGTGGGAGAAGGAGCTGCCCAAGCTCATCTTCGACGCGCGCTACAAGGTATGCCGGGCGCCCCTAATCCGATTGGATTCATGTCTGGAGTCTTCGTGATACAGAGTGTGTATCGCCTGGAACTGCACCTTGTCCACCCCCTGGGCGGTGAAACTCTGTATCACTTTCCCTTTTTATGGATTCTTATGCCTTTGTGTTTCACATGCAGGCCATCCCCTCGCTGCCGGAGCGGCGCGCCATATTTGAGGAGTTTGTGCGCACGCGGGCGACGGCGGAGCGCAAGGAGAAGCGGTCGGCGCACAAGGCGGCCGTGGAGGCATTCAAAGTCATGCTGGACGAGATGGAGGAGAGCGGGGTGAGCTGGGGTATTGCACCAGCTTCTCATGCGGGGAACACAGGGGAAGGTGGGAGGGGTTGCTGAGGGGTTGTTGCGGGTATTAGGGCGGTGGCCATGGTGCATGGGAATATGCAACCATGTCGCAGGCTGCATCCCGTCCCCTGACCCACTCTCTTTCCTGTTGCGTTTCCCCCACCACCCCCAGGACCTGACACACGAGTCCACGGTGGCGTCGCTGCAGGGCGATGGCAAGTGGGGCTCGGACCCGCGCCTCCTGGCTGCAGCGCTGGAGGACAAGGACCGCCTCGCTCTCCTCAACGAGCGGTACGATCCTTGCTTTTTTTCTCTCTCTTTCCTGCGCGTCTTGCCTCCCACTTTCAGCGCAATCTTGTATTCGCTGTTGATGCATCACTGCAATGGATTTACCTGATCGGAACAATGCTGCTTGCTTGAAGTTTCTTTCTAAAATGCTGTCCACAAAGAATGAAATTGGTTTAACCAACAGTGGTTCAACATAGCATTGGTTGGTGGTTGTTTCTGGACTCCAACTCCTTTTCATGCTTCCATGCGCTCAAGATTCGTCCGCATCTTCCACAGCCATGTCATCTTTGCTTCGAGAACCTCGTTATGTTTGCCTCTGTTTCCATATTGTTTTGTTTTGGAGCCATGCCATCCTTGCATCTACAGCCATGACATCCCTGCTGTTCATATCATGTCCTCTTTGGTTCCAGAGTCATCTCATGTTTGCTTTGAAGAGTAATCTTTTGTCTTTGCCCTCGCATGTTCTCATGTTTTTCAACTCCAAGGAAGCCTTCAAATGTCATCGTTTTTCAGTCTTTACTGCCCCTCTGACAACATAAGTGCAAGCCATCATACTTGAGGCGCCTCAAAACGCATTCTAGACAGACCAAACGCTGAACCTCGAATTATAAAACCCATTGGATGGGGTCATAGGTGCTTGTGCAATTGAATCACTGCGTTCTATGCTGCCAGATCAGTTTCTGCCAATATTTTTTCCCCCCTGCAGGCCAGCAGCCAGAGATAACGTAATAGGCTATATCACAGCCTTCTGACTCTCTCTTCCCTCTCACGTGCCCCTCGTGTGTAAAGTTCCTCTCCCTGAAAATGTTTTTCTTTCAGTTTCATTGAAAGCCTCATGTGGTACTGGAAAGACATTGTCCTCGGTGGTCATGCAAATGGGAATGCAAACTTCACGATATGATGCATCCGCCACTGCACGGGGCGGCCGGCCCTTGTGTGCGGCTGTACGTTGGACAGAATACCTAACTGCAGTCTAATTCGTACAAGGATGGTTTGGTTCGAACCTGTATTGGTCCGGATCGAAGTGGTTTGGTTCGGTTTGACTAGGGGTGCTGAGCCACGTAAAATCGAACCAAGACTCTGAACCAGTCTACTCAAATGTGTTGATTCGACTCATACCCAAGGAAGTTCGAGTACACGGGGCGAACCCAGCAAACCTAGGTATGTTCGACCTGAACGGAACCAGTTCGGTACGAGTAGGGGTCAGCTTCGGTCCGAACTTGTTTGACTTCGGCACTTGCTCAACCCTAGATGTAGGGGCTGGCAAACTTCTGAGTCACCTCAGAAGCCAGACCATCTTGAGTGTGGACGTATGTAGGGCAGCACGCTTCTTGCAATTGCCAGGCTGAATCCCAGCTGCGGCTTTCCTGCCCTGCTAGCATGAGCTGCGGCTTTCTGGGCGCCGCTTTAAAAGCAACCACACCACATTGCTTTCAGGTGCCTTGTTCTTCCCTCACTTCATGCATGTCTGTCTGTCTCTCTCCCATCCACCGCTCTCTCTCCCTGCCATGCATTGCTCTCACTCTCCCATGCACCTTCATCACGGCATGGCAGGGTGGTGCCGTTGAAGCGGTTGGAGGAGGAGAGGCAGCAGCAGCGCAAGGAGGCGGCAGAGGAGGCATTCGTGGAGATGCTCAAGGAGTACCGCGGCAAGCGCTACATCGCCCTCTCCTCCCGCTGGTCCAAGGTGACTCTCCTCTCCTTCCACTCGCTTGTGAAAGGTCGCGTCTTTGAAAAAAAAAACCAAAGGGAATTGGTGTTTCACTGTAGCATACTTCTGCAGCGTTCACATTGCATATGCGTTCACATGGCTAGTTGCTGCCTGCTGAACAAACATATTCGGTTGGGGTTGGGATTTCTTAGAAGTGATTTCAAAGGTGAGTCTAATATAGCTTGCTCAACAAACATGGTGCATATTAGATTTGATTTCTTACGATGAAAGTTCCAGAGCAAGCAAATGAAAATGATTCACATGTTGAAAGTTATTCAGCAGGTGTAGGAATTGCGTTCGTAAGCTAGGCTGTGCATGATGCATGCGTGGTGGCATGTGTATGGCAAGTGCAGCAGGCTGAAGGACAACCACACATGTTGGGATGCCCAGAGTCCTGATGGTTGTGCTGACTGCATACATTGGGTAAACACTTCTGCCAGTGCCAGTGTTAATGCTCGTACGAGTGTCAGTGCTGGTGCTGCTAGTGCAAGTATTACCAGTGATTCAATCTTGGCGCATAGCATGCCTTTTCGAACGTGAACCACAACATACTTCTCTTGCTCTGCGGTCTCTAGCCTCGTCTCTGTGATGTGCACACCTGTGTCCGTGCCCTTCCCACGTTTCCCATCTGCAGCAGCCACAGCAAGCACTGGACTGGAAGCAGATGAAGCACAGCAAGCACGGCAAGCAGGGTGCAGCAGTGGCGCCTGAGAAGGATCACCTTTTCCCCGTCCGCCACTCAAGCCCACATGCGCTTGTCACCCCCTCTCTCTTCCCCCCCCTCACCCCCTCGCAGGTGCGGGAGGAGTTGAAGGAGGATGAGCGGTACAGTGCGGTGGAGCACTGGGAGGACCGTGAGCGGCTGTTTGACACCTTCATGGACGGGCTGCAGCGCGAGGAGGAGGAGAAGGAGCGCGAGGCGCGCAGGCGCTGGGAGGAGGAGGTGAGTGGCGTTGGGCGGGAGAAGATATTATGCTGCTGTGCTTGCTGCCTCCGTGCTGCTCGCTCTATAGCTTACTTTTTTGCCTTGGAGGCTACGAGTGGTTGTCTTGGTGAAGGGAGTGATTCAAGGAAAGGAATGCGTTGTGTTCTTGTCTGTGGTGGCTGCAGGAGCGGAAGCGCGAGCAGGAGCGCGAGGAGAAGAGGCTGCGGCAGCGCGAGGAGGAGAAGAAGGAGAGGGAGCGGGCGCGTGTGCGGCGGAGGGAGGCCAAGGAGGACTTTGAAGACCTGCTGAGGCGCGAGATACAGACGCCCAATGTATGGCCGAGGGGAAGGAAGAGGGGGGAAAGAGGGGAACAGCGGGAGAGAGCGAGGAAAGGTGGGGTTGGTGGGGGAAGGGATGATTCCAACCATTCTGCATGAAGCAATCGATTTCTTCTGGGGCTTCCCCTTGGTGTGCCGATCGCCCACTGCTACTCCCTCTCCTCGCCTGCTCCCAGCTCCCGCCCGCCCCCTGGGTGCGGCAATCCTGCATACCACCTCCATGCTCCTTGTTCACTGCTTCTCCCCACCTCTCCCTCGCCCACCCGCCCCCTGGGTGGAGGCAGATATCGTGGATAGACGCGCGGGAGAAGTTGGAGGAGGACGAGGCGTCGTGCTATTGGAACAAGGAGCTCACCAGCCGTGACCGCCAGGACCTCTTCTACGAACACATGGCCCGCCTCATCAAAGTAGGTCAAACGCGCACCCAGGTGGACGCATCAAGGTGGGAGGGGCATGTTGAACGCCCGAACTGATCAAACCCCTAATGGGGAGTGATCTGACCGCGCCCTCATCTTTTTCTCCGGTTCCGAATGGTCCGAGTCCTACCCTCCCCAACCCAGGGGTCAATGACGCCGCCTCGCATAGCGCAGAGGGGTGGCCACCTAACCGTGAGCATCAGCAGGATTCATCCCTTTCCTTCATCCACTCTTCCCCATTTGTCCCCCTTCGCTCTCCCGCGTCCCACTCATTCCACCTCACCCCCCCTCATCCCCTTCCATTCCCACCCCCCGCTCCCCTCTTTTCCCCCCTCCTCCCCCCCTCTTCTCTCCCCCCAACAGCGCGTGCAGCGAGAGTTCCGCGAGTTACTGGAGGAGGAGCTGTCAGTGGCCGCCATCTCCGAGGCTCGTGAGGACGGGCTGCGACTCGCCTCCTCCTGGCCCGATGCTAAGTCCGTGCTTCGGCACCAGGATCGGTACCGCGACCTGGTTCGGCACGAGCGGGAGGAGCTGTGGCGCGAGCATGTGAGGAGCCTGGAGGGGGAATTGAGGGAGGCTGGGGTGATTGATGAGGAGGGGAAGGAGGTTGATGTTGCTGCTGTGAAGAGGGATCGGAGGCGGAGGAGGAGGAGGAGGAGGGAGAGGGAAGAGGAGGATGAGGAGGAGGAGGAGAAGAGAGGAGGTGGGGAGAAGGGAGAGGATAAGGAGGAGAAGGGAGAAGGGAGGGCTTTGGGAGAGAGTGGTGAGGAGATGAGAGAGGAGGAAAGGAGGGATGGGGATGATGGGAAGGCTGATGGAGGAGGGAAGATTGAAGGGGCAGGGGTGGATGAGAAAACGATGGAGGAGGTGGATAGGGGAGAATGGGATGGCATGCATTTGGAAGAGAAGGAGGAGGAGGAGGAAGAGACGGAGAGGGAGAAGGAAGAGGAAGAGGAGAAGGAGAAGAAGAAGAAAAGGAAGAGAATGTTGACAGGAAGAGTGAATTGGGAAGCAATGCAATCGGGGGCGAAGGAGAGGCTCAGGTGGCGCATGGTGTGGAGGCCGGGAGGCGAGGAGAGGAGCGCGGAGAGGATGGGGTGGGCGGCGGTAGGGGAGATGCGAACAGGGAAGGGAGTGAGAAGGAGAAGTGGGAGGATGAAGTGAGGGACGAGGACGGGGTGACAGGCGGGGGAATGGCTGGGGAGCTGGGGAAAGAAATGGGAGGGGAAAGTTCAGGTAGGGAGGGAGAACGAGGGGAGGACGAAGAGGAGGAGAAGAGCAAGATGTTTGAGGGAAGGGAGAAGGAGAGGGGAAGGGAGAAGGAGAGGGGAGGGAAGAAGAAGAGGGGTGAAGACGGAGATGAGGAGGGGGATGACGAGGAGGGGTGGGATAAGGAGCACAAGCACAAGCACAGACACAGGGAGAAGCGAGAGGAAAGGCGCGCGGAAAAGGAGAGGGAGAAAGAGAAGGAGAGGGAGAGGGAGAAGGAGAGGAAGAAGGAGAAGGAGAGGGAGAAGGAGAGGGAGAAGGAGAGGGAGAAGGAGAGGGAGAAGGAGAGGGAGAAGGAGAGGAAGAAGGAGAAGGAGAGAGAGAAAGAAAGGAAGAAGGAAAGGGAGAAGGAAAAGGAGAGGGAGAAGGAAAAAGAGAGGGAGAGGGAGAGGGAGAGAGAGAGGGAGAGGGAGAAGGAGAAGGAGAAGGAGAAGGAGAGGGAGAGGGAGAAGGAGAGGGAGAGGGAGAGGGAGAGGGAGAGGGAGAGGGAGAGGGAGAAAGAGAGGGAGAAGGAGAGGAAGAGGGAGAAGGAGAGGGAGAGGGAGAAAGAGAAAGAGAAGAAGAGGAATAAAGGACGAGATGATGGGAGGAATGAAAAACGCCGGCACCGGCGAAGGGAGGATAGCGAGGAGAGTGGAAGGGAGGAGGAAGAGGAGAAGGATGGGAGGGAGGAGACGGATGAGAAGGCAAAACGGAGAAGGAGACATGGGCATGAGCACAAGCATAAGCGTGAGGAGCGTGAACGGGAGGACGAGAAGGAAGAAGGGAAGAAGGAGAAGAGGCGTGAGAGGGAGAAGAAACGAGAAGGGCGAAGAGAGCATGATTCTGACGAGGAAAGGGAGGAGGGGAGGCGGACGAAGCGACGTGGTAAGGATGGTGAGGAGGAGGATGGGGAGAGAAAGCGAGGGAGAGAAAAGGAAGGAGAGGGAGGGGAGGGATGAGAGGAAGAAGGGAGGGGAGAGGAGGCAGAGTAGTGATGAGGAAGGGAAGGAGGAGAGGAAGGAGAGGCACAGAGGTGAGGTGAAGAAGGAGGATCGTGGGGGCCGGAAGAGGGAAAGAGATTATTCGGATAGAGAGAGTGATGATGATGGCAGTGTGGAGAGGGCGAGGAGAAGGGGCGGCAGGGAAACGAGGAGGAAGGATGACAAGAGAGATAGGCGGGGAGGCGATGAGCGGGATAGGAGGGGAGGAAACGAGAGGGATGATTCTTATGATGACAGGAAGAGGGGACGGAGGGAGGGGAGTGATGGGGAGAGCGATGGTGGAGAGAAGCGGCGTGGTAAAGGAAGGCACAGGGATGGGGATAGGGACAGCGACAGGGGCATAAGGCATGGCGATCGGAGGGATGAAGAGCGGAATAAGGGTAAACGGATGGAGAAGGTGAGAGGAGGCGTGTCAGATGATGATGAGAGTGTTGGAGAGAAGAGAGGGATGGATCGGGAGGAGGAGAGGAGAGGCAAGCACAGAGATGGGAGGGACGGCAGGGGAGGTGAGAAGGAAGAGTCTCGAAACACGGGGAGAGGGGTGCAGACTGCAGAGAAGAAAGGAAAGATGGAGAAAGGGAGGGAAGAGAGCGGAGAGGATGAGAAGAGGAAGCAAAGGGAAGGATCTGATTTAAGTGGAGGAGATTCAGAAAAGGGGAGTGGGGGTGGTGAGAGGGGTGGAAGAAGGAGGTTGCAGGGAAGTGGCAGAGTGAGTGACGAGGATGAAGATGAGAGGAGGATGAAGGAGAGGAGGAGAAGGAATGCGGAAGGAAAGGGACGGAAGCGAGGGAGGGGTGATAGCCAGTCAGATGATAGCGAGGAGGAGAGGAGGAGGAAAGGCAGGAGGGATGAAAGTGACAAGGAGAGAGGGACGCCGAAGGCAAGAGGAAGGGAGGAGGAAGAAGAATCCGCAAAAGAAAGGGCTGCTGCTCTCCGCTATGGGCCTGATACCCCTGAGAGCTCTCGTGGTGCTGAGAGCGATAGAGAGGAGAAGAAGAGCTATGGGGAGGCGAGGAAGAGTGATGGGAAAGGGAGACAAGAGGCAAGAGGCAAGAGAGAAAGGACCTTGAGCAGTGAAAGGAGTGAGGACTCGGAGGGGGCGGTTGCAGTGAGAAGGGCGAGTGAGGAGAGGGGAGAGAAGAATGAAAAGATTGAGGATGAGAGTGAGGGGCGAGATGCTTCTAGGAAGGGGGCTGAGAGTGGGAGTAGGAGTGGGGAGGAGAAGAGCGACCGAGAGGAGCAGAGGGAAAGGAAGGGGTGGAGGAACGAGAGCGAGGAGAGGGAGCAGTGGGTTAGGAGGAAGGAGAAGTCGGATGGGAGCAGCAGTGAGGGAGACGAAGGGAGGAGCATGAGGAAGAGTGAGGACAGGCAGGTGGAGAAGGGGAGAGGTGGAAGGAAGGAAGGGAGGGATAGAAAGGAAGAAAGGGAGAGGAGCAGGAGTAGGGGCAGCAGTAGGGGCAGAAGCAGGAGCAGAAGCAGGAGCAGGAGCAGAAGCAGGAGCAGGAGCAGGAGCAGGAACAGGAGCAGGAGCAGGAGCAGGAGCAACGAGAGAAAAGGCAGGAGGATGAGAGATAGCGATGTGGAGGAGGAGAGCTCAAAGAAGCATGAGAGGAGGCGGGAGGGCAAGAGCAGTGAGAAGAAGAAGCGGGGTAGCCAGTCAGGCGAGAAGGCGAGGCGGCAGGTGAAGGAGGAGAGTGGAAGCGAGAGGAGCGGACGTGTGGAGAGCGAGAGGGATCACAGTGATGGGGATGAGGGGAAGGAGGTTAGCAGGAGGTCTGCTAAGAAGAGCAGTAGGAGACAGGAGAGGGATAGACGTGAGAGGGAAGGGAGTGTTGGCAGCAGTGACGGCAGCAGGGGGAGTGGAAGGGAGAGGTATAAGGAAAGGAGCAACGGTAAAGCTGGTTCTAGTAAGCGGGGACGTGAGAGGGGCAAGGAGAAGAAGGGAAGCGAGAGTGAGAGTGACGGGGATAGGCGCAGGGAGAGGGAGAAGCGCAGACACAGTGGGGGTAAGCACAGGCGTGGGAGCGATGAGAATGATAGCGAATCGGAGAGGAGAAGCGGAGGGACAGAGGGAAGGGAGAGGAGGGGTGGAGGAGGGAAGAGGAGGCATGAGGAGAGGGAGAGGGAGAGGGACAGGAAGAGTACTGGGAGGGGCAGGAGAGTTGTGGAGAGGGGGAGTGATAGTGAACGGCACAGTGCGAGTGAGAGTGGAAGTGAGTGAGAGACAGAGCAAGTAAGAGTGGCGATGATTGAGGGACGGTGCATTTGAGTTGGAGTTAGTGAGAGAGAGTGCGTACGGTAAGAGTGGGAGTGTGTGAGAGTGCAAGAAGAGCGAGCGCAACTTAAGAGACAATGTGAATGAGAATGGGAATCGGTGAGACAGTGCGAGTAAGAGTGGGAAAAAGGGAGACAGTAAGAGTGGAAGTGAGTGAAAGTGTGCGAGTAAGTGTGGACTGATGGGAGAGACGGTGCAACAAAGAGTGGGAATGAGTGGGAGATGGTGCGAAGTGGGAGTGGGTGCCTGAAGTGAGTAGAGTAGGAGTGAGTCAGGTACAGTGCTCCTAAGGGTGGGATTGAGTGAAGTGCAGTGAGAATGGGGGTTGGAGGAGGGAGTGGGGGGTGACAGCACAGTGGGAGGCGGTAGTGGAAGCAGCAGATGAGGCGAGAATGCAAGGCTGATGCAATGCAAGGCTGATGCAATGCAAGGTGGATACAAGGCAAGTAGGGGAGAGCTGTAGGCTCTCCCTTGTACCTGCAGCTCGCAGATGGACTATTGCAGTTGTGGCGGGAGAAACTGTAGCAATTGTTGGAGCAGCTGTGGCAGGAGTGACTGTGGTGAGAAGCTGGAACAGCTGTGGCACAAGCAGGCGTGACAGCAGTGACAATGGTTGGAAGAGGTGCAGTGGAGCAGCAATGGTTAGAAGAAGAGCGAGGTTGGTATTGGAAGGAGCCTGGTCTGGTGGGCTGGTTTAGAAGGGGGGAAAAAGGGAGGTGAGGAAGCATGTGGATGGAAATTGTTGGGAGGGGGTTGTGAGAAAAGTAGGGGGCTTGCCTCCGCAGAGACTGTATGACTGTTGAGTACTTGTTGTTTTTTGTTGGTGACTGGTTAGATGTTATGAATTTGTGTAGTGCGACGTTGTGTTGGATTAATTGTAGTGAATTGTTGTAGGTTTTTTCTGCTGTGCTGCTGTCACAATCAGCACCATGCTTGATTGCTACAGCCAGGCGGGCTAGCTGCAGCGAGGACTCTTATAGCAAAACGGCCACGTGAAAGGAATAAAAGTGCAGCCATTTCCACGTGCAATGCTTTTGTCGTCTGTTACTCGGGCGCTCAGTCGCAGGTCAGCCACCTTGGGCTATTATGGTAGATGAGGAGCCTAAACTAGCAGCTCCTGTGGTGGTCCTCAAGGCAAGTTATTTGTGCTGACAGCTTATACCGTGTTTGTAACATCAGAGCAGTAATACTGGTAGTCTGATACTGGTGCTGCTTTCATATCAGTGTTGGAAAAGGCTGCACAGATGGAGAATATCAACTCAAGAGGTTTGATAGGAGGCTTATGCATAGCGGTACACTTCATGCTGCAAAGATAATGAGTGTCATCCCTGCAATCATGAGCAGCACGTATGGTAGTCTCTTCCATATGTTCTCCTGCACACGGGCCAATGATCAGAACACGACCATGGGAGGAGCAAGCAGAGGGAGGATGAGCGAATGGCATCCAGCCAGCTGATGTGCAGCAAAACAGCCATGCGTGCAGCCATGCATGCAGCCATGCGTGCAGCCAAGTAAGCAGCCATGCGCAACAATTGGCGAGGAACATACATTATCAAGGAAGGAATGTATGTTCAAGAGCTAGAGGTTTGAGGGTTACCTTGAAGAGGAAGTAGCCAACAAACATGGAGATAAGAATGTTGCTGCGCTTGGCCTGGGGGAGACAAGTCACAGGGTAGGACATGGCAATGTCATAGTAAGGAAGAAGAGGGATCAGTTTGACAGGTGCCGTGGATGTGAGGTGGTTGGGCAACAGCAACTTGACTCGCTGCCAGGAGAAAATCGGAGGGGAGGGTAGGAAGGGGAGAGGGGACTCACAGCGACGGAGTAGGAGACGAGGAGCCAGTGCAGGCTCTGCAGGTAGAAGACAATGGCTGTGATCTCACACGCTGATATGCCCGCCAACAACGGGAAGTGCTGCAGCAGCAGGGGGAACGCCGAGGGCCTGGGGGAAGGGGGGGAAACGGGAGAAGCGGGGAGGGAGGAAGTGGAGACACGGGGGAAGAAGTCTCAGGTTGTGCAATGCCTTGTTGACTGCAACGCAAGCACCTAGTTACACAAGGCAAGGGTGAAAGCGCATGTGGTGCCAGCAAGAGGCACACCTGTGGCGGCTGTAGCGCACCTGTGGCGGCTGTAGCGCACCTGTGGCGGCTGTAGCGCACCTGGTGGCGGCGAGGTAGAGCACGGGCGGCACGGCCATGAAGAGGCGCTGCAGGCCCGCAAACACCACCACTGACGGCGAGTGGTGCACGCCCAGCTTGTCACACCTGTGGGGGCAGGGGGAGGGGCAACAAGGTGGGTGGGGCAAGGAGGGGGCAGTAAGGGGAAGCAGCAGGGAGGGAAGGGAGTGTGAAGGGCGTGATGACAAGAACACGTGTGAATGATGAGCTGAACGATGGTGAGTGAGGAACTGAGGGAGCAGGGGGGCAGTGGGGTGGGGCCCATACCCATTGGTGAAGCTGAGCAGCACGGCGCACCCCATCATGAGCAGCGGCCCCTCGTGGCGCTTCTGTGCGCCCACCCACCTCAGCGCGCCCTTCACCACCACCCACGGCACCCGCACCACTCGCAATGCCACTCGCATTGGTGCCCTCGCCCATGCAGTTACCACCACTCGTAACCGCTTCAGCGGCCCGTGCAGATACTGCCAGACAACGCCGGCCCGCTTTCTGATTCACACAGAGCGGTGTGGGGAGTGAAAGGGAGAGAGACGGAAAAACTGAGCGGAAAGGGTGTTATAACAGGAATTTGAGTGAGAGGGGCACAAGGGAGAGAAAGTGGGAAAGAGAGGCTCATTACATCTCATGGCTACTCCCTCGATCACTGGCTCGCTCGCTCACTGACTCACCCCAACGGGGAGAGCACAGCGCCCAGCAGCAGGCGCACACGAGCAGTCCTCGATGCAACCACCTTCACCCACCCCCTCCCCCCCGCCTCCACATCGCGCTCGTCCTTCCCCCCCACCACCGCCCCCCACACCCGCTGCAGCAGGACCAGCAACCAAGCGCCCATCCACCCGCCCCTCCGCCTGCCACTTCTCGTTCGCCACACCCCTCCTGCTGACGATGGCGTTGCTCCTTGCTGTGCTGTCGCCTCCTGTTGCTGTCTCACACTCTCCCTCTTCCCCCCCTTGCCCTCCCCTACGCCCTGCTCCCCTTCACCCACCACCTCCCCTGCTTCTCCTCTTGCCCCATCTCCCCTTGATATAGCTCGTCCTCCTGACGTGGCAGGGCTGGATTGGGCGGATCCATGCTCCTGGGGATGGTGAGCCGAACCTAGCCCGATTCCCAAGCCAGTGCCGAACCTGCCTCTCGAGGCTCGGGAGTAGAACCCTCTTCCGCCCCCGAACCCACCGCCTGCCACAATTTCACCGCTGCTAGAACCTTCAGCGAAACTTCTTTGTCTGCTCTCTCCTGCTCTCTCGCCTGCCAAAGTGGAATTCTTCCCTCCCCCAGCTGTCACCTCCTCTCTTTCCTCTTCTCCCTCCACGTTTCCCGCTCTCCCTTCTGCCCTTAACCCACTCCCCGAGTGTCTTTCACTCACTACCCGTTCGATTCGCTGCCCGAAGCTCAAATCCAATGCTATGTCCGAACCAAGCACCAAGTCAGCCTCGGTACGCCGGTCTGGAGAATCCATACCTGCATCCGAAGCTATCTCAAAAGCAGAGTCAGAGCTATTCCTTACGTCAGCAGCACCACCTGAAGGGCTTTCAGTTATGTCAGTTTCGCCCTGAATTCCGGGTTGGGTGTTTCCTGTCAAACGTCTAGCTACAGTGCGGTGGCTTGGAGGTGCGGAAAAAGGAACGAGTTGATTTCCCCTCAAAATTGACCTAGGTTGTGCGGGGATGGGGGTCAAAGGGGACGATGGTTCAGCCCGAACCTGTGAGCCAGGTTTGGCAGAGTCAGTTGGAGTAATCCTATCTTCATCATCAGCGTCGACACTGTCAGTAGCTTTTATTGTACCGGAGGCCCCGATTCTATCACCAAGAGCCTCGATTTCGTTAGAAGAGATCCCGCTACTAGCAGCAGCAACGGCATATCGAGGGCTGCTGGCTCGACTGTTAGATCTGCTGGGGCCGCGACTGCCGCTGCTCGCGCTGCTCTGTAACGCTAGGAGGTAACCACCGGTCGTTACAACTACGACGCCTATCACGCCTTGTACGCTCGGGACTTCACCCAGGAGAAGAAACGACGTTACGAGTAAGAGCACGGGTACGAACGCGAGGAACGGAACAGTCGTGGATATCGGTGCCACGTGTAACGCGCGCTGGTACATGACGCCAGCTAGGATCTTCGCTGCTGAGCTGGCAACGAGAATCTGCAGGAGCTTCCACGTCACGAAGCGCAGGTCGGTGACGAGGCGGAACGCGAGGATGAAGGAGGAGAGGAAGAGAGCATCGAGAATGCCGACGAGCGTCACGAGCTCCGCGGACGAGAGCGTCTGCGACGCGTACTTGCGCGTCGCGTCGATGCCGCTGTGGCCGAGGGCGGCGGCGGCAGCGCAGGCGAAGCCGTGCCATTTGACCATCGGACGGCTGACGGCCGGCGGACGGAGACACGCGCTACGGTGGACGGACGTCGCTGGCTAACCACGATGCGCACGTTGCGGGGAGAGGAAGGAGCGGAAGCGAGTGTGAAGATTGACAGCGGGTGGGATGCGGAAAGAAATTAGTCGGTTGACTTTGACATTGCGCGCCAACAGTGATCGGGTCGCAACTGCCAGTAGTGCGAACGGTTCACGGAGACCCGATCTCCGTGGCGGAGTCGAAACAGGTTGGGTACTGGCTGGGAACTGATTTTCTCTGGGCCGCGAGATGTAACCTGATCCTGTAGGTGTAATACGAGTCGAACAAAGCACGCCCTCGTTTCCATTCAATCCAGTTGCCGCCACCAAGCCCCTGGCCTCAAATCATTTCACCCGCCTGGCACTGCCCTGATTCATCTTCAGCAACTCGGATCCACCCAACCAGCCATTTTGGTTCGGAGCGGCCCCTCCCTCCCTCCCGTGTCCTCGCGCCTCGCATTCGGTATCCGTCGTCTGCGCGTCGCTTAGCTTCGTCCCCGACCCGCCATGGATCCGTTCTCCCGCTGCAGCCGAGCGCGCCCGGCGCCGTTGCTGCGCGCGGCGGTGGTGCTGCAGGCGGCGGTGGCGCTCATCGGCGCGCTTATGGTCTTCCCCGTGCTCTCCGACGCCGCCTCCGTCGTCGACGTCTACAGAATGATCCAGGTCCGTCGGATCCGCCATCGCCCGTATCGTGAACGGTCTGAATTCCAATCCGAGTTCGCTTCCCAGCCGTCTAGATCTACCGATGCGCGGTGTAGTAAACGTATGCGAGCACAGTCCCAAGGGGGTTGCTTTCGCTCCTTCTTGGCAACGTCGATGTCATCGCTGCGAGCCCAGAAACCGTGCGATCCGATTGGCTGGAGCATGCGAGGTAGAGGGCTTTGTAAGACTCGGACTCTCAAAGCAGCGCGGGTGCGCAGAGTGGCACCAAACAGAGAGAAGCCGCTAGTTTTTGCCGCAGTGTGGTGCGATGCGGTGCAATCTGAGACAATGCATATCGTATCAGATCTAGAAGCTTCTGGTGGGAATTCCTAGGCTCAGTGCTCCAAAGCTAGATCGGCGTGGATAGTGCAGGAACGCGCGATTCGCGGCTAAGCCCCTCAGGGTATTGGACCGCGCGATGGACCAGGGAGGGCGCCTTCTTAGGCGGTGGCGGCGGGGCGAGTCTTGCAAAAGAGCGACGACAGATGGACGTGTGGGCTCAAATCCCGGAGGCCAATGCAAACGGGACGCCGCGTAACGTCACGAGCCATGCCTCTCTCCCTCCCTGACTTGCCTCCCCGCCTCCGCGCCTCCCCCTCTTCCCTGTCCGCGACCCGTGTCGTCTCATCGCAGTACGATCTGGGCGGTGCGCCGTTCGGGTCGCGCAAGGCGTCGTTCAGCCTGTACGCGTCGTCGGGGCTGACCACGTCAGCAGCGTCGGAGGCGGATCTGATGCGAGCCGTGATCGTGATGCCGATCCAACGGATCAACTTCACCCTCCTCGATGGTGAGAGTTCGAAGAGCGTGCTTGCACATGTGACATGCCACATGAGAGCATGCAGAAGCAGGTCGCATGCTGCGGCATTAGTCTGCTCGCACTTATCACCCATGCCTCGACCGTCTCTCCCTCACTCCCTCCCCTCCACCTCCCCTTCATGCCCCCTTCCTCTCAACCCCTTCATTCCCCCTCACTGCCTTCCCCCCCGCCACGTCATCAGAGGTGGTGGCGGGATCGCGCAAGGTGGGAGGCCTGCTCTTCATCCTGCCACGTCACTTCAGCTCCTCGCTGCCAGATAGCGGTCAGGGAGAGGACGACGATGCGGAAGATGAGGCTAGCAGGGCGGGGGCAGTAGGAGAGGGCGCGGGGGAGGTGAAGGAGCATGTGGAGGTGGTGGCGCGGCTGGAGGAGCGGCTGCTGGAGGCCAACATTCCGGTGAGTGCGTGAGTGAGTGAGTGGTGCCGCCTGCACCATACCATGCTGACACTTGTTGTCGGCTCTGTTCTGAGTTCTTACATAATTCAGAATTTGGCTTCATATCGCGTGAATGGCGGCCTTGGGTGCAATTGATAATCCTCAACATCTCCTCCCCGCCCACCCTTCCCTCCTCTTCCCCCTTCTCCACCTTCCCATTCGAAGGTGCCTGTGTATTTTGCTGTTGACAATGCTGAGCTGTCAAAGCTGGCGGCTGACGTGGAGAGCAATGATAGGGCGGGCAAGCCAGCATCGGCCACCAATGGCGGGTGAGCACTGCGCCATGGAATGGAATGCCGCTCTCTCTGTTTGTCAATTCCCCCAACCTCATCGCCTCTGTGCGCCAATGGGCTTCCGATGATCGCTCCACCGCACTCCTCTCCACTCATTTCACACCATACTCTTCCCTCTCTTTCCTTCCGCCCCTTCCCCTCTCCACTCCCTCGCATCCAATCAGCTTCAAGCTGGTGGTGGCAGCAGGCGAGCCGCGCAAGCTGCCGGCCTCCTCGCCCTTACCGGCGTTGGAGGCATGGCTGTACGGCGGCGCAAGCTCACACGCACAGGCGCAGGGCGGGAGGAGGGAGGCGCTGCCCATAGTGGCTGTGGTGGCACCGCTTGACACCTTTGGCCTCGTGCCCGTGAGCCCCCTGCCGCTCTGCCTCTCTGCCTCTGCTCCGTGCCTCCCTACCTCCTCTTAGCGTTGCTCCGCCCCGCCTTCTCCCCCTCTTGCTCCTCCTCCGCGTATCTCTTGCTGCCTCTCGTCTTCGTGCTGCGTCAAGCCTCAACCCTCTCCCCTCCGCCGCCCTGTCATCAACTCCCTTCACCACTGCCACCGTGCTGCTGCTCCGCTCGCCATTCTCTCCCGTTCACCTCTCCTTCCCCAACCCCACTTCCCCTCCTCCAATCCCCTCCACTCTCTCTCCCCAGTCACTAGCAACTGGCCCTGCCAGCAGTGCGAGCGGGGTGGCGGCGGTGCTGCAGGTGCTGCGCCTCTTGTCGCGCCTCTTTGCTCTGCTGCCCTCCGCGCGTCCGCCCTTCCACCTGCTCTTCCTGCTCTCCTCCGGGGGACCCTTCAACTTCGACGGAACTCGGCAGGTGGGCATGGGCGCAGGCAGGCAGGGGGGTGTGCCTTGGGCATTGTGGGACGGAACTTGGCAGGTGGGAGCGAGTATGGGACAGAGGGATGGTGGAAGAAAGAGTGGAGAAAGATCAAGAGCCTGAGTCTGTTTGTCATCCTCCTTCCTTGCCCTCCTCATCACCAACATAACTTTCTCACTCTTATTTCTGGTATAAACTACCTGCTTAACCTCCTCACACCCCCCCTCATTCCACCCTCCCATCGCCCCTCGCTTCTCCCCCTCTAGTGGCTGGCCTCGTTGGACCAGAGTGTGCAGGACCGCCTCGAGTTCGCCATCTGTGTGCGCGCCATTGGTGCAGCGCCAGGGGGTGGGGAGGGGGGCAGCGGGTTGCACCTGCACGTGTCGCGGCCCCTCAAGGACCCCACCATCCGCGCGCTCTTCCACGTGAGTCACCATCCGCGCGCTCTTCCACGTGAGTCACCATCCGCGCGCTCTTCCACGTGAGTCACCATCCGCGCGCTCTTCCACGTGAGTCACCATCCGCGCGCTCTTCCACGTGAGTCACCATCCGCGCGCTCTTCCACGTGAGTCACCATCCGCGCGCTCTTCCACGTGAGTCACCATCCGCGCGCTCTTCCACGTGAGTCACCATCCGCGCGCTCTTCCACGTGAGTCACCATCCGCGCACGTGAGTCACCATCGTGCTCCACCAGTCACCACCATTCCGCCCATCGTGTCCCTTCCTGCACCGTTCTCACCATTGGGTTGTGGCAGCACCTCCCCCTCGTCCCACCTTGCACACAGAGATCATAACATCTCCCACTTGTGTGTGCACTGCTGCCCCTTGCTCCCCTTCCCACCCACCCTCTCCCTGCAGCGCCTGTCTTCTGTCATAGCAGCCGCGGACCCACCTACCTTCCTCACCCTGCTGCACAAGAAGGTGGGCATATCGCACGCTAATGCCGAGCTGACCCTCGTTCCCGTACCATCCACTCCCCCCACCCCACGTGATCTCCCCCCCCCGCAGGGCCTGTCCTCCGCTGCAGCAGCCGTGGACCCACCCACGTCTGTGGCCGTGGTGCACAAGAAGGTGAACATCTCGGACGCCCATGTGCCGTGGCAGCACGAGCTCTTCTCCCGTCGCAAGCTGGTTGCCGCCTCGCTCTCCTCCCTGCCCTCCGCTCCGCGCTTCCTGCGCCACTGGGGCGGACTGGCTGACACCAGGTACTTTGGGGGGATGTGGCGTTGGGGTTTGAGAGATGAGAAGGAAGAAGTTTGCAGGGTGGGAAGGGGCGAGCACGCTGGGATATAAGAACGGTGCACTGAAGTTGGAACGGGACGAGAAGACTTGGCAACCCACCCAAATTGCTTTTCCCTGAAGCGGAGTGTCTGGTATGCATGCTTTTCCAGCTTCTTCCTTGCCTTTTCTTCTAAGTCCTTCTGTCTTCTCCCCCTTCCCTTCATCACCGTCTTATCACTGCGCATGTGTGTCTGAGCGCCTCTGCACCACTGTGCAGGGCATCAGTGGATGAACGTCAGCTGCTGGCTACCACACGCCTCATCGCTGAAACCATTGCTGTGAGAAGCCAACAACCTTCTCGTGCCCCTGCCTATTTGTTCTTGTAGCTACATCCTGTTTCCACCCGTTCCTCTTATCCTGACGCATTTTTCGTGCAGTGTGTCCCCCGCGAACCCTCTTCTCATCTCCCATGTGTGTTTAACCACATCCCTCTCTCTTCTCCAGAGCCACATCTTCAACAGCAGCAGTGCCGACAATGTTAGTAGCAACTTATCTGAGGGAGCGGAAGCAGCCCCGCCGCCCATCGCCTTCTTCCCACCCAACTCCTCGCTCGCTCCAAGCCTCCCCTACCTCTCCCACTGGCTCTCCCTCCTCTCCCACTCGCCACGTGTCGCCCCGCTATTGGCGAAGGACGACCCAATAATTGCCGCCATTCAAGCAGTAAGATCATCTTTCATATCTGGGGCGATCGCCACTGTGGTTCAGTCAAATCGTTTCTCTTGTTGCAGCTTACTTCACCACCCGTGTCACATGGGTGCAACGACTGCTTTCCTCTTTTCTTTTCATTGTGATCCTTCTTTCGCGTCCTAACCTCTCTCATCCCCACTGGTCCATGTACCCATGTGTGCATGTGTCGATATGCCCTTTGTGGCAGGAGCTGGCATTGCATGCGGACAAGGTGGAGGTGAGGAAAGCAGCTTTGGACCCGCACTACACGCTCTACTCCACACCACACGCCCAGATGCACATCTACCAGGTGGGGTGGGGCGGGCCGTGGTAACATGCTGCGTCTGATGTCTGCACCTACCGTGCATCCACCATGGATGCACCATGCCTTGTGCTTGTGCCCCAGTCACCGACCTTGAAGAAAGCTTCTCCAGGCCTTCAGGTCATCGCCATCCTGCTCCACTAACTTGTTGCTCTGTTTCTCTGGGTTCGCCCTCTCCCATGTGTCCTGCTTACAGGTGGCCAGCATCACCTTCGATTTAGTCACATTCCTTGCAGTGGCCATGTACCTCTCCACCCTCTTTGTCATCCTCCATACAGCCACCAAGGTATGCTCGCAGCCGATCACAGCCATGCATACTTGTTTTCCAGCAAACTCACAAGGTTATCGCACCGCACACTCTGTTCACTGACATGAGCCAACCATTGTTACCGTACCATCCCGTACCTGCTCCCCCTCTTGCCCTGCCATTCCCCTCAGGGCTTTGACGACCTGGTGGCTCTCTTCAAGGGCAAGCCCGCCCACCGCAAGGCAAAGCCTTCGTGATTCCTTCACCCCACTCCACCTAGAGCTACCACCCTGCTCTCTTGAGCACTAGGATTTCTGTTCAGTAGAGTAGTTATTGGCTTCACCTGTGAGAGGGAAGTTTTTGTGCAATCATTCCCTCAACCAAGGTTGTTGGTGCACGTAATGCTAGCAGCCGAGATAATGAGCCGCAAATAATTAACTTGGCCAAGGTCCAACACCCACTTTGCAATGACTCCCACTTTGCATTTGTGCACGGGCCAAGGTCCAGCACCCGTGATATTCAGGCTCTGCATGCTTTGGTGATGTACAACACAAAAGCAAGGTCTGTCGATCACAATGCTGCATCCAGGGATTTACCGTAAAAGGGTGGAAGAAACCATGAAGAGAAGTATCAGAGCCAGGTTTCGATCCTGGGACCTGTGGGTTATGGGCCCACCACGCTTCCGCTGCGCCACTCTGATCTGCCGAAAAATTTAGTATTCTTTACATGATAAAATTTACGCAAGATGTCAGAGCCTCTCTACGATGTACCGCCTCCTGCGTGCAAGCTTCGATGCCTGCGTTTATTCCTCCGTCTGCCATCGCTCAGGGAATCCGCAGTGCCAGATGCCATCGATTAGGGTTCTCCCCGCGTTTCCCGCCGTCTACCGCGCGTAACCGTCATTCGAATCTCTGTCCACGTAAATGCACGATCTCAGCAGGTCAAGATTCCGTCCCTTCTGCAGCAGTTCTCGTCGGTTTTCTGTCTGAAACTAGCCAATCAAATTTATTGTCACGCGCCGACGAGCCCAGCGTTGCATGGTTTCGCGAACGCTCCATCATTCGCTAGCACCCTTTTCGCGCGCACGAATGCCTCTCCCTCCTTCATCGCGCACTGTCCTTCGCAACCTACCGCTCTTCAGACCACTCGACGCCGATAAAAGGCGCTCCGTCGTTATTCTTGTAGCATTTCTACTCATCGCCTATCTCGCATTCACGCGCCTCTCGCCCTCCACTTCTCCCGACATTGCCACGTCAGCCATGGACCCTGATCGGCTGCGGGATAAGCCAGGAAACATCAGTTCAGCTCGTGCCACGTCAGCGAAGGTGAATCAGTTTTCCATCTGGGCCATGCCTGAAGAAGGCTCGGCGTTCCACGCCTCAGCTTCGGCAGCCATCTCGAACCTCTCAACCAGGTTTGTCATGTTGAAATATAAAGTACGTTGTTCACTTTGTAGGGATTGGACTGAACACGAAGTATACAATCGAGGATCTGCTCGTAACACCTGCCACGCAGGTTCGGGTGCACGCCGTTTGAGCCGCATGTGACGGTGATTGGAGCGTTTGGGGAGAGGGAGGGGTTGGACGAGCAGGAGGTGGTGAAGCGCATGGAGCGATTAAGTGCGTCCTTAAAGCCATACGACATCCAAGTCATGGAGCTGGCTGCTGGTCAGCTCTTCTTCCAGTGCGTGTATCTCAAGATGCTGCCTTCTAAAGAGGTACGCTCTCTCATGTTGCTCAGACGTGCAAATTTCCAGTTTTTTCTGGAAAGAATGTGTGGCGCTCCTGGTAAGCTTATTTGTTACTGCTAGAGCACACGAGTGCTGCTGAGTTTGCTGGTGCCTTATGGAACATCAATACATCTTGCCTGGAGTACCTTCTCCCTTTCCCGTCCGGACATGGCACATGGTGTGCGTGTTATCAGGTGCTCCATGTGCACAACGAGGCAGTGGAAGTGATGGGCATGGACAGGAATTCCGTTGCAGGTATGGGCATCAACCGGCATGTCACAGTTCCCCACACCACATCAAGAATGTGTCACTCGATTGCCTGCTTGTTGCACTATTATGTATTCCAATCCTCTTAACCGCCTGACTAGCACACAAGTTCCCTCGTATCCTTACATCCCTCCACACACCCCTCTCCGTTACCCCCAACCCCCCCTCTCTCTGTGACCTCGCATTGCGTGTGCAGCGTACATGCCTCACCTCAGCCTCATTTATGGTGATCTCTCAGACGCCCAGAAGCAGGAAGCCAAAGCGGCAGTGGGAGAGTCATTCCCCTCCCTGCTCCCTCCCACCCCCACCTCCCAACCATCCCCTTCCTTCCATGTTTCGTCCCTTGCACTCTACCGCACTGAACCCACCGACCTCACTATGAGTACTTGGGAGAGAATCGCGGTGTTCCCACTCAGTGGTTCGAATTAGAGGTTTGGCAATAAAAAGGTTGTTTTTAGTACTAACTTGTAAGAAGGTAAAGTTTTGAACGTTATGTGCAGCCGTTGCATGTACTGCCTATTTACCCATATTGAAGTGTCCTTTACAGAAGCACTGAATCTTCTCATGCCTGTTCCACGGAATCTGACAGGTGCAGTGCAGTGCCGTGGCGTGCTCTCGTCTTCCAGAGTCACAACCGCCCGCGGGAAGGTTCCCGAAGTCTCGTTACGGGGACATTCTAGAACGGGAATGGCCTAGCGAATTCCTCACGATGCGTTACTTGCTGTCGAACTGATGCCGCATACCTTCGCTGCGGAGTATTCTGCCTTCGCGGGAAAACAGTACCCAAAATTCACGACGTTCGCGAAGGCACTGACAAACCTCTGTTGGATCACATGTTGGGCTGTTATGAAAGCAAATCTCTTTCACCTCTTCTAGCTGCTTCTTCAGGATCTGTGACTGCTATTGTCCTGCCACGTTGCTCCTTGACTAGCAGTTAATTTCGTTCTTCCTTGTTTGATCTCTTGTTTTCCGACTTCTGCCGAGACCTAGCCTTCAATTTCGGCAGAGCACCATGAGCGTGGTGGGCTTCGATGTGGGGAATGAGAGGGGCGTGGTAGGCATTGCGCGACAACGCGGCATCGACATCGCGCTCAACGAGGAGTCCAATCGTGAGACTCCCAATGTCGTCTGCTTCGGCGAAACTCAGCGATATTTGGGCGTCGCAGGAGCGGCGTCGTACACGATGAACCCTAAGAACACGGTGTCGCAGATCAAGCGCATGATCGGGCGGAAATTCGCGGATCCCGAGTTCCAAAAGGACCTTCCGATGTTCCCGTTCCGCTGCTCCGAAGGCCCGGACGGCGATATTCTCGTGCACGTCATGTACATGAACGAGCCCAGGACGTTCACGCCCACCCAACTTCTCGCCATGGTCTTGAACGGATTAAAAGCGATCGGCGAGAAGGACCTGGGATCGAAGATCACGGATTGCGTGATCGGCATCCCTGTCTACCTCACCGACGCGCAGCGCCGCGCGTATCTCGATGCGGCGACCATCGCGGGGCTGCACCCGCTTCGGCTAATGCACGAGCCGACGGCCACAGCTCTCGCTTACGGAATCTACAAGACGGATCTGTCGGAAACGGAGCCACTCAATATCGCGTTCGTGGACATCGGGCACTCGACGATGCAGGTGTCGATCGTGGCGTTCAAGAAGGGGCAGCTGAAGGTGCTGGCGCACGCGTTCGACCGGTCGCTGGGCGGACGCGACTTCGACGAGGTGCTCTTCAACCACTTCGTGGACGAGTGCGCTAAGAACCACAAGCTCGACATCCGCTCCAACGCGCGCGCCTGCCTCCGCCTGCGCACCGCGTGCGAGAAGCTCAAGAAAGTCCTCAGCGCCAACCCCGAGTCGCCGCTGCACGTGAGTCCGTTGCACAGGTCTTCCTCTCGGTCCTATCTCCTTTTACAGTTTACTCTCCCGTGGTCCATCCCCTTTTCGTCGTGTCCTTTCCCACCACCTCGGCTCTCACGTCTATCAAAACATCTCGTTGGCCCCAATCTCCCTTACCCAAACCCTTTCCGTCCATGCCATCTGTACTCCTTTCCCCTCGCCCCCTTTCCCTTACCTCCGCACTCCTCCCTCCCCCCCTCGTCCTCCCTCCCCCATCCCTCCCGGTGCTGCAGGTGGAGTGTCTGATGGACGAGAAGGACGTGACGGGGTTCTTAAAGCGCGACCAGTTCGAGCAGATGGCTAAGCCCATCCTCGAGCGCGTCAAGGCGCCCTGCGCGCGCGCGCTGCTCGAGTCGGGCATCACCGTCGATCAGATCGCAGCCGTCGAGCTGGTGGGGTCCGGGTCGCGCGTGCCAGCGATCATGAAGATTCTCGCGGAGTTTTTTGGGAAGGAGCCGCGCCGCACGATGAACGCCAGCGAGTGCGTGGCGCGCGGGTGCGCGCTGCAGTGCGCCATGCTCAGCCCCGCCTTCAAAGTCCGCGAGTTCGAGGTGAGTTGTCTTGTTGGGGGTGCTGCGTTGTTTAATGGGTGTAGGGCACGCGGTGTATGATGCACGATACAGGGTGGGTGCGTGCTACGTTCGCTCGTCCGGCCAACGCTCGCCACCATCCCGCCCACCTAAGTTCCCCGTTTCTTCGCTCCATCTCTCTCTCTCTCCTCCCCCCCGTCAACCTCTCCTCCCACCGCGCCCACCTCCGCGCGTCCCCCCACCCCCCGCGCAGGTGCACGACACGTACCCGTTCGCAATCGCACTCTCGTGGAAGCAAGCGAGCGCGGCGGCGTCCGCGGAGGGCGCGGAGGGCGGCGGGGAGGAGGCGGCGGCGCAGCCGAACCAGGTGGTGTTCTCGAAGAACAACCCGCTGCCGAGCTCGAAGCTGCTGACGTTCTACCGCACTGAGGCGTTCACCATCGACGCCTTCTATGCCAATCCCGAGGACCAGACCGTTGGCGCCAACACACGCATCGGCACCTTCACTGTAAGCCCGCCGCGTTGGCACCTTCTCTGTAAGCACGTGGCTCCGCGCACAGGCATGTGTGGTGGGAGCGCTCCGCTCGTCACATGCATACTTTCTGTCAGAACCTTTTTTCCTAGCTTCATTTCGGGTGGATGTTTCATCTCGGGTGTGAAGTACGTCAATTAACCTTGTTACCCCTCACTCTCCACCCCTGTGCGCGGCAGGTGGGTCCGTTTGCACCATCGCGGCCGGACTCGAAGCCGAAGCTGAAGGTGAAGATCCGCCTCAACCTGCACGGCATTCTGTCCGTTGAATCCGCCACGGTGAGTGCCGCCCCGCCCTGCCACGTAGGATGGCGCGGTTGAACAGCTTGAGAAAGGTGCAGAATCTGAAAAGGAAAGGGATAAAGAAACGAAGGGGGGAAACGTGAGGTGTGTGTTTTCATGCACAACGAATAAGGCCATGTGTGTGTTGTAAGTGGAGGATGGCACTGTGAATTGCCGTGTCTCGCTTTGGAGGCGGTGGATCCTCAGCGCCGCCTCCTTTTTTAGCTTATGTTTTAAGTGCCAAGGTAGCGGAGAAACCCCAGCGGAGGCTGAATGCAGATGTGAAGTGCACGTATAGAGAGAAAGACTTCGGCAGAAGCAGAAGGGGGATTTACAGAAGGGTGATTTACAGAATTCTCCAAGGAAGCACTCCTTCGCGGGGTGTGCCTTTTCTTACCACGGCTGCTTCTGTCACCCCGTTCCGTGCCCGTGTGGTGTGATGCCAGTTGTTGGAGGAGGAGGAGGTGGAGGTGCCGGCCAAGAAGGACGCCAAGGAGCCTGCACCAGATGCCGCCGGGGCTCCCATGGACGCCGATGCTGCTGCAGCCGGTGGCGCTGAGGGCGATGCCAAGATGGATGATGCTGCTCAACCAGCCAAGGTACGGCATTTTGCACCACTGCTGCTGAGTGAGTCGTACAGGTGCGTGCTTGTGGCTCCTTCACTCAGCCGCTGGCTTCTTTTCCCCCTTTAACTTTTCTTCTCCTGCACCATCCTGCACCGCACTCCACCACTGTGCAGCCGGAGATGGTGAAGAAGAAGAAGACGAAGAAGACGGACGTGCCGATAGAGGCGCACCTGGTGGGGGGCCTGCCTCCTGCGAAGCTGCAGCAGCTGGTGGAGGAGGAGTTTGCGATGGCGCTGCAGGACCGCGTGATGGAGGAGACCAAGGAGAAGAAGAACGCCGTTGAGAGCTACGTCTACGACATGCGCAACAAGGTCAGCCGTGCTTGGTGTGCTGTGGCGGGGTATGGTGTGGCGGGGCATGGTGGGTGGGGGCATGGCGGAGCATGGTGGGTGGGGGGGATGGCGGGGCATGGGATGGCATGGCATGTGCTAACGAGTTGGTGCATGTATGGCATGCACAACATTGTGGTTGATTCTGGGAAAGGACAAACAGAATGCTTTATATGGCATTTTTTCTTAAACCGGTGGCACTTATGACAACCCGATCTCCCCAACAATGAGAAACCTTGTCTGCATGTCACACCACGTTTCGCTGCTGACACTTCCCATTCGAACCCTCTTCCCTTACCGCCACCTCCCATGCATGTCACCCAGCTGCACGACAAGCTGGCGCCTTACGCAACGGAGGCGGAGAAGGAGCAGCTGCTGGCGAAGCTGCAGGAGACGGAGGACTGGCTGTACGAGGACGGGGAGAGCGAGAGCAAGGGCGTGTACATCAGCAAGCTGGACGAGCTCAAGCGCCTGGGCGACCCCATTGAGGCGCGCCTCAAAGAGGAGGAGGCCCGCCCCGCTGCGCTGCAGTCGCTGCAGTACTGCATTGGAAGCTTCCGGGAGGCTGCGCTGTCCACGGATGCGATGTATGCGCACATCGACCCCAAGGAGAAGGCGCAGGTGGGTGCAGAGGAACAGGGGGATGGATAAGGTTGTTTATGTGGAAAGGCGTTATACAGGCAAGCAAGGTAGATATGTGGTGGCATTTGGGTGCGCGCTCAGTGTGCGGGGTGAGTTGAGGAGAGGAGGGACGTGGTGGGTGATCTCATAGTGAAGCTGGGTTCGTCAGAGGGAGGGTAATGTTCACGGAAGAAGGATGAAATGTTTGGAGTCTATCCAAGTACCAACTCCTTTCCTCTCTCTCGCGTCCTACCACTGTGTGCCGTCTTCTCACGTGCCTGACCCAGGTGGTGGAGGAGTGCAACAAGGCGGAGATGTGGCTGAGGGACATGCTCTTCCAGCAGCAGAAGCTCAGCAAGAAGGACAACCCCGTGCTGCTCGCGGCCGACCTACGCAAGAAGGCAGAGACCCTCGACAGGTGGGCAGAGGAACCGGCATATGGCATCAAGGTCGTTTGGGGTTAGTGTGTGCTTTGTGGCTTTTGCATGATATGTGCTGTTTCAATGACTGGCATCTCTCCATCTGACATGTGGTGTTTTTCTTGGTTCTTTGTGTCTCTCAATGGCAGGTTTTGCAAGCCCATCATGACGAAACCCAAACCAGCTCCCAAGCCTGCTGCAGAGCCCAAGCCCGAGCCTGCTGCTGAGGCGCCAAAGGCAGGCGGCGAGCCGATGGAGACAGAAGGGGCTGCAGCAGAGGGAGCTGCAGGGGCAGGTGGTGAGAAACCTGCTGAGGGCGAGGCCATGCAAACAGAGTAGAGCACGAATTAGACTGTCATATTGTTATGAGCCAGTTTAGGTTCGCTCTTCCCACGTTTGAAGTGGGGCACACAGATTTGCAGTGGGTTTGTTGGTCCGGCACCAGACTCCAGAGTGTTCTGTTAGTGCGTTTTGACTGACCAGTCACCAGGGGCTTGGAGAGGCATCCAACGGCACGATGGAGCTCGTAGCTCGTATTATTTTACCAAGCAACACCATTTGATTAATCCGCATCTGATATTGTGGCCACCTATGAAACATAAATTGCTTTATTCAATCTCCATCTCAACAAAATATGGAACCAAGTACAAAAGCATTGGGCTGTCGCTGGTTCGGCAGTTCGACCTTTATCGGAGCACTTGCGGCTGTTTGAGAATTGCCTTTGCAGACGGCGATCCCAAGGCTCTTCAATCAATTCTACCTCCCAACTATTTCATCCTGCCTATCTGCCTGCACTTCACTTGATCTGCATAGTCTCTTATTCATGGCAGCACCTTGCGTCACATGCGCATCAGTCTAGGATTGTCTGTTCTCGCTGTCGGCATCTCGCGCGCTTGCGGGTCGTCAGAATTCGAGTCGTGGAAGCAGCTGATCGCACTCTTAGCCAATTAACCATTGTCCCGCACGCAGCCCGCCATGTCCTTCTCCATGGATTTCCGCTCGCTTGGGCGAGACCTCGCCCTAGCGTCTCAGAGCGCAGTCGGATCGTCTAAGGACTTTTTGGACCTAGTTAAAGCCATAGGAGAGGCTAAGTCGAAGGCGGAGGAGGATAGGATAATGGCGGGGGAGCTGGAGCTGCTAAAAAAGAAGATTTCTGAGCCGGACGTGCCTAAGAAGCGAATGAAAGAATACATCCTACGTCTCATGTACCTCGAGATCCTCGGTCACGATGCGTCGTTCGGTTACATCCACGCCGTGAAGATGACACACGACGACAACCTCTTGTTGAAACGCACGGGTTATCTCGCGTGTACGCTTTTCCTGGACGACTCGCACGATCTGATCATATTGATAGTCAACACGATTCAGAAGGATCTTAAATCCGATAATTACCTCGTCGTATGCGCGGCGTTAGGAGCCGTTTGCAAATTAATCAACGAGGAAACCATTCCGGCGGTCTTGAACCCAATAGTAGACCTCCTTAAACATCCCAAGGAGCTGGTCCGGAAGAAGGCGGTGATGGCGCTGCAACGGTTCCATCAACGGTCGCCTTCCAGCGTGTCGCACGTGACGGAGAAGTTTCGCCAGGCGCTGTGCGACAAGGACCCGAGCGTGATGAGCGCGTCGCTGTGCGGGCTGCACGACCTGATCGCGGCGGACCCCGCGCCGTACCGCAACCTGACGCCGTCGTTCCTGAGCATCCTCAAGCAGGTCGCCGAGGGCCGCCTGCCCAAATCCTTCGACTACCACCGCGTGCCCGCGCCCTTCATCCAGGTACCACCCTCATGGACCATCTCAACGCCGCCCCCTTTATCCAGGTACCGCCTTTATGAACCATTGCTCCAGCTTCCACCAGCCCCCACCGTGCACGCTTCGAGCGACAGCCATTGTACCCCCGATTCCTTGGACGAGTGCAACTGCTGGAATCCGTCGCCTTCGTGTGTCCCTGCTACTGCTGACATCATTACTCCCTTCTCTCCCACACCACTCCCCTTGATCCCCCCGTCGTCTTCCAGATAAAGCTGTTGAAGCTGCTGGCGCTGCTGGGCGCCAACAACCAGGCGGCCAGCGAGCCCATGTACCCCGTCATCGCTGACGTCATCCGGCGCATCAGCGAGTCGCAGCCCAAGGCGGGGACGACGGGGCGGCGGGACGACTCGCAGGTGACAGCTGGCAACGCGATCCTGTACGAGGCGATCCGCACGGTGGCTGCGATTCACCCCAGCGAGCAGCTGCTGGCGTCCTGCGCTGCCATCACCTCCTCCTTCCTCAAGGTCCCCCTCGCTTTCCCTCCCCATCTCAACCCCTTTCTCTTTCCTTGTTCTGTGTGCCTTCACTCCATTCCCTCACCTTCTTATCACACACCTCAATGCGTCCTCATTCCGTGTGAAGCAACAAGCGCACGTTCCAAAGCCCTCTGCCCTCTGACCTCTTCCCACCATTTCTGCACCCCGCTCCTCCCTCGCACTTCCCTTCCGCCATCCCCATCCCCCACGCTCCACCCCGCCCCCTCCCCACTCACTAGCATCACCACCATGCAGAGCAGCGTGCACAACCTGCGGTACATGGGAGTGGAATGCCTGGGTCAGGTCGGCTCTTGAGGCGCCTCAAATCTCACCCCACCCTCTCCCCACTCGCCCATGTCACCCGTGCAGAGCAGCGTGCACAACCTGCGCTACATGGGAGTGGACTGTCTGGCGCAGATAGTGCGCATCAACCCCGAGCTGGCCACGGAGCACCAGATCGCCGTCATTGACTGCCTTGAGGACCCTGACGACTCGCTCAAGCGCAAAACACTCGATCTCCTCTATAAGATGACGGGCCCGGGCAATGTGGAGGTGATAGTGGAGCACGTGCTGCAGTACCTGCGCGGGCTGCGGTCGGGGGATGATGCGCACGCGCATGGGCGCGCTGACCTGGCGGCGAGGATCGTTGAGTTGGCGGAGAGATTTGCACCGTCCAATGAGTGGTTCATCCAGGTGAGGGGGATGAGAGGGATATGGGGGATATGGGGGATGTGGGGGATTGAGTGGGCAATGCGGTGGGAGATGGTGGGAGGCATGTGAGGGGTGGAGTGGGGGAGAGCGAGCCGCTTGGTCCGATAGTCATTTCGTCACCTCCTCATGCCTTCTTACCGATCTGCACCATTCCCCATGTCGCTGTCGGTTCTCCCTCACCTCCTCCCCCTCTTCCTCTTCCCCCGGCTCCTGCTCCCCTCTCTTCCCAATCTCCCCCCCCCTCCTCTGGGCAGACGATGAACAGTGTGTTTGAGGTGGCGGGGGATGTGGTGCGGCCCAAGGTGGCGCATGACCTCATGAGGCTCATCGCTGAGGGGTCAGGGGGCGACAATGACGACGCTGACTCGCGCCTGCGCTCATCCGCCGTGAGTGGCGATGTGGTCTCGCCCTTGCGTGCACCAGTTTAAGCACAGTGTTTCTCTTTGTTCCCCATGCATTATCTAGCTTGCATCCTCCCTATATTCTACTCTCACCTGTGCCTCAACTCCTGCCATGCCAGCCAAACCTTCTTCCATCTGTGTGGGTTAAACTCATCCTATTCCATGCCTTTGCTTCTTTCATTCGCGCTCTTTTCATGTCTGCCCCTCTCCCCTAACCCTCTCCACACGACGAATAGCATGCGAGTGCTTCCACTCATGTTCTATGCATTTTTGCACCCTCCACTGACCATCTTCACATCCCATCCACTCCCTCCCTCCCCCCAACCCCACTCGTGGCCACACCACAGGTGCAATCGTATGTGAAGCTGCTCAAGGAGCCGAACCTGCCCACACTGCTGCTCCAGGTGCCCTCCCTTCTGTCACTCTTTCTTTGATGCAACTCACTGCCTTCATGCTCCTTGGATCCTGTCTTTGCCTCTCCCGCACACGCTCCTTTCCCCGCTCAATTTTTACCTGACCTTGTTGCACGTTTCCCCCTTCGTCCCCCACCTTATTGGTGGCACCTGGCAGGTCATATGCTGGGTGTTGGGGGAGTATGCCACGTCAGACGGCCACATGTCAGCAGATGAAGTCATGGCAAAGCTGTGTGACGTGGCAGAGGGACATGACACTGACGACACTGTGCGGGTGTGTAATGTCTTCCTTGCTTCATCAAACTTACTCTTCTATTCATTAATCACATCCCCTTGGCTTCCTCCCTCTCTGCTGCGGCATGACATGTCGTATCTTTCACAATTAAGGTCTGTTAAGCGATTATGTGACACCAATATTGATGCCCGCGTCTGAGATGCACATGCCTCTCACTGCCCTACCTGCTTCTCCCAGGCGTACGTGCTATCAGCCATGGCAAAGGTGGTGGCGTACGAGGCGGCGTGTGGGCGGCAGGCACGGCTGTCGGGGGAGGCGAGGGCGCTGGTGGAGGTGATGGTGGCGGCGCACAGCACGGACGTGCAGCACCGCGCCTACCAGCTGCAGGCGCTGCTCGCCCTGCGCCCCGACACCCTCGCTGCTGTTCTGCCTGTGGACGCCAGCTGTGAAGACATCGAGGTCAGCTGCCACGGATGGGAGGGGAGGGGGTGTGTGATGCCAGGGCGGGTAGGGGCTAGGGGCTGTAACTGCTTGGGGATTTTGCTTTCACGCTTCCTGCGCACTCATGCAAATTAGGAAGGTATGGAATTCAGGAGCTTTTCACCGCCTGCATGCTCATCATCTCCATCCATGCTCCACACCCCCCCCCCCCTTCCTCTTCTGCGCCCACCTGCCCAGATTGACCCAGCACTGCCCTTCCTGGATCAGTACGTGGCGGACTCACTGGCAGCGGGGGCGCGGCCCTACCTGTCCGAGTCAGACCGCCTTAACTTCTCCGTGGGTGCAGATGCCACCTCCCTCGCCTCCTCCCTGCACGACTCCTCCGCATCTGCTGCCGCACGCCATGCGGACCGCTCTCTGCGCTTCGAGGCGTATGAGCAACCCAAGCTACCCTCTGCACCCCTCACTGCCTCGCAGCGCGGCGGCGCTGGTGGCGGTGCGTTTTCCTCCTCTGCTGCCGCCTATCCGTCTGCTAACCCGCCCCCTGCCCTCTCCGCTACTTCGTCTGGAGGGTTCCGGGAGTCGTCCGGTGGGGCCTATGGGGGAGGGGAGGCGAGCAGCGGCGGCGGGGGAGGTGCAACAGATGGAGCGAGACTGAACCTCTCAGGCGTGCAACGGAAGTGGGGCCGCCCTGCTGCCCCCCCTCCGTCTGCTGCTCCTCCTTCTGCCGCTCCTGCAGGACCTTCTGCTGACTCGTTCTCTATCCGCACTGACTCAGCTGCTTCAGCAGCAGGAGCAGGGGGTGCAGGAGCAGGCGCAGCTGCAGGGAGAGGGGGGGATCGGAGAGCGGGTGAGAGTAGTCAAGTGAGTGAGGAGAAGCAGAGGCTAGCAGCGAAGCTGTTTGGGGGCAAGGGGGCAGCAAGTGGCGGTGCAGGCGGCTCATCTAGCCTGGCAGGGACGGGGTCTGAGCCAAGAACGGTGGGGGCAGCAGGGCAGTGGGGAAAACGAGGGTCTGGAGCAGCAGAGGGCGCTGCAGCCGATGCCGCTCCTTCCAGTGCTCCTGCACCCCCTCCTGCTGCGCCTGTTGCTGACCTGCTGCTGATGGATCTCAATGATGACCCTCCACCAGTGAACACAGCATCCATGCTTGACAGCTCAACAGCAGCTCCTGCCATGTCAGCCACTACAGCTGGTACTGCCTCATTGGACCCTTTCAAGGCTCTGGAGGAGCTGACAGTGATGCCAGCTGGTGAACCGCTATTGGCTGAGATCAGCACGAGTAGCAGTTCGTCTGCCAGTATGAGTGCAACCGCCACTGTGTCTCCTGCACCTGCACTCTCTGGTGCGATTGGTGGTGCCGGCAAGTCAGCAAATGGAGCAGCCATTGGTGGGGCAGTGGGCATTGGTGGGCGCACAGCAGTGGGTGCTGCTGCTGGGGCAGGTGCTACAGCCAAGGGCCGTGATGCTGCTGCTCGCAGAGTTGGAGTAGTTACTCCAGAGTCTGGCGCAAACCCTGAACTGTTCAAGGACCTGTTTTGATCAAGAGATGCCAGTGAAGGTTTAGAAGTTTTTTGTTTTTGCCTTCGTACTGTTGTAGGCTCATGATTCAAGAGAACATTCAAGTAAAATAGGCTGGCTTGTGAGTCGCCGAGGCTGAATATGGTTGGGCCATGTGTATCAAGTTACATCTCTTGCTGCTACACTGCCATACTGGTCCTTGTACAAATCTACTGGTGAAATCTACCGTAGCAGTAGCTTGTGGATGATGTTGCTAAATTTCCCAGTTCATACAGAATTGACACAATCATTCAGGTTTGTGCCTACTGTGCACTCCTACCTAGATTTGCTCCGTTGTGCTCACAACAGAAAGATGGCCCTTCCCTAGAGCACTACTGCAACAAGCAGGCCATCAGTGAAAGCACGTACTTTCAGGCTTCCATGAAATTGGACAGACACTACGATGTCTTGACAAATTAATACCGTATCAACAAATAACAAAAGCAGCAGGGGTGTTCCGAGAATTGAACTCGGGACCTCTCGCACCCTAAGCGAGAATCATGCCACTAGACCAAACACCCACGACTTCTCATTTTCATGGCATTTTGTATCCCTAGTCTTTATTAGCAGGTGCTTGTGCTTCTCTTGTGACCAGGCTTTTCTTGATTAACTCCTTAGTTAACGTCAGAGAAGAAACAACTGGCTGCAAGGACTTACGGTCACCACAGGACGAGTGCTTACTGTTGTCGGCGGTGAAACAGCAGGCCCTTCGTCAAGGTTCTCCTTTTGGTTGCAACGTGTGGTAAAGACGCAGTTCGATTTATTATTCTCGCTTTATCCCCCCTGTTGAACTATGTGATGGGCGAAGACACGCACGATCACGCACAACGTGACTACTAATTGTCCGTTCTTGCATCTTCGTTTTCCTAGGGTTAAAAATTCGACTACTAATCAAGGAAATATTATCCGAGACGACTTGCAACGTATGAGTCTCAAGATGTGGAGGAGCAAAGTACAGCTTGGATGGAGGGATGGAGGGGAGGAGGGAGCAAAGAAGAAAGGGAAGGAGGTGAGAGATTGGCCCTGTTCTGTAGGCCCTGGCGGTGGGGGGGCGAGGGGAAATAGGTAGCTTCCCCCTCCTTCGTTTTTTGGTCCGGAACGGCTAACCGTTTTGCAGACGGTGCCGAGCCAGCCATTTCCCCTCCGAACCTGTTCAGGGGAAATGGCTACAGAACAGCCATTTACCCCCGTGGGTTTTTGGCCCATACGAAACTACCGATTTCCCCTCCCCACCTTCCTTCTCTGGCAAAATTCACGCCACTCGCCCCGCCCTTCGAAACCCGCTTTTTCAGGGCGGGGCGAGAGACAAGGGAGGGAGGTACGGGGGGTGGGGACACCCCCCCTCTACCCTCTACGGTCATTCCCTCAGGCTGCTCGTAACCCACACAGAAAAGCACAACCCCATCGACAAAAAAGCTCGCTCTCAACCACCTTGCACTGAAGGTTTGAGATGTGTTGAGATGTGTTGAGAAGGTTGGGAGTTGAGTTTGCAACCTCTTATTTTTACATCGCGGAACCCCCTTATGCACATGTTTACTCCGTTTTTGAGGTTTGGGCGATTCGATGTACCCCTGCCAATGGGGCGCGAGTTGAGCGTGTAAATTCGCCATTTACCTTCTGCAGTTTCCGCCCCCTCTCCCGAAGTTTCGCGCTTCGTTTGTAGCGGTGTGGAGGCGATCTCGGTTGGGAAACTGCGTAGGAAACCTGGTCATTTGCTTTCGCCCCCCTCCTCCCCCCTCGGGCAAATGCCTACAGAACAGAGCCATTGTCACCAAGGTGACCACGTCGCGGAGTGCTTCGAGATCCTCGTGTAACATGCGAGGAAGTCCAGCGTGGCTGCCCTGTCAGCGAAGTAGCTGCCTGCCTAACCTCAGATCAACGTATGCGAATGGTATCTGGGCGTTTGAATCCAAGATGGATGGAAGGATTTTTATTGGTTGTAAACGGAGTTCCTTTCACATGAATGGTTGTGCGCCTGTCCAGCATGCGTCTGTTGCTGACGAAACAGATCTTCAACGTGAGGCTTCTCGATGTTCCACTAGCAAAAGTTACACAGCAATTGGCAGCCTGCAAACCGCCAGACCACTGATTCGTCGGAGAATATTTTTCTTCCTGACCATCCACGTCTAAAATCAATGTAGCATGTCTCGAAAAACGATGTCTTCGTGTCGCAGCACAACCTCGATATTTTCCGCACACCACAATCCGTCGTTCTCCAGACTTTGAGGAGCCCAACACTCGAGTGTCCTCCCCCTCCCTGTCTTCCATCACCATCTCATGGCGTCCCTCTACTCTCCTGATCCTATGGATCTATTCCCAAGGGCCGTGGTGGTCTAGCATCAGTTCACGCAATAATTTGGGAGGAATATCTTTCCAAAAAAATTACTTATCATTGCTTCAGTGTTTGGTCTGATCGGCCTGACGAAACAGCAACTGCTCACTTAGGGTTGTTTCGTGGTACCTGTGTACGTCGACGCTAGGACTCAAGACCTCGGATGCTAGGAACGATGAGTGTTTGTTAGGTGCTATAGACTGACTGCACAGCCAAGCTCAATGGCTGCACTTACTAACAGTACTTCGTTGATTGACAAAGCGGTCGTAGGATCTAAGAAGCTGTCCAACCTTTCCAGATCAATCAGCTCTCGACATAGAGCTCAGCAAGGGTTTCGCCGTGATCAACCAGTGCCAAGTAATGGAGGCGTTAAGCGTAGATCCAGATTCAGTAAAGACCTAACAGTGAAGGCGAGCTTCTCTGGGTCTCGATCCTCGCAAAGGTAAGTGTGGGCTCTGATTTCTGTCTTTTGTAGCCAATGGTCATGCACTAGCTCTCACTGGTCCGATTTCCCGTGACAACTAATCGGGCATTCGCACATGAACCGCAGGTGGCAGAAAGGCGGAGCGCAGTCAGACAACGAGCACTCAAAGCACTTTCTTCGCCAGTGTGCACCCAACCCCCGAGACGTACCCCCACGTAGAGGTCAGTTCCAGAGCACCTCGTAATGTCCCGCGCTTAGACCTACCTTCAGATACGTTGTACGTTTCAAGCACATTCGCGGCTAGCACTATTCTCAATACAAACTCTTCCATTGTATGCGTGTTGTGCAGCTGCGCCGCCTGCTGGCGGCTGGCGGGAGGACACTGGAATAGCCAGTGAAAAGGACTGGGGTATAGATCTGAAGAGCCAACCAGTCAACGAATGCGGCATAAACGAGGATGGCAGCACGTGGTACAGAGAGAGCGGAGAGGACATGGGCGACAATGGCTATCGGTGCCGATGGACCATCATGGGTGGACGACATCCCAACGGCGCGTCCGAATGGAAAGAGACTGTAAGCTTGCAGAGTCGCATCGCGTTTATCTTTAATCTCTGGTGGGCCACGCGTTGTCAAGGTTAAAACCTCGGCAGTCACCTACGACGTTTAAGCGCTGCCGTTCTTATTTCAAGGTCCTGCCCGCGACTTACCTATTTTTCCAATGCGTGTTGTCACCATCTCCTTGATCGGCATGTGACGGGATCGCTGCGGGGCGCAGTGGTGGGAGAAGAGCGATTGGACAGGGTACAAGGAACTTGGCGCGGAGAAGTCGGGCAGAAACGACCAGGGAGATAGCTGGTGGGAGACGTGGCAAGAAGTATACGTGGTGGATAACTGGAGGTAATTTGCCGCGCGCTCTTAGTGCACAGCGCTACCTGATTTGGTGCAGATCCTATCCACCCAACCACCGTTGCCGTTTCGTTTTCGCCGTTTCGTCATTGCCGCTCCCATTTACTCTCTAGTGCCTTCATGACAGTCTCCCGGCCTCACTCGATCCCCCTTCGCTCTTTTCACCCGTTTGCTCTCCCCTGATGATTCGGCGCCTCTGCCAGCGGCATTCCGAGAATAGAAAGAAGCGCGCATAAACAAGCCAAATCAAGACAAGAAAACGTCTGGAATGAGAAATGGTGAGTTGTCTCGAAGGGCGATGTATTTTTGTAGCGTAAAATTGGTCTGCCGCTTTACGCAACGAACGACGACATTTCTGCTTTTCCGTGCGTGCAATGCGTATCACGTGCGGCGCAGATCGCTCATTTCCCTCATCATCGTTTGTTGTGACGCCCTCCCGCGGCGGCAGGTGGGAGAAGTACAACGGCAAGGGGTGGACGGAGAAGGGGTCGCACAAGTACGGGCGGTCCAACGACCAGTCGTGGTGGGAGAAGTGGGGCGAGCAGTACGACGGCCAGGGCATGGTGCTCAAATGGTGAGCACCACAGCCGATTGCGCGCCCACTCACATGTCTTAACAGCCCATGCGAATACACGGCTGCCGGAAGCTTCTTTTCGCGAATGCACAGCCTGGTGTTTGTTAACCAGCCTATACAGGAAACTGAACTGGGACACATGGGAAAAATTGGAGTTTGATGAATTAGATTGCATGAGCACCGTCAATGGAGGGAAAGGCAGGAAGCTTGTAGGGTATATGCTTGTGTGATCGAAGGTGCGTTTCGCCTGGTCTAAAGCCTTCGGCCTCACCACGGCTCCCCCTCTCCGTCCTTCCCCGCTTCCCCCTCTTCTTCCTCCTTCCGCCTCCCACTCTCCCGCTCCTTCCCCTGGCTCAACCCTCCCCAACCCACCCACTGGCATTATCTTGCACTATGCTCGCACCATCAATTCCACTCCATATGTCCAACCTATTCTTGGTGTTCTTGCACCGCTCCTTCACAATTGCTCTGGCGTGACACCTGCGCTCCTGAATGAGCCTGCGCTAGCACGATTATTGGTTACATGAAGCAGTAGCACCCAAGCATGGCCTCTCTCCCATCCATACGTCTGGTGCTCTCATGTGCTCTCGTGCGCCTAATGACCATGCTGTATCTCGCTGTGCTGCACCGCACCGTGTGCAGGACGGACAAGTGGGCGGAGAAGGACGACGGCACCAAGTGGGGCGACAAGTGGGAGGAGCGGTTCACGTCGGGGGTGGGGCACAGACAAGGGGAGACCTGGCACGTTGAGAACTCAGGCTCCCGTAAGTGCATGCCCGCCTGCTTGGGGTCTTCAGCCGCTTAGCGTGTGTGTTGTCCTGCTGCCAGTTGCTTCCCTTACGCGTTGTAAAGACCCCATGAAAGCTTTCGTTGATGACGGTGGTGATGACGCAGTTGAGTTTTTACACAATGCAGCTCTCCAGGCAGCACTCTATCAGCTGTAGTTACGTCCCCTCACGTAACTCACGAGTTCCCTTTTCCTTGTCATGGTGCTCCGTGTGGCTGTGCAGGCTGGTCGAGAACATGGGGCGAGGAGCACTTTGGCGATGGGTAAGCTTGTGTGCATCTTCGTCAGCTTATTGTGTGCTTCATGTGCTCATGTGCCCATGTGTCAGTGACGTATTATGTTCGGTCCAGTACCCAAATCCCATGCTCACCATCATGCTTGGTCCATCCTGGTCGCTCTGAGCTCATGTGTGTCCCTCTCCCCCAATGCGTGCTGCTGGCTGCAGGATGGTGCACAAGTACGGGAGGAGCACGAGTGGTGAACAGTGGGATGTGGTGGTGGCAGAGCCAACATACTACGAGTAAGCACATTCTTCGCACGCATCTACCCATGCATAGGTCAACATCGTGTGCACACATGCAGGTGTCTGGCTGTAGATGTGTGATGTGATGTTGTGTGGCACTCGCTGCTCTTGATGTTTTCTCATTGGAAGTCAATGCGTGGATGTGATGGCGTGCTGTTTATGGCAGGGGGAAGCCACACTATGGGTGGGATGAAGCTGTGGCCAACTCCTCACAACTGCTATCCATTGAGATCAGGGACCGCACAGAACCCAGTGCATTCGGGGATTACGGACGATCGCAAGGCATAAACCCAGCAGTTCAAGACGATTACCCTCACAATGGCAGACCACCCATGTATGACAGTTCCTCGTGAAGGTCCAGTAGACCGGTTTGCCAACACAGTATGTCTTATCAGGTTACCTCCTCCATTGCTCGAGTTTACAGAATGCAGTGGAGTCCAGGTTTAGTTCTCATCTTGAGCCAGCAGTACAATGCAATGGCGATTCTTGGAATTATTTTTATTGGAGAATAACAGGTTAGTCTTGTGCACAAGAGACATTGTAAGGGATATGTTTTCTACAACTGTAGATGGATCTTGGTGAAGTTCCACCTCGTGTATGCGGAGAAACTTCAATGCGATGCCTTCATTCCCCAGACAACATTTCTGCTTCTGTGAAGCTTGATCAAACTCAACCCCACAGCACCACTGAAGCTTGTTGGTCTCGGAGGGCCTTCTGTCGCTCATGACAGCGACGCGATCCTAATCGTAGGACTGAGCGCCATGTTCCGATATCGGCTGCCACGTGGGGACTGGCTGCAGAGTAAGCATCGGCCTCTGCTATACTTGGAGGCGACCTCGGGGTTGTTACTGAGCACAGCGGTCGCCATACCAGAATAGATGTGGAACCGCTTCTTATGCCGCAGTTGCCAAACGCAGATGCTGGACCTTGCTAAATGAACTGAACCAAAGCTCTGGGTCTTGAATTTGGTTCCGCTACTGCGTTTTTCTCGCATCGAACTATTACCTGCTCGATCTTTTCTAGCTTCAGGCTTCTCGGTTTGAGTCTACTTTCGCATGGTAGGATTTATATGGCACAGAGACGAGGCACAGACCATCTTGGAGCTATGCCAGGAAGAACGATACGGCGAATTTCATGTCATTTCCAGATCCTTGTGCCTTGTGTGGTTCTCCTGTCGAGCTGTCTCGCTGAGCATGCTGCTGTTAGCGGAGATTCCATTTCAAATGGTGCAGTCAGAGCAGCAAGAGATTCCATTGAGGCTCAGCTTGACCGCCTCAGCTTGTCTCTTCAGCATCATTCCCCCATGCCAAGCGGCATGTTCGCTACTGACCTTACCATCATGGCACCCAACACTGCCACGTGGAATCTAATCCCCACTCAAGCGCGAGCCAAGCTGATGAAGTACCTGAAGCGCTTTGAATTTAAGTTTTACTTCTCACTCTCAAAGCTACTGGTGGGTGTGGCTAACGTGGGGGAGATGTTCCATGAAAACGAACAGGTGAAGAATCGGCAACACGAGAAGCAGCACACGAGGCGGCACGTTGCAGTATCGCTTGTACGGTATGAAACTGTGATCGTGGATTCACAGGGACGATGGAGACAAACGAGCTTACAGGGCTCTGCCTTGGCTCTCTGGCTGAAAGTTCCGCCACGCTGTAAAGATGCGTACAAGAGAGATTGGAAAGAGAATGTGATGCATGACAAGTGCACAGAAGCAGATGACCTGAGGGACACACATGGCTCATGGCAAGTTGTGCTGGGGGGTTGGACGGCCTACGGTGGTGGTAATGGTGTACTGGAATCCCACATCACAAGCGGAACCACTCGCGGTGGAAGCAGCAGTGCCATGCAACCTGCATCAAACACACTGCTGCTGAGAACAGGCTTCTCAGGTGTGTCGAATGGTAAGGACCAGCCTCGCCCACCCGCAGCACGAGTGAAGGACGTGATTGGGCGTGCTTTGGCGCGGCTGGGGGATGCCCTGGCTGCTGGGGACAGCGCCAGTGCTGCGAGGATCTTCTCCCCGCGAGCCACCATCATGCCACCTGACCAGCCCCAACGACAGTTCCAATTCTCGTTTCAGATCCAGCAGTACCTCGAGGTGCGCCCCTTGTCTGCTGCTGCTTGCTTGTCAGTCTCTCCTGTCCCCCACTGTGTTGTGCCTCTGCTGACATGGCACGTGACAATGGGCAGCCACTGGCGTCACTTCACCTCGGATATAGTTTCCACGTTGAGGAAATTGTGGAGATATTCACACCCAAGGGCATGCTTGATGGAGGCGCAGCCACTGGTGCACTTAGTGATGCGGCCGCCCAGGCGGACAAGGCTCTGAGCAGAGGCCAGTTCAAAGCGATGAATGCGACAGGTATGGCACCGATTAGCTGAATTGTTTTATGCGCCGAATGCAAGCGTGCTCACCACAGTCGTCTGACACTGCATGGGTGCAGGAAGCGCTGTGCGAAGTGGCAAGTTCATCGCGCTGTGGGAGGTGCGCTCTGCAGGCAAGCCCTCCTGGGGTGTGGCACCTGGAGCGAGCGAGGAGGAGCACAGTGGGGGGAGCAATGCACGGAGGGTGGTGATAGAGGAACCTGTGAGCGGCGGTGGTGGATGGCATGACGCTCCGCTTGGACGCCCGCCCCTGCCTGGTGCACGAATAGCCTGGCTCATGTGGACCCGCAACGCCCCCCCTCCTGCTCCTCTCCCGCCTCCGCCTACCCCACACCCCCCCACTCCACCACCTCCAATTCCTCCTCCACAACCCCCTCCATCCCCTCCCTCTTCCCCTCCTCCATCCCCTCCCTCTTCCCCTCCTCCATCCCCTCCCTCTTCCCCTCCTCCATCCCCTCCCTCCCCTCCCCCCCCCTCCCCCCCTCCTCCCCTCCTCCATCCCCCCCCTCTCTCCTCCCCTCCTCCATCCCCTCCCTTCTCCCCTCCTCCATCCCCTCCTTCCTCCCCTCCTCCATCCCCTCCCTCCTCCCCTCCTCCATCCCCTCCCTCCTCCCCTCCTCCATCCCCTCCCTCTTACCCTCCTCCATCCCCTCCCTCCTCCCCTCCTCCATCCCCTCCCTCCTCCCCTCCCCCATCCCCTCCGTCCTCCCATCCCCCATCCCCTCCCTCTCCCCCTCCTCCATCTCCCCCTCCAACTTCCCCTCCCCCCCCCCGACCCCCACCATTCCCTTCTCCTCCTCCTCCTCATCCTCCTCCTCTTCTACTGCCTCCCAGTCCTCCTCCTCCCTCACCTCCACCACCAAGTCACCCTCCCTCTCCCCGCCCTCCTCCTCCTAAACCGCCCCCACCCTCTCCCCATCCTCCTCCCCCTCAACCCCCTCTTCCCCATCCTCCTCCTTCACATCACCCTCCTCCGCCTCCCCAGCCTCGTCACCTTAACCCTCCTCCTCCTCCCTCTCGACCCCCTCCTTCTCCCCTTCCTCCCCTTCCTCCCCATCCTCCTTCCCCTCATCCCCCACCTCCTGCACCCCCATCCCCACCCTCTAAGCCGCCACCATCACCACCACCACCTCATCCATCGCCCTCCCCACCACCACCACCACAGCGCTCCCCTCCCCCCCCACCTGCTTTCCAGCCTCGCCCCCCGCCTCCCCAACCAGCCCCATCTCCACCGCCCCCTCCCCGTGCACCCACAGCACCACCACCCCCTCCTCCTGCACGCAGCAGTGGGGTGGCAGCGGTGCTGCGGGCGAGGCAGCATGTGGTGCACCGCCATGCAGCGCTCGGCCTGCCCTCCCTCGCCTCCCTGCTCTCCCGCCTGCTGCCCGCTCTGCCGGCCTCTCAGGGTCGCACTCACCTGCTGTCTTCCAGCAGTGACGAGTACGGTTCCTCCCCCAGCCCCCATGCATCCCAATAGTTGGTTGAGTAGCGCTATTCTTGTGTGCAGAGTGCAAGATTGTCTGGTATGTGTGGGACCGTGGGAAGTTCTGATGCAAGATTGTTTGGTATGAACAACAGTTGCATTAGTAAGATAATGATACATGGTAGAGAGTATACTGCAGCTTCGTCGTCAAGTTCCTTTCAATCAACCAATACCACCCCAATGCACGCAATCTGGGCCTTGCTGAGCTGAGTCGTTTTGTATTAGTGCATAGTGATGTACTGGAAAGTCCATCTGGTACACAGCTTTTATGTTCCGTGGATGGAGGGACTTGTATAGAGCATGATCCAAGAAATAACCAGGGATCATCAACAGCTCATGGTCTCTTGCTGATACGTGTCTCTGTCGATATCGTGATGTGCTGCACGCAAGTGAAGGGGGAAAGGGTGGGGGGGTGGGTATGAGAACCACGGAGAGCATCATGTGTGGCCAGTGACAAGAGAACGTGTGCAAGTGCGAGTGGAGTGTAGAGGCAGTACCTCGAGGCGACCCAGGGCGGAGTAGTCAAAGCGAGAGACGATGGCCTTGTCTGCCTCCACGAGCCAGCCCGCCTTGAGGATCACCCCTCCACTGGGCGTTGGTAGCACCCTCGACCACACGCCCTGCCATGGGAGCACGCACAGGCCATGGCAAAGCACAGCATCCATGGCAATCAGTGCTCCGGTGGGTGCAGTGCTGGCGCCATGCTGTGCTGCTGCTATAGCAGGGTGGTTGGGAGGGAGAATCATGGGCCTGCCAGGAGAGCCTGTCGCAGTCAGCAATGGTGAGTGCAAGTCGCGCATTGCTGGCTGTGGCAGATGCTGTGAGTGCAACGAAGAGCGCCCACTCTCCACCACCTCCATTGCAATTCGCTCATCACACGCTTCTCTTACCTGAGGAAGCAGCACGGAACCTTCGTCTGTGAGCTCCCTGGTGACCTCGTCAGTGCCGGCCGGCTTGAGCTCCACCACCGCCCCCCGCCGCCCGTACTCGTCGCCCTGCTCGCCGCAAGGGGGTGAGGGTGGGAGGGGAGGGCGGAAGGAGGGGTTGACATGGGAGGGGAAGGAGACCACACAGCAGCGCGGAGAGTATGATGGGTAGAGGCATGGCGGGGGTGAGGTGGGACAGGAAGGGAGACAGCACGACGAAAGGACGAATTTGATTGTCTGACACTCCTGACGGATCTCTCACATTCACTTATCACCCGTTTCAAGAATTGTGTTACTTGTTCGTGATCGTCACTCTAGCCTCTCCTCCTTATCTGCTCTGCACATCCCACCACTCCCCTCCCCCCTCACACACCCCATCTCCGCCGAGCTGCGCGCCGAGCTCACCAGTTTGAGGTCGGCGCGCATGGAAGCGGCGAGCCAGCGCCCCTCCACGGCGTCGATGCCCACGGGTGGGCCCTCCGCGAATTCCGACGACTCGTTCGCGCCGTCAGGCTCGGCGCGCCACTCGCCCACCCACCGCTCGCGGAACAGCGTCATGCCCAGCAGCTGCGGCAGGTGCCCCTCGTCCCCCACCCCGCCCGCCGCGCCCGCGCCCTTCTGGAAGCGCTGCACCACGCGCACGCGCACGCGCTCCGGCTTGCCGTCGACCTGCGCGTCCGCGTTTTCCGCGACGAGACAGTGCTCCAACTCGAAAAATTGCGAAGAGTCGCCGCTGCCGCTTCCCTGCCGAACCACCACGTTAGCCGCGTTAACGCCAGTGTCGGAATTAGGCTCGGAAACGGATTTTCCCGGCCAGGCGACGGCGTAGCAGCCGTCGTCGCGGAACCCCAGCACGCCCGCCGCGTCCTGCCCGATCCCCGCCGCGCGCCGATCCACGCTGTAGCGCGACGCCGCGCCGCCGCCGCCAAAGCCAAGCGACGGCAGGAAGCGCTCGGAGACTGTCTGGACTTCCCCGGTAGAAGCATCCGCGTTAGTGGAGCTGTGCGCCTGCCACGCGAAGAGCGCGAGGCCCCAGTCGCAGAAGGGCGGCGGAATGGCCTCCCTCGGGATCTCCGTCTCTACCCCGTCGGGGCAGAAGTCCGATGAGTACCCCACCCATTCCCCGGTGATCGCGGCGGAAAACGCGGACCAGGTTTGCGGCAATTGCGCAGCTTCGACGGTTTGCACGGATGCCCTGGGCGCGGCGGGCGCGTGGCGCGGCTGGCTCACGCGCGCGGATGGTCGGCGCGCGGGGAGGCGAAGGCGGGATTGACGGGAGGGGGGCACGAAGGCCGCGGAGGAGGAGAGGCGGTCCGCGAGGGCGGGCTTACTGTGGGTGGCGGAGGGCGAGCAGCGCGGTGCGATAGCGGCGGATCGGCCGCTGCGGAGCAGTAGAGAAGGCGCCATCGCCTACAACGAGGTCGACTCCCGCTGCCAAGTAGCTATCGCTCACAGCAGGCGAGCGAGAACACAGGCACGAGCTACGATGCAGGGGACAAAATCGAGAAATGCAAACGATGAGGAGCCAAGGATATGAATTCGTGCTGATGTGATCTAGCAATGCGACATTCCCAAGGTGCAAGGTGAATGCACTGGTCAGTGCGCGCGGAACTGCGGCTCCAGATTGCGCGGGAATCGCAAGAATGATGGGTCATCCAATGTGGCATGTTCTGTATGGCTTCAGTGACGCGGCATACACTCACCGGCTGATGTCCTCGTTAAAAGGTCAAACCCCCTAAGCAAATATACACCAAGGTCCTTAATCTAAGGGTAGAAGCACACGTTTATTGCACCCCTCATGGCAATTCATATAGTTACCATAACGGCGTTGAAACACTCACGATAAATCAGTGGAATCAGAGGTGCAACATGCATGCGCATGGCTTCATAAGGTGAACATCTGCGCAGGCCATGCCTTGTTGCCGCCATCAGCGCTCACCGCCACCACCTCCACAGAGATGTCAATGCTGCGGTGCTTGCTGCCCCGCACCACACTCACCCTCCCCCTCACCTCCACCGCCGGCCTGCCCTCTGTCCCCACTGCTCCTCCTGCTTCTGCTGCTGCTGCTCCCGGTGGTGGTGTTTCTCCGGTTGGCGCTGCAGATGTGGACTCTGTTGCAGGTGCGAGAGCAATGGGTTCGCGGAAGGTGAGGAGGGTTTGAGCCCAGTGCGTGGGGGTGCAGAAGGGCGAGGTGGAGAGCAGCACGGGCTTGGCGGAGCAGAAGCGCGAGGAGAAGCCCGTGTCAAACCACAGCGCCAGCCCGTAGCACAGCACGGGGGAGACAGGCGCAGGGGAGGCGGGGGCTGCAGCAGGTGGGTTGTCAGCAGGAGGTGCGGCAGCGGAGGAGGTGGGGAGGGCTGGTGTGATGCAAAAGTCGGAGGTGAAGTCAAGGTCAGGCACTGTCACCGTGCACAGGTCAAAGTGCTGCCGTGGGGGGGGGGGGGGGTGGGAACGGGGACGGTGATGGGGAGAAATGAAAGGGACGGGAAGAGAGGATGAGGTAGAGGGGAAGAGAGGGCAGAGGGAAGTGAAGGACGAGAGATGTGAGATGAGATGGGTGAACTGCACGCGCAAGCGAGCACACGGAGTGAAACAGGTCGCACCTTGATGGTGGCGGTGGATGTGACTATATCGCAGGCCTTGACCTCCTGCACCAGGGGCGTGCGCGCTGCATCGTCCTGAATCTCACGAGCCACGGAGGCCATGGTGAAGCCGTACACGTCCCTCCAGAACCCCACACTCGTTGCCCCCTCGCCACACCCCGCCACATGCTGCCGCACGGCGCGCAGAGCAGGGGAACGATGGGATGCGATGGGAGAGAGATAGCATGGACAGAGGAGCATGAGACGGACACAAGAGAAAGACAGAGAAGAGGACTTTGGATGTGGGAAGGAAATGCGGTACTGGTGGTTGCGAGGCATGGTGCAGGCCATGCAGCCACGTGCAGCACGTCTCATCTCACCATGGAGGCGGTGTCGGGCAGCAGGGCACCGCCCGGTTTGAGCCAGGTGTCACGGGCGTGCAGCACGGAGGGCAGCATGGACTCGTACAGCAGCGCGTACCCCATCCACTCGCTCACTATCACGTCCACACTCCCCCGCTCCAACGCCACCTCCACCCCGCCCCCCCTCCTCCCGCCCCCTCGCCGCCAGCACCACTCTGCGCATGGGCTTGAGTGGTCGCGGTGGTTGCGGGGGAGAGGTCCTCGATCTTGCCGCACACGAAGGACACCACGGGGCGTGGTGAGCGCTGACCCGCGCTGGCAGCGGTGGTGGTGGGAGCGGGACAGGCGGAGTGGGTGGCGGCGAGATAGCCGTTGTCCCGCGCGATCTGGTGGCGGGCAGTGGAAGGACGGAAGCGAGTAGCAACGATTGCCATGGAAGCCACAGGGGGGGGGGGAACAATGGGGGATTGCACAAGTGTGGTTAAGTCATGGCATGGGAGGGATGGTGGGAGTCATGCACGTCATGCACGGTAGCCATAGCAGCATGCACCCTCTGTGCCACCACACCACCATCCCTCACGCTTCCTGCCGCTGCCATTCTTGGATGCACACGCTGAGGCAACCCCACCCACCCACACACCTGCTGCGCCACAGCGAGAATCTCCCGACTGCCATCCACCGCCACCACCCTCGCTGCTCCCCCACGCGCTGCAAACAGACTGCACCAGGGAGGGGGAAGAGGTAGGGGGGACGGAGTGCGCGCTCAGATGGTGACCCTGGGTGCAAAAGCATGCCTGAGACTTCCCACCTGAGAATGCCCACCTGAGAATGCCCACCTGAGAATGCCCACCTGAGAATGCCCACCTGAGAATGCCCACCTGAGAATGCCCACCTGAGAATGCCCACCTGAGAATGCCCGTGCCACAGCCCACGTCCAGCACCGTGGCCCCCTCAATCAGGCTCGGATTCTCCTCCAAAGCTGCCTGGTAGGCTGTGGTCCGAGCCTGCAAGGCAAGTATGGTACAGGAGCAAGGTAAAGAAGCGGAGTGATATTCACATGTGGAGAGAGGCGATGTGCGGCGCGGCCCAGGCAGTGGGGTGGGGTTGAAAGGGGCTGTGGCAGTGAAGGCACGGTGGCTGCACGGCAGCACACATGCAGTCCCTCACCTTGAGCAGCACACATGCAGTCCCTCACCTTGGAGCTTCAGCTGTGCTGCCACCTACTCTTACAGCGTCAACCCGCTATCCCATGCACCGCACATCATGGCCCAGCCCGCCTCACACTCACCAACCCACCCACCCTGCTGCCTCACACCACAGAGCGTGCAAGAGCACATGTGGGAGCGGCACGGACCTTATCGGAGAGCATTTCACGGTGGATGCCGAAGCTGGCATACGAGCTGAAGTAGGACGCGTCTATCACGCGCATCAGCCTCTCCTGCACCGCCCCAAACGTCACCTGCCTCCTCTTCCTCTGCACCGCCTGCACCTCCTCCCCACCCCCTTCCTCCTTCCCTCCTGCACCAGCACCAGCAGATGCTTCTGCCGGTGGTGCTGGCATGGGGCCGTGCACGTCAGTGGCGCCATCCACGGTCTCAGCAACGGCTGCCAGCTTCCGCTGGGCCTCATCGAGGGGCAGCAGGGCGTAGCTGGGGGAGGGCGATGCCAGGGGCGTGGAGAAGGGCGTCCGCGGGACCACCGGGCTGTGTGTTCCCGAACCCCCTCCTTCCAACCCTACCACTCCTGTGCCTTCTCCTCCTGTGAAAACTGCCTTTGCTGCTGCCAATCCTACTGCTTTCTCACCAATAGTGCCACTGGAGGCTGGGCGGGGGGAGAGGGGGATGGGAGGTCGGCCCTGCTTGTGCTGCTGCTGCTGGTGCTGGTGCTGGTGCGCAGTGACCTGCAGCAGCATGTCTTTCACTGACCCCTCATGCATCGCACCACCCGCCCCTGACTCGCCCACACCTGCAGCAGCAGCGGCAGCAGCGGCAGCGGTGGCAAGGGAGGCGTAGCTGGGGCAGGGGGAGACCAGCGGCGTGGAGAAGGGCGTGCGCGGCGCTGCTGCGTTCTGCGCTTGCCATGCTGCTGCAGCAGCCGAGGGAGCACCAGGCCCTGCGCCCGCACCTGCCGCACCACCTTCCGTGCTGCTGCCGTCAGCGGTGTTGCTGGCGCCTGAGGCGTGCGCCGCAGCAGAGGCTATGGCAGCGGCAGCAGTGGCGGTGGCAAGGAGGGAGGCGGTACTGGGGGAGGGCGAGACCATGGGCGTGGAGAAGGGCGTGCGCGGCACAGCACTGGCAGCACCGCCGGGAGCGGCACTCAACAGACCTTCTGCAGCCCTCCCTGCTGACGTGGCAGCCAGCTGGTGTGCCAGCTGTGCGTTCTGTTGTCGCAGCAGCAGCACCTGATTGGCCAGCGCCACGTACTGCTCCAACGAGGGCACCACGTCCTCCCCGTCCGCACCCTCCCACCCCTCCACCTCCCCCCTTGCTCCTGCCACTTCTCCCACCTTCTCCTTGCCCTTGCTAACAGAACCACCTGAGGTACCACCTGAAGGAATACCTGAGCTACCTACTCCCCCTCCCACCCCTCCCTTGCTGGTTGCCTGCACTCCCGCACCTCCGCCCTCACTGCTCTCCGCCCCTGCCCCTTCCCCCTCCCCCTGCGCCCCCACTCCGCCCTCCCCCTGCGCCAGGGAGAGCAGCGCCTGGAAGACCAGCGCGCGCTCCTCCTCGCTGCCCCCCACGCTGCCCCCCTCTGCTGCTGCTGCCGCCGCCGCAGCCCCTGCTGCCGCGGCAGTGAGTGGTAACCCGGTAACGTCTACCACAGCACTGCCCCCACGTGCACCCCTAGCGGCAGCAGCATCAGCGCTGCCCTCCTTGGCGGCCCCCTCGCTGCTGTCGTCGTCATCATCATCGTCCAGGCTGTACAGCACTGGGTCGCCTTCCAGGAAGCTTCTGAGGTACGCGTCGTCTCCCCAGGGAGGCGGGGAGGAGGGCTCAGGCGTGGTGGAGAGCGGGAGAGGAGGGAGGAGAAAGTGCTGCGAAGCTTCCATGTGTTGAATGAGGTCAGGTGGGGAGGGGAAGGACTGAAGGCAGTGGATGCAGCGATGAGCCGCCACCTGGGGGCGCGGGGGGAGGGGTGGGGGGGAAGGGGAAGAAGGGAGGAGGAGAGTCCATTTGCGAGTGAACATGGGCAAGCTGTTGTTGTGGAGCCGGCGGTGAGGGCAGGAACGAGTGAGATGCGTTGCGTGGGAGGATGAAACCTGGGTCCCAACACTCGAGTGATGCCTCAAGGCTGGGTTGCACCTCACCTGGGTGCGGATGAAGTTGACAGCGCGGATGCACTGATACTCGTCCCACTGCTGCGCTGCTCGCAATTGCTTGAAATCGAACCCGCCATGCTCCGCGCGGCAGTGCTGCAGCATGGCGGCCGCGTTGGACAGCTGCACGCCAGTGCAGACAGACAGACCAATCACAACCGAAATGGGAAATTAGAAACGGCTGCTTGGTAGTAGAAAGCACTATCAAAATTCTGTCAACGCCGTCACTAATACCAACGGTAACGGCCCTGAACCCACATTCTCCCCTTAACCCTTCATGCGGGGACATTCACCTCTCCCTCCCCTGCTCCCACTGCCCCTTCCTTCCTCAACCCAGTTCGCTAGTGCGTCGCGCGTTGCGCGGGTGAAGCATGTGTGGGCCGTCCGATAGCACTCGCCTGGCGCGGGCAGAAGAAGCAGCGCGCGGGGTCGTCCGCCTCCTCCTCCTCCTCCTGCCACTCCTCCCACTCCCCCACCTCCTCCGCCTCCTCCTCCTCCGCCATCGCAATGTCCTCCGCGCTCACCTCCATCCGCGCGCGCGGAAAACACGACAACAAACGGAGATTTACGCGCAGCGGAAACCTTAAACGATGTGCCGGAACGTAATTGCCCGCAAGCCCCCTTCTAAAGAGTCTCTACACGGTAGACATTAAAACATTAAATAAACGCAGACGAGAATAATCGGCCCAGCCTTGAAGCTCACACCCCGTGATTTGGCCAGCCCTAGCAAGAAGGTTCAAACCAAGAATTTTGGTCAGCAATTCCAAGAAAACCCTTTTGGTGACTTCCTCGCTAGGGTCTGTTGCGCTCGATTTACGCGCTTTAGGGAACGAACATTGTGTCAAATTTGAAATGTTAGAAAAGCAACACAACATTCTTTGCGACTTTCCCCCCTTGTATAGCCTCACTATATTTGGTTACCTTGCACGTAAATAAAAACACCGGACTTCCCCTACATACGTTTGCAAATTTTTAAGCATGCAGGTTGGCAATCCAGCTGGGTGGTTGCACATCACATCAGTGCAGTGAGAGCTGGTCCAGCATGGCATGCATGAACTGCGGGTACACCCTCGACAGCGATGGCAGCACGTGTGACGGCGCTGACAGCAGGCTGCCCCACGGCCGCCCCTCCACTGCCTCCATCTCCCCTTGCCCCATCCCTTCACCCGCCGCTCTGCCCTGCTCCGACAATCCTCCGGTCGCTGCTGCCACTGCCGCTGCTGTGGTTGCTGTCCCATAGATGCTTTCAAAGGCCGAGAGAGCTGCGACAGACACGAGACATGAAGAGAACGGAAGCGAGCAAGTCAATCAACTTGGACAAGTCGAGATGAAGGCAGGGGCAACAGACATTCTTAGGGTGGGAGGGGTTGGTCGGTAGAGTTGAGGGAAAGAGGGAGGGAGGGGTGGGGTGAGGGGCAGGTGCAGCATGGCAAGAGAAGAGCAGCCATTTCCAGAGTTCTCACTCACCTTGACCGTCCGCCATGCCAGCCGCACCATTCACACGCTCCCCGTCCCGATCCGCTGCATCTGGCGCAAACGGGCTCTCCTCCCCACTCAGCACTGCGTACTCCCTGCCACCGCTCACTACCACTATGGACCACTGAGCTGCCTCCCCCTTGCTGCTGCCGGCAGGTAGGGAGGAGGAGGAGGGCGGCCGGAAAGCGACGGTGGCAGCGTTGACATCAGCCATCTCCCATGCTGCGATGGGCACGGGGCTCTCTCCCCCCTTAAACACCAGCACTGCCCCTTTCACCACCCCGCCTTCACCTGCACTCCTCCTCACCCACCCACTCCTCCCCACACTACCCTCCTTCGGTCCCACCTCCTCCGCGTGCTCTTCCTCCTCACCGCCCACCCCTTCCTCGTCCTTCCCCACGCCACTGCCCTGCCCTGTGTCGCCGCTCTTCACACCACCGCTACCAGCGGTGGGAGCAGCAACAACGACGGCGAAGAGCGGTGCAGAGGGGTGCGTGGCGAGGGAGAGCACTCGCAGGTGGAGGCACCAGGCGAGGGAAAGAGACAGCAGGCTCCACACCGACAGCGCCGCGTACGGGGCAGTGGGCGAGTCAGGCGGCGTAAAGTAGGTGCCCGAGGGGGCGAGGGCGCCGGAGACAGTGAGGAGGAAGGGGGAGTGCGGCAGGAAGGCGAGCGCGGTGACTGGCTGGTGTGACGGCAGGCCCGCCTGCAGGGGGCTGAGCGAGGGCGCGCAGTGCAGCACGGCGAGCAGGGCGTGGCGGTCGGGGTCCCAGAGGGTGACGCGGTGCAGCGCGGCCACGGCGAGCAGGGAGCCCTCCCAGGAGAAGCAGGCGCCCAGCAGCGGCTGCGACGCGTAGCTGCCCACGGCACGGCAGCGCCAGCAGAAGGTCAGCGGTGCGATGCCCGCCTCGCGCTCCTCCATGCGCTCCCGCGCCGTCTTCGCTTGCCCTGACCCCTGCACGCCTCCTCTCCCTCGCCCCCCGCCTCCTTTCACTCCCCCACGCCCCTGCTTCCCACCCTTCCTCTCTCCCTCCTCCCCCTCTTCGCCCTCCTCCCCCTCGCCCCACACGCGGGTCCAAGTGCGGAATTCACAGTCCGTGCCGCACGTGACGACCATGTCGCCGCCTGCCCGCACGTGCACGCCTGTCACCAGCCCCGCCGCCCCGTGAGGCGCATCCACCGCTGTCGTCAGCGCCGTCAGCCCCTCCTTGCTGCCCTTGCCGCCCTTGCCTCCGCCCTGCCTGACGCCCTGAGTGCCGCTGAACGGCGCGGCCCAGAACTTGAGGGTGGACTGCTGGCCGGCCAGATCTTCCGGCTGGCGGATCTCAACAGTCACCAGCGTGTGGCCGTCGGGGGAGAAGCACACGTGGCTCACCCAGATGGGCGGCGGCTTCGGCCCCTGCTGCTGCGCTGGCTGCCCCTGCTGTGGCTTGCCAGCACCCCCCTGCAGCAGGCGCATGGCCTGGTCGCGCTGCTGCATCTCCCGTGCCTTGAGAGCTTTCTTGAAGCGCGCCTCAGCGGAGGAGACGACGTTGATGCGCATGAGCTGCACCTGTGCCACCACCTGCTGCCTTGATAAGTCATACGCCTGCACCACCCCCAGCGGCCCCACCACCACCACCCGCGCACTGCCGCCCCTCACACTCTGCACCACTGCTGACGGGGCACCACCGCCCGTCACTGCCAGCTCAACCGCCAGCTGGCGTGCCACGTCAGCCGGGAGGCAGTTGGAGAGGGAGGAGGACGAGGCGGTGGCGGAGGAGGGGAGCGGACCGAGGGGGGCTTTGAAGGGGTCGAGCGGGGGGAGAATGAAGTGGCGCGTGGGGTTGGGGCGCGTGGGGGGTGGGGGGGCGATGCCACGGATTGAGGCGATGAGGGACGACTCACTCAGGTCCACCACGCGCACACTGTTGTCCAAACACTGCATGCCAAACCGCAACGCTTCTGGCGCTGCTGCCGGCGCCACCAGCGACCGCGCTTCCCCCGCCCCGCCTGCTGCTCCTGCCGCTGCTGCTGCTGCTGCACCGGGTGCGGAGGGGCTGGGGGGAGGCAGCGCGGGGAGCAGGGAGGGCGGGAGCACGAGGCGGAGCAGGGCGGCGGGCATGCGAGGCAGGAAGCGGCGCGCGCCTGACTGCAGCTGCCAGATGAGCGCCACTGCCTCGGCGCCGATGGACACCAGGTGCAGGCCGTCAGGGGAGAAGGCCAGGTCCGCCACGGCTTGGGCGTGCCAGTGCAGCGATGACACCGCCTCACAGTCCTCCTCGCCCTCCGCTCCCCTCCGCCCCTCGCCCTCCTCCTCGCCCTCCCCCTCCTCCCCTTCTCCTGCTCCTGCTGCTCCTCCCCCTCTCCCAGCACCCCACCTGCCCCAGCCCCCTCCCCGCCCACCTCGTCCCCCTCCCCGTCCTCTCCCCCCCCTCCACCCGCCCTCGCGCCCCCCGCGTCCGCCAGCTGTCGCGCCCCTGGCGGTGCCCTCCCCCCACGGCCACGCGGAGCGACGGCCGATGCCATGCCACACCACCACGCGCCCCAACACATCGCCCGCTGCCACCTGCACGCACGAGGGGCGCGAGAGAGAGAGGGGGAGAAGGGGCATGTGGGAGATGGCTTATGTACGCACGGAGGAGCAACGGCAAGCGTGAGAGGCATGAAGGAACAGCAGCACGAGCAGCAGGACGAGCATGAGAGGCACGAGTGGCATGGCAGCTGGGGGGGCATGGGGGGCATTGGCGGGCATGGGGGGAATGGGTGGCGCACCTGCTGGTCATCGGGGTGGATGGCGACGCATGTGAGTGCGCGGCGGTGCTGCAGGTGCAGGCGCGCATGGTGCGCGGGGCGCGTGCAGGGCGCCACAAACACCTTCCTCCCCGACGCCACTGCCAGCAGGCGCCCCGTGGCTGGGCTGATGGCCAACGGTGAGGACACCAGCATCTGAGGGAGGGGGAGGAGGGGCGCACGGTGGCGTGAGTGCGGTTGATGGCAGTATGGCATGCGAGCCATGCATGCATACACGCATGAAAGAGAAACAGGGGCAAAGCAAGGCGCAGGGCGGGACCTGGTGGAAGAGCGTGGTGCGGCAGCGGTCGTGGAAGACGTCGTACTGCAGCACGTCGCACCCGCGCTCAGGGTTGCCCACCACCACCATCGCCACTGGCGCCACCGCCCTCTCCTCCCGCCCGCCCGCCCCCTCCACCACCTCCGTGCTCGCGTATGGATACATCACCTGCGCGTGGGGGAAGGGAGAGAGGGGAGAGGGGCGAGGTGAGGGGGGAGTAGGGGAAAGCAGATGAAGGCAGAGCGGGGGACGCGGGGAAGCGGGAAAGGTAGTGTGGAGGAGGAAGGGTGAGACTGGCAGGGAGGGAGGGGGGCCGAGTTTGAGTCCAGGAGAGGCTGTATCAGGGGAAGGTGCGACCCACTTGGTCTCAATCACTCACGAGGTCCCTGATTGGTCGGCCTAGGTGCAGCACTCTTAGCGAAGCCCCCGTTACAAAGTTCCACAGCCGCATCGTGCCGTCCAGCGACCCGCTCCACGCGTACACCATCGATGACGTGGCGGAGTCTGGAGCTGACACGTCAGCAGGGGGGTTGATCTCCATGTGGTCATCGTCATCATCCGTGTCCCGAGCGGCAGCGGCGGATGCGGCGGGCGAGCGGGCGACGGCGGAGGTGGAGACGCACGTGACGAGCGCCGTGTGGCCCTGCAGCACCGCCACCTGCCGGGGGGAAGGGGGAGGGGTTGGGGGGACGGAGGGGTTGAGGGTTTCAGGCGAGGGGGCGGGCGAGGAGGATGAGGCATCGGAACGGCTGCGAGGACTGCTTCGGACGTACAGTGGCGAGTCAACTGCGCGGGTTCGGGGTTTATTGCGCCACATGCACGGGGCGCACCTCGCGCGCGGGGAGTGCACTTGGGCGGCGGGATGCGCACCTGGGTGGCGGAGGCGAGCGCGAAGACCCGGATGACGGCCCCGCACGGGCAGAGCAGGCGCTGGCCGTCCGCGCTGAACGCCGCGCGCCCATCCACCAGACTGCCGCCGCCCCATGCCACCGGCGCGGCTGCCGCCAGGGTGGGGGGAAGCGCAGGCATAGCGGCCCGCGGTACAGGGACGGGGAGCGGCAAGGGGTGTTGACAAGGGAAATGGCGGCGAGGTTCCGGGTTTAAGATTTAGGGAGACGCAGGGCGCGGATGCAGAGGTAGGCGAGCGACGAGAGGAAGAAGGCGGGTCGCAGGTAAAGACAGCGAATCGACACAAGCGCGAGTTAGGAGATGAGGTGTCCGTTTAACGAGGGGAATGACGGGATCAATCCTGCGCGTGACCGATCGGGCCGCTGCTGCTTGTAATGTTGGCGTACGAGCCGTCTCAAAGTAATCCTAAGCGCCTTGCGACGCGCTCTTACGGGACACCCTCTGCTTGGACTCTTGAGTTCAGAAAGCTGTCTTTGCTGTAAAGCTTGGCGCGAGTGGTGACTGGTATAGCCGCGACATAGCCGCAACTATAGGCGCCCTGCATTATCGTATAGCTCGAATAAACACAGCCTCATAGTGTAGCAGCCTCAGTTGCTAGATGTTCTCTCAAAAGAGCATACTCCAAAACAATCTGTTGGTTTCCATTCCACTTTTCCAAATAATTGCACCCAAAGGAAACGCATTTCTGAAGAAGCTAACCAGAAACCCCTTGTAATGAGTAAGAAAACGCAGTGTAGCCGCACACAACAGCGGGCGACATCTCATTGCCCAGGGGCTGAAGCAAAAATTGTAGACTGTGTGAACCAAGAACCCGGAATTGTGCATACCTACTTGCTAGCTGCAAGGCACATGTGTTGTACAGCTGATAGCGGCCAACATGTCTGTGCGAGTGTGTGTGAGTGCAGACGGGACCCAGCGTGCTCCAGGGAGCAGGCAGCAGGCGTCATGGAGTGCACATGCTACCCAAGCCATGCCACCTCTGCCAACCCCATGCCTCCTCCCATGCCTCTGCCCTGACGCCCCCCATCTCTGGCATTCCCCCTCCCTCCCCCATACCCCCTCCCCATCCCCACACTCAACCCCACCGCCCCCACCACTCCCATCCCACCAGCCACTCCTCTTCCCATCCCTCCCCCCACCCCCGCCTCTGGTGCTACCCCTCCTGCCGCCACCCCTGCTGCAGGCCCCCCCGCCCTGCCAACAACACCCCACCCGCCTCCCCCCTGTTGCCCTGCCACGGCAGCAGCAGCGGCGGCGGCAGCAGCGGCAGACCACTGGCCCAGCTGCCCTGCCTGCACCGGGGATATGCCCATGGGCTCTGCACCGCTCTCCACCTCTCCGTCTACTCCCGCCAATCCATCTGCGCTGCTATCCCCCTGATCCTCCCCTCCTCGCCATCGCTCACTGTGTGTAGCGCCTGCACCAGCAGCAGCAGCAGCAGCGGCAGCGGTGTGGTGTGGCAGGGCGGGCGGGGCGTGCGGGAGGTGTGTGGCAGCACGGTAGTGGTGTGGAGCAGATGAGCCACTGGCAGTAGCAGAAGGACGAGACCTGCAGGTGGAAAGGTGTTCACAGGGCAGGGGGACATAGAGCATTGGAACACAAGGCATGGGGAACAGTGGCATGCTCATGCCACGGAGAAAAGCACATGGGCATGTTGCAGAGGAAGTGCCATGGTGTGGCGTTATCACTCCCTGGCCCACTCACCACATGAAGGCGCCAGCAGCAGCAAGGGGCGAGCAGTCCATGGCTCCCAGCGACCCGCCACTGCCCCGCCCCACTGCCGCCCCGCCATGCACCCCAGGCACTGCAGCACCTGACAAGCCACCCGCTGCCACAGCAGCAGGAACAGCAGCAGCCGTGGTGGGTGCAGGTTGCGCATAGGCAGCACTGAGAGGGCTCCAGACCGCAGGGGGGGGAATGGAGTACTCCCCATGCCCGTGTGACCCCACATGACCATGCGAGCTCACATGCCCATGCGAGCCCACATGCCCATGTGACCCCACATGCCCATGCGAGCCCACATGCCCATGTGACCCCACATGCCCATGCGAGCCCACATGCCCATGTGACCCCACATGCCCATGCGAGCCCACATGCCCATGTGACCCCACATGCCCATGCGAGCCCACATGCGTTTGTCTCTCCACGGAGCTGGAACCACTGCCTCTCTCCTGCCATGCCACCCCACCCACGCCTCCTGCCCCCCGCCCCTCATCCGCCCCCCCACCCTCCTGTTCGCCCCACCACCCCTCCCCACCAACTCCACCACCCGTCATGGCCCCACTCCCAGCACCACCAGCAGCAGCGGCAGTGGTGGCAGCAGTGGAGGGGGGCTGTGGGGGGTGGGGCTGGGGGGGGTGCAGCAGCAGGTCATCACAGAAGTACGGGTCCCACTCCGCGGGCCCATCCCCCTCGCCTGCTGAACTGCTCTTTCCCCTCTCCCACCCCGCTACTCCTCCCCCTCCCTCCCCTTCGCTCCTTCTCCCCTCATGCACCTCACTCGCCACGCCTACTGCTGTGTGCCTACTCTCCCCGCTCCTGCCATTGCTGCTGTAATGAGATCCCAGCCCCAACCCCAGCCCCAGGCTCACACCCACTGCACCCTCGCCACCAGCAGCAGCACCAGCAGCAGCAACAGCAGCATCAGCTGCCTCCCACGGTTGTGGCAGCTGAGCGCCCCCCTGCATGCTCGCACGGGCACTGCCCATCTCCACAAGGCCCCCCTGCTCTGCCCGCGCCTGCCTCCCTGCATCCTCGCCATGCTGCCTGCTGCTACTCTCTGCGCCGTGCCCACCCCCCTTGCCGCTAATGCTGTCACCACCGCGTCCACTCGCTGCCTCTCTTGCCCCGTGTTCCCCCCCTGCCATCCCTCCCTGCTGCCCCTCACACTGCTCCTGCTGCACCTGCCTCTGCTTCAACTCTTCCGCTTCTTGCTGCAGTTGCTGCTGCAACAGACGCTGCTGCTGTTGTTGCTGCAGCTGTTGCTGCTGCTGCTGCTGCTGTTGTTGTTGCTGCTGCAGCAGTTGTTGTTGCTGCTGCTGCAGTTGTTGTTCCTGCTGCTGCTGCTGCTGCTGCTGCAGCAGCAGCAGTTGGTCCTGTTCCTGTTGTTGTTGCTGCATGATGGCCATCAGTCGCATCACCTCACTCTGCCGCCTCTGGAACTGTCCCATCACAGCCGCCTTCTCCAGTGCAATCCCCCCCTCCGCTCCGCCTCTACCAACACTCAGCCCCATTCCCCCTGCCGCTGCGCCCGCCAGCCCTCTAGCAGCGGGGGAGGGCAGCCCTGCGCCCGGATTGTGGCTGGAGGGGTGGGTGCTGCCGCTGGGGCCCAGAGAGGACGCCTGACCCACGGACCCTCGGGCCAGCGGGGAGGAGAAGTCGGGGTGGAGCGAGGACGGGGAGAAGTGAGGCGAGGAGGTGGTGGGGGAGGACGGCGTTGCGGGCTCACTCACACGCACCTGCAGCTGCCCCTGCCGCCCCCCCCGCTGTTGCTGGTGTTGGAGTTGGTGTTGGTGCGAGTGGGAGGATGGGAAGTGGCGGGAGTGGGAGGGAGGGGTGAACTGCAGCGGACTGGCTCCCAGCAGCGAGTTGCTGCTAACTGCCACTTCGCCGTCCCGCCCTCCCCAGTACCCCCCTCTCCCTCGCCCTGCCCCGTCCAGGAAGGGTCCGCCTGGGCTTTGCCCCAAGGGCACATACGCGCCCTCATGCCCCATACCCTGCCACACCCCCCACCGCTGCCCCGCCTCTCCTGCTGCCTGCCGCCAGCACCCACGGCGCCGGGGGCTGCAAGGGTGGCAGCAGAGGGGATGCTCATGCTCATGCCTCCGTCTGCTGCTTGAGATTGGCGAAACTGGGCGGAGAGCAGGGATGCAGACGAGGGTTGCAGGGAGTGAGAACTCTGCAGCTGCTCGTGCAGGGATGACCGCTTCTGCTGCGATGGCTGCTGCTGCTGCTGCTGCTGCTGCATGTGTTGCATCTGCTGTTGTTGATGCATCCTCTGCAGCTGTTGATACTGCTGCTGCTGCTGTTGGAACTGCTGTTGAAACTGCTGTTGCAGGTGCTGCTGCTGGTACTGCTGCAAGGAGCCCCTACCGGGACCCAGAGGGCTGGACGGCATCTGACTCATGAGGCTCGGTTGACTTGCTTGACTCAGCGGATTCACCTGACCTGCCTGATTCGCCACCCTGGCCTGCCCCAGCTGGCCCATCTGCCACTGCTGCGCCGCCTGATTCATGCTCGCCAGCGCAGGCACCAGCTGCCGCGTGTCTGGGCTCTGCCCAAACCCTAACCCCAACCCCAACCCCAACCCCAGCCCTCCACCGCTTCCCGCCGCCGCTGCTCCTGCCGCTGTCCCGAATGACCCCGAACCCAAGTCTGTCTTCTGCCCTGCTGCAGCCAGGTGCGCAGCATAGGCCATGTAGGAGCCTGTGGGGTCTGTCAGACTGCCCAGCCCTCCCAGACTTCCCACGCCCCCCATCCCTCCCATGCCTCCCATCCCTCCCATGCCTCCCATGCCCCCCACGCTCCCCATGCCTCCCAAGCCCCCCATGGCGCCAAAGCTGTTGCCAAGGCTGCCGATGCTGCCGTAGGAGCTGACACTGGCGCCCAGCGGGCCGTAGTTGTGCGGCAGACCGAGGGGCACGCCGTACCCCCCCATGCTCCCATACCCGCCTTCGCCCATGCCTGCCCCCATGCTCGCACCCATACCTGCCCCTATGGGCAGAGCAGCAGGAGCAAGGGCGGAGCGCATAGCAGCAGGAGCAGGTCCAGACAGAGCCATGGCGGGCGGCAGTGCTGCTCCCACGCCCGCTGCTCCGCCCAGGCTGCCTGCCATTATGCCCCCCTCCAACGCCCCTCCCCGCCCCGCTTCCTGGCCTCCCAGCGACTGCCTGTGCTGCAGCACGCGCGCATGCTGCTGCTGCTGCTGTGCAAGGCGCGAGGCACCCTCCCTGTGCAGCGGCTGCAGCTGAGCGGCCTCGGTGGCGTCCACCTGCTGCTGCTGCGGGGCGGGTTAAAGCGGGGATGGATGAGACGCATGGGAGGATGCACGTGTTGAACACAGCCGTGCGTTGCACGACGCAGTCAAGCAGAGCGATTGGAGAGCAGCGGGAGGAGCGAGGTGCGGGAGGAGTGAGGTGGGCAAGGCAGAGGTGAGCTCACCTGGCGCTGCGGCTGGAAGGGCCCCACCCATGGCTCGTCCGTGATGAATGGGTGCTGCGCTGCCTGCCAGTACCCACGGGCCACGGAGAGAACGATGTGAGGCAGAGAGGAGGTGATACTCTGAGAAAGAGGGGGAGAGGAGGAAACGGTAGCAGAAGAGAGAGAGCAGGGAGGCAAGGGAAGCAAAGAAGCCAGCAAAGCGCATGGAGGCGGGAGAGCGGGGAGGGAAGACCTGGCGGGCGGTCCAGCGCTGGGAGGGGTCCATGTGGAGCAGGCCTGACAGGAAGTCCACAAACGCCACTCGGCTCGCGCGCTCCTGCCTCCCCTCCTCCGCCCCTTCCCCGCGCCGCAGCGCATAGCCCAGCACGAGGTCGCTGAGAGCCGTCTGGCGGAAGTACCGCTTCCCCAGCGCCGGGCGCGCCTCCCCCCCCGCCACCACCTCCTCCACCGTCTTGAGGCGGTATGCTGAAGCGCGGCCATCCTCCCCCCCGCCCCCCCCCTCTGCTGTGCGCACAAAGTACTTGGCCGTGTGCTTGGCGCGCCTCAACATGGCATCTGGCGGCTGGCAGCTGCAGGGCACAGCCAGGGAGCAGGAACGGTGAAGCAATGAGCGCGTGGGATACTCACGCTAGGAAAAGAAGGGATAAAAAAATGAGGGGGATGATTCATGCGGAGGGGCATGCTTGAAGGCAGCAGGGAGAGCAGAAGGAGTGAGTGTGCGTTGGGACGGGGCAGTGACGGACCCCATGGTTTCGACCATGCGGTGCAGCATGTCAAACTCGGAGGCGCCGGGGAAGAGCGGCAGGCCCAGGAAGAGCTCGGCCGCCACACAGCCCAGCGACCACAGGTCGATGGCCGTGCCGTACGCGTGCCCCAACACCACCTCCGGCGACCGGTAAAAGCGACTCTGGGGGGGGAAGGGCGGGGGGCACACATGGGGGCGCAGAGGTGAAGGAGACATGGGGGGGAGAGGTGAGGGGCATGGGAGGGCGGGCCTGTGACGACTGCAGACACAGGGCAGGAGACAGACAGAGCATGCAGCAGTAAATGATGGTGGCTCAAGTAAGAGGTTGCTTGCTCGCACATGCAGCATAGCTGATGGCAGGGTGCATGACAGCGAGGCCCAAGAGTGGCACCTGGATGTAGGAGTACACGGTTCGATTCTCAGTGCAGGCAGAGCCAAAGTCAATGAGCTTGATCTCGCCGCCCAAGCTGGGGTGAGCACAGGGCAGGTTGAGCAGGAGATGCGGGGTAGGAGGGGCGAACAGGCATAAGCGGCGGGGAGGAGGGGGCGTTGATGACAGAAAACACATCGGCAGCAAAAGACGAGTCAAAAACAGCAAAGCTTCACCGTGCATAACAACTCTATCTGTGCCCTTGGTTTATTGGCACTGCAAGTCCTCTAGGTCGCCGAGTCCTGCAGAGCCGTGGTGCAGTGCACCGCAGGGTGTGGCATGCGGGGCGCACCTTTTGAGGAGGATGTTTTCGGGCTTGAGGTCGCAGTGGATGACGCGCGCATCCTCCAGCACCGTCAGCGCCACCAGCAGCTGCCGCGCCCAGGTGGGGCATGGCGTGGCATGGAAGGGAGCAGGGAGAGGAGAAAGGGGTGGCAGCACACGAGGATAAGAAGGGAAGACGCGAAGAGGAGGGGGGGGGGGCAAGAGGTGGGAGAAGTACTGAGAAGCAGGAGGCGTGTTGACAACAAACGTGTAAGTAATGGGTAGTAAATCAGGGAGGGTGGTGTGATCTGCAGGGAGGGTGGCAGCATACCTGTTTGGTGAAGAGGCGCACAAGCTTGAGAGAGAGGCCGCGAAACTGGTTCTGGCGGATGAGCTCGAAGCTGCACACCGCACGACACAGGCAGAGGTGAGTGCGGGTCAGCTATGCAATGCTACGCGGCGGAATACTATGGGAAGCAGGACAGCGCGTGTGGCAGGCGTGTGGTGAGTGTGTGCAGGAGGGCTCGGGGTGGGGGTGCGGGTGGGGCAGGTGACTGACAGGTTGTAGGTGAGGAGTTCGAAGACGATGCAGAGGTGGCTGTGGCACACGAAGTGGTCCACCAGTCGCACTATGTGGTGCTCGTCCATCGGGTCGTACGACCCGTTCAACTGCTCGCGCACAGAGAGGGGGGCGAGAAGAGAGGGAAGGGAAGAGGGGGAGAAGGGGGGAAGGAACGGCAGCAGGATGAGGAGCAGGGAAAGGGAGTGGGAGGCAGAAGACGTGGCGCAATGGTGTGTCACTGGCAGCACAAACGGCCTTGCAGCACTAGTGCGTGCAGTGCACAGTGGCACGTGCTCAACCAGCAGCCCAGCCCCACATGGTGCAGAGTGGCACCGTGCACGGTGTGGCAGAGCAAGGGCCCTCACGAGTCTGAGGATGCTGATTTCGACGAGCGCCTGGTGGTAGTAGGCGGGCTGGTTCTTGATGACCTTGACGGCCACCACCTCGCCCATCTCACTGCTCTCGCACTTCACCACCTGCCCGAACGTGCCCTGCCCCAACACGTCCCGCACCACGTATCTGCGCGGAGTCAGCGGGAGAAAAGGAGGGACGTGGGGGATGAGAAAGGGAGAGGCCACGCGTCTCCTGATGCGCACCTCACTCCCGTGCAGATTGTGCGTGGCCCTTGTCGTCTGAACCCTGTTGACTATGCAGAATAAGAATGGGACTGCGATTGGGATCAACGCCTGGATGAAGGTTGGGAGAGGAGCGTCAAGGGTGCAAGGGGGTCGCGGCGCAGTCTGAAGCGCAAGGGCAGCGCCGTCTACCACGCGCGGGCGTCACCTGGGGGTGCCGGGGTCGCCGTGCAGCACGAGGCCCGTGGAGAGGATGAGGTCGGAGTTGGCGTTGTCCCACCCCTCGTTGCCCGCAGCCTCCGACGGCTTCGTCAGCACCACGCGCGTTGCCCGCTCGCCGTCACCCGCATCGCCCTCCGGCGAGGCGCCATACTCGCCAGCCGCGGGTTGGTCGGGAGCGGCGGGCGCGGGGTTTGAGGAGGGATGGTGGGCGGCGATGTGGGCGCGCGAGGCGTCGTTGCAGGCGGAGTAGGTGTGCTTGAGCCCCGCCGTCATCCGCACCAGCAGCTGGCGCACGCCGTGGCACAGCGGGGGAAGGCGGGAGGGGGAAGAATGAGGGGCGGAAGGCACAGGATGCAAGAAGAGGAGAAAACACAGGGGAGCACTGTCAAGAAAACGGAAAGCGTTAGAGAAGTAACAAGCAGATGCGCGCGGGAATGAGGATCGTGAGGAGAGGCAAGCACGACAAGGGGGGAAGGAACGTCCAGGTAGTGACAACCAAAGAGGAGCTAACTCCGTCTGCCACTAATGGCTGAAACGGTGGGCTAGAGCACTGACGATGGGACCAGTGCCGGTGTAATAGGTGGAAACGACATTGAGGCAGGTGAGCGGAAGGACGTCCAGGGCTGGATGCGATGGCCATGACGCACCCTAGGCCGAGAGGATTGCCAGAGTAACGACGCGTCCTATACGTGGCAGTGTGACAGGATTGAAATTCCTTAACCAGCCTGACTCTGCAAGTCTCAGCCGTTAAAGCATTCACGCATCAAACATCTCCCACAGTCGCCACAACAGTTTGCATCCGCTCCAAAAAAACTCCACAAATTGCTCATAAAAGGGACACATGACACAGCGGTCCACGAAACTCCACTGGTCCATCCTTCTCCATGCCTACTCGGCCGGTCCGTTAGCAACCGACGCGGTCAATCAGGAGCCCCCGAATCACCGTGGCCTACTTGCCAGGCATCCACTAACGCAGACGAGGCCTGCAGACAGCAGCAGGCGACGGCGACGCTCGGCGGACTTACTGGCGTCCGCTGGTTCGATTCCTGCCGCTGCTCGCCGTTCTGCTCCGCATGCGCGTCCGACGCGCGCGCCACCACGGAGAACGCTCCTTGCCGAGGCATCCAGGCGGCCGTCACTGGCGCCGATCGGGATTCCGACTCCTGCCTCGCACCCAATAGGTCAGTCGCTCCGTCTAATCCGAAATTGGTCTTTGAGTTGTCCGATTGTTCCTGACTAAGATCTAAATTCCAAAGGTCGTAGCCAAGGCCGTCGACGTCATGATCGTTAATCGCAGGGAATTGCGAAGATCCGAGATTGAGGCTTCCCATTTCCTGCAGCTAGTTTACTGCATAGCCTCCCTACAGGATCCTCAACCGTGGAATTCCCTCGTGCACCGGAGCAATACGACGAGCCCATAGGCTCCAGGGAACAACCCCTAGGCCGACTAACCGTCAGGCTGAAGCATCTTATCGCTTCACAATGGCAGAAATCAGGAATGTGTAGTGAAAATGGTGAGGTATATTCGATCGCAATGGGAGTAGCTATGGTTGGACGCACTGCACGACAGCTGAACGGACTGGAAAAAGGTGCAGGGGGGAGCGCAAGGCGGAAGGCCCGCAAGCAGTGTTCTCCATGTGAACAGTGCCCGCCGACAGCCTCCGTTCCGCCATGATGAACTGGGTGCTCGCATCAGTGACGTGTCGGACGGGCTGCCAAAACCGCACTAGCGAGAAGGCCATGTCGATGCTGGGAAGGTTTCGCGTGTAAAGCAGCTGGAACCTGCGATGGCCCTGCAGCAGCATGCGACGCTCCTTTGGGGTTTCCATGCGACCACTTGCGTTCGCGACGTTCTCGAGGTTTTACGGCATGAGTTCAAGGTGACTGAAACGGGCTGCTGGGGGTGGGCCTTTTGAATTTGGGATTTGGAGTGCTCATAATCACATACGATGACACTAGTACTAGCTTATGAATGATGCAAAAAATGCACACAGAGGTGTGTTCAGTAGGGACGCTCATATATAGGTCTCAAGGAATATAGGATGATGTTTCATATGTGAACAAAAATCATAGGATATGGTACCTATAAGAAAGTTTGGTCTTAACATTTTATAGGATGTAACTGACTCATGCATTATTTTTAGTGAACGATTATGTTGGACTTTGTGTTGGCTATTAGCGAGGAACTTTTAGATCTTCTGAAAGGGCGAAAAAGCGGCGATTTACGGAGGGTTGATGGCAACGTGGACACCACGCTGGCAAGATTTGACTTAAACATTGCCGCGTGGAAAGGCTCCACAGAACCTTCTGACGGTGGCCCTTCTGGAATATCAGCGACTCTTCTTCCACGTGGCGTCCTTCGTGGCCGAATGCTGTTAGTTTGAGGCTCGAGGTTCTTCCTTGGCTGTTCCTCCCATCCCTCCATTCCTCCTGTCACATCAACCTCGGCTTCACTCACCTCGTCTCATTTCTCCTTACACGATCGCAACATCGCCACGCCACTGCTCTCCACGCCAGACGCTCATACTTGCCTCTTCGCGCTTCCGTGAGCGTCTGTTCCTGTTATTGTGCTTGCCGAAGAAGGTCTTGGTCATGGCGTCGAGCTTGGCCCATACCATGGCAGCAGCTCAAACTGCAGTGCCCGCAAAGGTAGTTGTTCATGCAAAGTCAGCATTACCACTGATTGCTACAGGAGTTTTTGTAGATTGTTCTTATTTGCTCATTTCTGCACTCTCGTCAACCATGCACTTGGGTTGGCGTATTTCTTGTGGTATGCCCACGCAGCGGCACAGTATCAACGGCCAATGACGGCGATTCCTCTCCCTTCTCTCCCCCCACCCATCCCCCCTCCCCTCTCCCCTCTCCTCCACGTGCAGATTAGCAAAGCGGCTGCTCTAGCGCCAGGCAGTCGCCAGCTGGCTGCTTCCTTCGCCCGTTCACCTGCCACTGCGCGCACTCGGCGGTCACTACGGGTGCGCGCGGAGGCGAAGGACATCCTGTTCGACCAGGCGGCGCGGTCCGCCATGCAGTCGGGCATCGACAAGCTCGCGGACGCCGTGGGCGTCACGCTCGGCCCGCGAGGTACGCTCCTGGGCTCGCGCCGCGAGTCGCGAAACATATCCCGCCTGTGTCAAGGCCGCCGTGCGCGCCGTCTCTACGAGCGCGCCTGTGTAGACGGGTCACTAAGTGTCGCAGGGCCAGTCGTCGGTGGTTGTATCGGGCGACGAGCCCATCATTCGTACAATCAGCCACCGGGCTGATCATGAACCAACGTTTGATTAGCCAATCCGTCGTACAATCGTACGATCAGCCCAGGGTATCGTACGATCAGCTCAGGATATCGTACGATCAGCCCAGGATGTCGTACGATCAGCCAATTCATCGCACGACCAGGAACCTCTCGTACGACCAGAAATCTTACGTATGGTCAGGAGTCTTGCGTACGTTTCAGGAATCGTTGTACCATCAGAACCTATTTCTACATGAGCATATGCTGTCACCATCACCCAAGTGTAACCATCAGCCGTTCTGTGAGCCACCAGTCGTCGCAGCGCGTGTGGTTGAGGCATCGATCATGTTCTCGTGGTGTGGGGCGCAGGTCGCAACGTGGTGCTGGACGAGTTCGGCACTCCCAAGGTGATCAACGACGGCGTGACCATCGCGAGGGCCATCGAGCTGCCCGACCCCATGGAGAACTCCGGCGCCGCGCTCATCCGCGAGGTCAGAATCTCGCCACTGCATTTACTATCACATGGGAGCGGGTTTAGGGTAACTGGGCTAACGCAGAGGGTTTTGGGGATTGTGTTTAGCAACCTTGCAGCACACTGTGCGCCGCAGTCACCGACCGCACTTCAGCGGCGGCATTGCGACATGCCATCCCGTCTCTTTGCAACGTACACGCATTCCTTAACCCAGACATTCTGTCGCTCGATTCTCACGCCCATCACACAGCCCTTCGCTTGCAAATCCGCGATGAAACACCCCCCTCGTCACTATCACATTCCGCCAGGTGGCGTCGCGCACGAACGACTCGGCGGGCGACGGCACGACGACGGCGAGCGTGTTGGCGCGCGCGCTGATCAACCTGGGGCTGCTCAACGTCACGGCGGGCGCCAACCCCGTCGCGCTCAAGAAGGGCATCGACAAGACCGTTGCCTACCTCGTCGAGTCGCTCAAGGATCGCGCGCGCCCCGTCAAGGGCCGCGACGATATCAAGGGTGCGTGCGCGAGGCGCGGTTACAGGAGTAGCTCGCGCCTGGGGCTCTGGCGATGCGTTTCTAAAATCTTAAGTTTCGAATTCGGGTGATCAGCTCTCATGCGCCGTGCGTATGGCAGTCCGCGAGACTCGCCGCATCTCAATCTCACTGCCTCTCCTCGCACCCTCCCCCTCCCCATTTCCCACCTCCGCCCCCTCGTCGTCACCGTGGGCGTGCCCCCCACCCCTCCCCCCCGTTGACGGTGCAGCGGTGGCGACGATCAGCGCGGGCAACGACGAGGAGATCGGCGCGATGATCGCGGACGCGGTGGACAAGGTGGGCGCGGACGGCGTGCTCTCCATCGAAAGCTCATCGTCTTTCGAAACCACCGTCGACGTCGAAGAGGGCATGGCCGTGAGTTTCCTTGCTTACCCGCGCATTGCTGCTTGCCACTTTGTGTGCGCGCTTCGCGTGTTAGGTGTTCCGCTGCCCTTCGGCTCCCGCTGTCCAACCGCCTCACATGCCGTCCTCCCACTCATCCCCCTTCGCCCGCTTTGCTCTCCAACCTCTTCGCACCTCCGCCCCCAAATGCGCAGATCGACCGCGGTTACATTTCGCCGCAGTTCGTGACGAACTCGGAGAAGATGCTCGTCGAGTTCGACAACGCGCGCGTGCTCGTCACGGACCAGAAGGTCAGTGCTCTCACGGACCAGAATGTGCGCACTGTTGCAGTGCTTCGTATCGACGATTTAAGCAAAATGTTGGAATCCTGAGGCTGCAAGAACACGATGAGCACTAGCCGGAAGCTATTGGTTACTAAGAAATCCCTCCCCCCCATGTGGCCCGCCTTCCCCGTCGCTCCCGTGCTCCGCACTCCCCATGACTCACACCTGCTCCTCGCCACTCACACACTCAGCGCCCAGTTGCACTCACGACTGCTTGCTGCCGCACTCACTCCCCTCTCCCCACCTCCCCTCCCCCCCTCCCTCTCCCCTCCGGGTGCGCGCGTGTCGGGCGTAGATCACGGCGATCAAGGACATCATCCCGGTGCTGGAGCGCACGACGCAGCTGTCGGCGCCGCTGCTGATCATCGCGGAGGACGTGTCGGGCGAGGCGCTGGCGACGCTGGTGGTGAACAAGCTGCGCGGCGTGCTGCAGGTGGCGGCCATCAAGGCGCCCGGCTTCGGTGAACGTCGCAAGGCGCTGCTGCAGGACATCGCCATTGTCACAGGTGAGGTGCTGCTGCAGGACATCGCTATTGTCACAGGTGAGGCGCTGCTGCAGGACATCGCTATTGTCACAGGTGAGGCGCTGCTGCAGGACATCGCTATTGTCACAGGTGAGGCGCTGCTGCAGGACATCGCTATTGTCACAGGTGAGGCGCTGCTGCAGGACATCGCTATTGTCACAGGTGAGGGGGGGGGGAACAGGGCATCGCTATTGTCACAGGTGAGGGGGGGGGGAACAGGACATCGCTATTGTCACAGGTGAGGGGGGGGGGGCGAACAGGACATCGCTATTGTCACAGGTGAGGGGGGGGGGAACAGGGCATCGCTATTGTCACAGGTGAGGGGGGGGGGAACAGGACATCGCTATTGTCACAGGTGAGGGGGGGGGGCGAACAGGACATCGCTATTGTCACAGGTGAGGGGGGGGGGCGAACAGGACATCGCTATTGTCACAGGTGAGGGGGGGGGGCGAACAGGACATCGCTATTGTCACAGGTGAGGGGGGGGGGCGAACAGGACATCGCTATTGTCACAGGTGAGGGGGGGGGGGGAGAGTGCAGAGCAAGCATGGGCTAGTTGAAGAAGGAACGGAAGAGATGAACCAAGCGTGTTTTTGCGTCTGCAAGAGCGTGTTCGCATGTGTGTGTGTGTGTGTGTGTGTGTGTGTGTGTGTGTGTTGTGTGTGTGTGTGTGTGTGTGTGAGAGAGAGAGAGAGAGAGAGAGAGAGAGAGAGAGAGAGAGAGAGAGAGAGAGGGTGGGTATGCTTGTGGGCATGTGTGTGTCACACCCTGGTGGCACACCCTCCCCCCACTTCCCCAACCACCGCCCTCCCTCTGTGTGGCAGGGGCGGAGTTCATGGCCTCTGACCTGGGCCTCAAGGTGGAGGGCGCAACAGCGGACCAGCTGGGAGTGGCGCGCAAGGTGACCATCAGCAGCGGCAGCACCACGCTCATTGCTGACAGCGCCACCAAGGACGAGATCGCGGCGCGTGTGGCGCAGATCAAGCGCGAGCTGCAGGAGACAGACAGCGTCTACGACACCGAGAAGCTCTCTGAGCGCATTGCCAAGCTCGCTGGTGGCGTCGCTGTCATCAAGGTCCGTGCCATGCTTGCTGCTTGCTGGGTGCTGGGTGCTGTGGCGGGGTTGGGGATACATAGCTCGTGAGAATTGCAGGAACACGCGTTCCACTCCTGGGCATGCAAGTCGCCACTCACACGGCATGCCATGCACTCGCGTCCGTTGTGGTGGCATGGCAGGTGGGGGCGGCAACGGAGACGGAGTTGGAGGACCGCAAGCTGCGCATCGAGGACGCCAAGAACGCCACGTTCGCGGCCATCGAGGAGGGCATCGTGCCGGGCGGCGGGGCCACCATGGTGCACCTCGCTGCGCTCGTGCCGGGCTTCAAGGCGCAGCTCACGGACGCGGAGGAGCGCATCGGCGCTGACATCGTGGAGCGCGCCCTGCTGGCTCCGTGCTCGCTCATCGCCCACAACGCGGGTGTGGAGGGCGCGGTGGTGGTGGAGCGCGTGAGGGAGAGCGAGTGGGAGATGGGGTACAACGCCATGGCCGACCGCTATGAAGACCTCCTCGCCTCCGGTCCGTGCTCCTCTCCCTGCTCAGTGCTCACCCCACTAGGAGCTTGCCCCATGCCGCTCCCTGCTTGGTATCTCTGGTGTATTCTATGTCCTGCACCTTCATGAGCACCCGCACTGCGCTGCTCGCCTCTCATCTGCTCTCCACTCCACGCTCCCTCCCCTCTCCCATGCGTGCAGGAGTGATTGACCCTGCCAAGGTGACGCGGTGTGCGCTGCAGAACGCGGCATCGGTGGCGGGCATGGTGCTGACGACGCAGGCCATCGTGGTGGAGAAGCCCAAGAACAAGGACGCCAACGCCTCCTCCACCCCCTACTCGCCACAAGTGCCCCTCACGCTCTAAGCCATTCAGCCAGCTAGACCACACACCTCGAAGTGTTTAGAACCTGGAACAGTGTCCATGTAATGTAGCCGTTTTGTCATTCTGAAGTTGCCATTTATCAATCTTCAGAACACACGTGGATAAGCCACACATGTGACCACAACTGCCAATGTTGGAGAAAAACGCATTGCATGGCGATCTCCACAAGGGCTGCGTTCAGCGGCCACATTAGCCCGCACCAATGTACATTGCACATTTTTTTCGATGTTCCAGGAGCCTTCCGTGATAACCAGCCGAAAGGCTATCAAGGTTCGTGATAAGCGCTTGGCTGCCGAGGCAGACCAAGCCCGAATGCCTGCAGAACGGTCTTTTTGGCAACCACAAATTTGCATGTCGCCGCTTTCCAGGAAATACAGCGTACTAGCAATCTGACGCATCCTTGATGCGCGCATGATGCAACGCCCTAAACACGCATGATGCGCGCATCAGCTCGAATTGGGGCAATTGAACAGCGCATCATGCATGTGGGGAAGGCGCCAGGTGCGTTCTTCCCCACTTCGATGAAAGCTCAACACCCTGGAATTCGTCGGAATTTTGGGGTCGAAATTTGACATGCCCGAAATTCGACATCCCCAATTTCCGATTTCCCGAACCTGCGTGTCCATTTTCCGAACCTCCATTTTCCAATTTCAATTTGGACAGACCCGAGCCTCAATTTTTCAATTTGTCAATTTGCCGAGCCTAGGGCGCATCAGGCTCTGATGCGGCCGCCGAACGCAGCCAAGGGCATTCTGCAATGTCCACTCCATTGAACACATCCAAAGTGGAATATTGGAAGCCTTCAAAATGACACAGCACCAAGCGAAATTGGAGAAAAAAATGATTGGGAGAGAGGACCCAGCACCCCTAGTGGTATGATGGTAGCAAAAATATCGCGCCAGCAAGGGGTCGAACCTTGGACCTCTCGCTTAGGAAGCGAACACTCTATCCACTGAGTTACAGGCGCTGTTGTCCCTGGCCGGGCGTTTATGCATATCTCATAAAGCAAAACCAGACAAGGTGTTCCTGACCTCTATAGTATCTTATGGCGGATGAGACGCGCAGCAGCGATGCTTCCGTGGCGGCAGGCGAGCGGATGCTGAAGCGCTGCCTGCGATGGAGTTGAGTGTCGCCGCTCTGCTGCCCCTGCGCCTTGCCACCTTGCCGCCTTGTGGCGCTCTTGCCCTCTCGCCCTGTCACCTTTTTGCACTGCCGCCTTCTGTCCCATCGCGCTCCCCGTCCCCCGACCTCCGTCCCGCTCGTCCTGCTCGCCGCAGCCTTCCACCCATCCACACATGCACATGCGCATGCACGCGTACGCGCCACTCGCTTTCCTCTCAACAAACGCTCCCCGCGTCTCTCCCATCCTGACCCCCCTACTCGCCCGCGCCCCCTCTTCCAGATCCGACGGTCCGATTCCTCCGCGAGTCGCTGGAGCGCGCGGGGTGCGCCGTGAGTGATGAGTTCTTCACTGCACGCCGATGCGACGAGCAGGCGGGCGGCGGCTTCATGCCGGGCGAGGGGGTGAGCGCTGGGGGGAAGGGGGTGGGGGGAGGGGGGAAGAAGGGAAATGGGAAGAAGGGGGAGTGAGAGGGGCAAGTGTGACGGGGGAAGAGCAAGGGGCGAAGCGAAGGGCTGGGGGGATGGGTGAAGGCGAGGCTAAAGGCTTGCATGGGCATAGGGGCAAGGTTGACGTTAGCAGAATTGTGATGCTGCCTGCTGCCATGCTGTGACGCAGTGCCAGCCCATGCCATGCCTGCTCATGTGATCCTGTGTCATACCACCCATGCTACACCTGTGTGTGCGCGACTTGGGTGCATGGGTGCATGCGGGGAAGGGCAGGTGGTGGTGTGCGCGAACCACGTGGGAGGGCAGGACGAGGTGGACGTGGTGGTGGCTCACGAGCTCGTGCACGCCCTCGACCACTGCCGCGCCAAGAACCTGCACTGGCCCGACCTGCACCACCACGCCTGCAGCGAGGTGCACGCCCTGCTCGCTGCCTCCTTGTATGCACATTTCATCCTGCCACGCATGCATGTTTCATCGTGCCATGCATGCCTGCCCCGGTGCTGCCGTGCATGCCCATGTGGAGCATCAGATCCGGGCGGCCAACCTGAGTGGGGCGTGTCACATGCACCGCGAGCTCGCCACCAGGGGGGCCGACTTTGTCTTCCGCAACGGCCACCCGGTGAGCCCACCCTGCCACCCGGTGAGCCCACCCTGCCACCCGGTGAGCCCACCCTGCCACCCGGTGAGCCCACCCTGCCACCCGGTGAGCTCGCCCTGCCACCCGGTGAGCTCGCCCTGCCACCCGGTGAGCTCGCCCTGCCACCCGGTGAGCTCGCCCTGCCACGCGCTGCTGCTTCTGGTTGAAAGGCCAGGGTGGTGAGCTGTATTGTGGCACGGGGTGGTGAGGGCAGGGAAGCTTGCAGCCACCTGATTGCTGTTTCTCAATCCATGCCTGCTCCCTCACTCCCCCTGCAATGCATTTGACGTGTGGGCCGTCAAGCGTTAACTGTCACGTCTTTTCTCTCTCTCTGTTGGCTCTCACCCTTGGCTTGCTACTGCAAGCAGCAGTGTGTGCGGCGCAAGGCACAGCTGTCAGTCGCCATGAACCCCTTCTGCTCCGACGCCCCCCCCACCTCTGCCACCGCCACCGCCGCCACCACCGGCAGCGGCAACAACACCAATGGGAGCAGCAGTGGCAGTGAGGCGTCTGGCAACAGCGGCGGCAGCAGTGTGGCGTGCATGGCTCGGGCGCGGGCGGCAGTGGATGCGGTGTGGGACGTCTGCTACCATGACACCACTCCCTTCGACCGCATCCCCTGATGCTCTCCTCATCAACACTTTCATGACCCACAAGCGTTTTCACGCGGCATTACATACGATGTTTGTTTAAAATTATCGGCTTCCCAAGCCATGTGCTCATGTTTCTCCTGAACTAGGATAGCCAAATACCGTAGTTACCTTAACCGTACCGTAGTCATAATTCTGGTGAAGACACCACTAGACTAAAGATGCTAGAGCGGCTTGCCGAACCTGCTCAGACAAACATGACGCTGCTCCGATTGACCACATCTGGTGCTGCTGCTAAGTAGGCATGAGCAAAGTACCGAACCGAACCGGTTCGGCCAGTATAGCGCATTCACCGAACCGGTTCGTGCTCGAACCGAACCGGTTCATTTCGAACCGTACTGGTCTGAAGCCGGTTCGAGGTTCGGTAATATAGCAGGAATACCGAACCGAACCGAATCGAGACGGAAATTTCAACCTCTCTTTACCTTACGTAACCCCTCCCCGCCTCTCTGTGCCCCTATAAAAAATGTATATTTTTAAAAGCTGTAATGCTTTTTAAAATTATGTATTTCGAAAGCGAAGCTGCCTGTAATGTAGGATTTGGCAGCGTCGAGCCGCGCTAAACGCCCGTTTTGGAGTACAAAACGTGGGCTGGAGGTCATTTCCCTCCACCCACGTCTCTCATTTTCAAACGGTTTAGCCGATTTGAAGTCTCAATTTCACTCTCGATTTTCGTCTCCCTTTCCAAGCTGGCGAAGTTGAAGTCTCTTCCCCGTTTTCAATCTCCGTCAACTTTACTCTCGGACATCCTCGCACACAACGCATCAGCTATGGCACTTAACGGCGGCGAGGTTAATACCACTACCGCCCCCTCTCGACCCGAGTCCGGAAGAAACGCTCGCGAAATCGCGGGCGATCGCCCGAACAAGCGCCGGGCAGACGACGGGGAAAATTCCCCGACTGGCGTCGACGTCCTGCTCGGCCCGACCGAGGCACACGCCACGGGCGTCGAGGCACGCGCCCCTGGTGTGCCTCGAGCCCCTGTGGCCCCTGACGCGCCGGCCACGACAGAAGGCGCCAAATCGGCGCCAACCAGCACAGCCGGCACCCCGCGTCCGCGTCAGCGCCGCAGGCCCGCGGGCCCTGACGCGCCTGTGGGCCCTGACGCGCCTGTGGCGCCTGACGCGCAAGTGGCGAAGGGTGCCCAAGTGGCGCCAACTTTTTCTGCAGCCCAACTGCAGCAGCTTCTGTCCCTGTTACAGCAGCACGCCCCTGCTGTTACTGAAGAAATTGCTACACCGAACGCGACTTCCGTTTCTGCTAAAAGCGAAAAGGCGAAAACGGAGCCTGTCAAGCGCGCTCGCACGACAAAAACCGGAAGGGGCGAAGACACACGCGCCGCCGCCACTCCAGTCACGAACAACCCTATCGACAGCGACAACGAAGACGACGACGATGGTGAGGCACATGCCGTAAATGCCTCTTTCGCACCCGTTGAGCAACTCCCCCCACTCCCCTCACCCAATCCCACTCTAACCGCCGCCTCGTTCAAGAACGCTGCCGTGCGCGAGCAAGCCGAGGTCCTGGAACACCTGCGGGCGTACCTGAAGCATGCGGAGCACAAAGTGCGACACAATGAGCCGGAAAGCGCCCTCGAATACCTTGGCGAAGCCTTCACACTCATCAACAACCGCTTCAAGCTACTTCATGTCGCCGACTACACCAACTTCCGCACCGCAAATCGCTTCAAGCTCTACGAAGATAAGAGTGTCTTCACCTCACGTCCGTTCAAGCAGGCCGTCGCGGACGTGGCGGCCATGGAGCGCGCCCAAGGCAATTTCACTCGCACTCCACGTGGCGGAGGGCGCGGGCCCATGGCATTTGGCAACAAGCGCGGTCCCCCACTTGATGGCAATGGCAGGAGCTTTCGTGGCTCATGCTTCCGTTGTGGGCAGCCGGGCCACATGGCCAATGCTTGCCCGGAAAATGGGGGAGGAGCCCAAGGGCCGGCGCCGGTGGTGTGAACACCCTAGGGGGTGGTGCCGAGAGGCTCGAGTGAGGGTGATGGCACTAGGAAGTGCGAGGCCGCTGGCCTATCCCATAGGGGATGTGAGAAAGGCCGCGGGCCTACCCCAAGGCAAGGGGTGTAGGACTAGGAGTCCTAGGTGAACATGGGATTGGAAATAATGCTTGTATGCTCTTATGAATGAGTGGAAAGGCCTAATGGGCGAAGTTGTTGGACTTGCTTGAAAAAAAAAAAAAAAAAAGGAGCATGCGCTCTTGATGTATGGACCTGAAACAATAAATACCCGCATGGCATGGTGGCCTACGGTACACGCGAACTAGAGAGCGAGAGAAGGAGAGAGATAGAGAGTGTATAAAAGGGAAAGTGATAAGATGTTTGGGCTATGCACCCATACAACACAAAGGAATCATGTGCGAAGGGGGGGCAAAAGGAAACGAGATTGTGTGGGACTTGGGGTCCCACAATACCACGGGCTCACGCCATAATGCAAGACAAAGGTGGCCTGCCAATCATGGAAGGCGGCAAATGCCCATTCAAAGAGTACGCGAAAAAAAAAAAAAAAAAAGGAGAGAGAGAGAGAGAGAGAGAGAGAACGCCTTGCTCAAAGACTAAGGCCAGATTCACCGAGTCGGGTGGCAAGTATCACCACTCTCACGCGATTGGTCCAAATATTCACTTGGTTTTTGCCAGGATTGGCTTCCGAGCTTCCAACCAAACCTACTGCCTGGGCTTTTGTCTGAACCCACCATTCCCGGTCGACTTCCTTGTGTAATTTGGGTCTTGGGTTTAACGAGGCATGCCCCGTGTTGCCCCCACACCCTATGGTCCAATGGCCACAGATATGCCGGGGGGTGGAACGATCGAGGGGAGTGGCCCCTACGAGTTTGCAATCACTGACAAGGTCGTCACGACCATGCGTGGGCGCCTGCGCACGACATTTCCATGGTGGAGCTCATGGTGTGAGAGTAGCTTCATACTCTCGGTAATCTCCAACGGCTATTGGATGCCATGGAAGCAGGGCCCACCTACGCCGTTCCGGCAGGACAACCACGCGGGAGCGCTAATTCATTCCACGTTCACCAAGCAAGCAATAACCGAGCTTCTCGAGAGTGGTGCGGCCGCTCCCGCCCCAGCGGAGCAACAGCTATGTATCAGCCCGCTGAATGTCGTGGTTCAAAGAGAAAAGTGCCGACTGATTCTTGACCTCCGAAGGGTGAACCAACATCTGTGTATCCCCAAATTCAAGTACGAAGGACTGAACCGGGTGGCGGAGCTCGTTCACGAAGACGACTGGATGTTCGCAGTCGATTTAAAATCGGGATACCACCACGTCGACATCCACCCTTCATGCTGGAAGTTCCTCGGGTTCCAATTCGACGGGCGCTCGTACGTTTTTCAGTCTCTACCATTTGGTCTGGCGACAGCCCCGTTCGTTTTCACGCAGCTCATCAAGCAGCTTGCCCGCCGTTGGCGGGCGCTTGGGGTGCGAGTCATCCCTTACGTCGACGACATCCTCTTTCTGTGTCGCACGGCAGCCGAAGCGAGAACCACGGGTCAGATGGTGGTGCAAGACCTCAGGAAGGCTGGACTGGTTATCAATTCTAAGAAGTCGCACCTGCAACCCACCCAGCAACTGCGGTTCTTGGGTGTCGAGTTGGATACACAACGCGGCCAGTTCTCCATTGGCCCCGAGCGGCGAGCATCATTACGCTCAACCATTCATGAATTATGCATGGCCGGCAAGGCCGAACGCAAAGTCCCGATCCGACACGTCGCCAGAGTTACCGGCATGCTCGCGTCGATGTCACTTGCCATCGGCGCAACCGCACGGGCATTCAGCCAGAACCTATTACAGACCATTCAAGATGCCCCTTCCTGGAACAGCAGAGTGCAGTTGGTCCCTGCGGTCATTGAAGAGCTCGAGTTTTGGCTGCATGAATTTGACAAGTTCAATGGCGCCCCGTTCCACGTCCCAAACAGCTACGATGCATTGATCCATGTGGACGCCAGCGCACACAGTTGGGGAGCGACACTAGATACGTTCCCAGGACGGCGAATTGAGGCGAGCGCAACCATGCCCGTGCACCTCACGAAAGCCTCCAGCACGCAACGAGAAATGGATGGAGTCCTATGGGCGCTGCAGACATTCTCGGGAAGGATCCAGAACCGACATGTCCTCGCCAGAACCGACAACCAAGGTGTCTTCTTTATCCTTCGCAAAGGTGGTTCGCGGACTCCGAGCCTCACAACCACGTGCAGAGCCATTATTCAAGCGTGCGTTGCCTCCGGGATTCGGCTGACGGTCGAATGGATTCCGCGCGAACTCAACACACGAGCTGATGAACTTTCAAAGATCATCGATCGAGACGACTACGCACTCAAAGCACCATGGTTCCGGGTTCTTGAACGGCGCTTGGGACCGCACTCTATCGATCTATTTGCCAATGCAAACAACACCCAGCTGGCTCGCTTCTGCTCCAAAACCCCTCATCCCGACGCAGAGGCAACCGATGCCTTCTCCCTATCATGGGCCTCCGAGCATGCATACGCCTTTCCGCCACCCCACCTCATCCCAGCGGTGCTGCATCACGCCCAAAGGACGCGAGCATCGCTCACGCTCGTCGTGCCCCACTGGCCAGGGGCAAGCTGGTGGCCGTTACTCCAACCCGCTCCGCCCCAATGGGCTGCCTGCATTCTCACCCACATCCGCCTCACCCACGGGAGCCAATGCCTGTCCGCAGGCACCCACACCCGCGCCTTTTCTGGGGAAGGATTGCCTCACAGCCCGATTATTGCATTACGAGTGTCCTTCGCCACCTGACCATTCACACATCTGGTGCAGGATTGCTCGAGAGGCTCAAGCAAGAACTTCTTCGGATAACCACGCGTACGAGGGCTGACTCGACGATTCGCACCTACGAACCATACTGGGCCAAGTTTCGTGCATTCTGCACACACGTCAAATTGCAGTTCCTGCCATGCACAGACATGACACTCGCATTATACC